AGGCTGCTCGGGCTTCTCCTGTCCATATTAGTCTTATGCAGTTATCTTTAATTAAATCATACAAAGGCCTTACAATTAATCCATAATTGTTGATCCATAATCTGCACCAACCTGTCATTCCTAGGAAAGTTCGTAATTCTTTAACAGTCTGTGGTTCTGGGGTACGACAGATTGCTTCCTTGCGTTCCGTCCCCAGTTCACGTTGTCCTCCTGAGATCTCAAATCCTAGGTACGTCACGTGGGTTTGAACCAACTGTGCCTTCTGTTGTGAAACCCGATATCCATTCATTCCTAGGAAATTAAGGAGGCTCACCGTCCACTGTATGCAGCTTCCCCTGTCTTCGGTAGCAATCAAGAGATCATCAACATATTGCAGCAGGACCCCTGCAGAATTGGGGGCTTCCCAGGATTCAAGTTCCTTTGCAAGTTGATTACCAAAAATCGTAGGGCTATTTTTAAACCCCTGAGGAAGCACTGTCCATGTTAACTGGACTTTTCGTCCTGAGTCAGGATTTTCCCATTCAAAGGCAAAGAGGTTTCGGCTTTCTGGGGCCAAGGTTAAACAAAAGAAGGCATCCTTTAAATCCAGTACGGTAAACCAGACCAACTCGTCCCTTAACTTGGTCAATAGCGTATAAGGGTTTGCTACCACAGGGTGTATGTCTTCAGTGATCCTGTTTATTGCTCTCAAGTCCTGTACTAACCTATAACTCTTCCCATCCGGTTTCTTAATTGGTAAGATGGGAGTATTATATTCTGATTCACACTCGACCAGTAACCCATATTTCAAAAACTTATCTATTGTATCTTTTATTCCTCTTCTATCTTCTATTCTAAGGGGGTACTGCTTAACCTTTACTGGCTTCTCTCCTGGTTTTAATTTTACCACTATTGGTGCAGCATTCTTTGCTTTCCCAGGGACATCAGATTCCCACACCCCTGGATAAACCTGATCCTGGATTTCCGGAAGGGTTTCATTAAAAGAATCAGTTTGGATCAATACCAAACTTAGTGCACTTATAAGTCGGTCTTCTTTTACTCTTAACTCTACCCTTCCCTCTTCAAAAACAATTTCAGCTTCTAATTGCTCTAATAAATCCCGTCCCAATAAAGATCTAGGAGATCCCGGCAAATACAAAAACCTATGTATTCCCATTTGCTTCCCCAATTCATATTCCAATGGCTTTAAAAAGAAAGCTTTTTCGTGCCTACCCGTTGCCCCCACCACTGTCACAAAATCTTTATCTTCTGGCATCAACTTCTGATTTAACACTGAATATGTAGCTCCTGTATCTACTAAAAATTCTACTTCCCGACCCAATTTCCCTAGCTTAATTTTAACCAGTGGATCTGCTAGGGTAGAGTCCCCCGGTCTCCTTCATTGTTTTGTAGCCATTAATAGCTTATTTTCCTCTTGCCGCTTCGGGCATTCCCTTTTCCAGTGTCCTATCTCTTTACAAAAGGCACACTGTTCAGCCCGCAAGGGGAGTCGAATTACCTTCCCCCCCCTTCTCCTGCCTCGAAAAGATTCTTCCTGCTTTCGCAGGGCTGTCACAGTGGCTGCTGCAATCGTCTCACCTAACTTTTGCCTTTCATTCCCCTCACGATTTCTAAACACTCTCCAGGCTTCTTCTACTAATCTTTCCAAATCCCTTATGTCTGGTTCTTTCATTTTCTGAAGTTTTCGTCTAATATCTTCCGCCGATTGACCCAAAAACAGAGATACTAATTGAAGTTTACCCCCCTCAGAGGAAGGGTCTATAGTGGTAAACTTCTGCATTGCTGCCCTCAGCCTTTCAAGAAATTCGGATGGGGTTTCTGAGGTCCCCTGTTTTATTGTATATAGTCTTGACCAATTCACAGATTTAGGTATTGCATTTTCTAAAGCAATCCTAATCCATTCTTGATATCTTTTTAGCATTTTATAATCATTCTCATCATTATAATCCCAATTGGGGTCTGCCCTAGGCACATGTACTTCCACTGTGCCGGGCAGGGCTCCCGAGGCTACCTGGATTTGTACCTGCGTTCTAGCAGTTTTAACTATTAGCTGTTTCTCGGTTTCTGATAATGCAGCCAGCATTATCTCTATATCCTTCCAATCCGGGTCTAAGTTTTTCACAATCAATTCAAATCTTTTAGCCACCACCTCTGGATCATCTCGATACCCTTTCACCGCCTCCTTCCAGGCATCTAGTTCATTAGTTGTGAAGGGTACTTTAATTCTAGCAGGTCCATTAGCTCCCATAGCCTGACGCAGAGGGGCTTGGATTATTGGTCTTATTTTACTTCGTGTACGAGCAGTTATCGGAGTAAACCCCTTAGAGTCTATGTCATTTCCAGCGCCTTCAACTTCTATTCCAGCACCTACATCACCATTTATAGGTGGTAAAACATAATCTTCCATCCTTTCTTCTGGCTCATTTAATTTTAAACACCTCTGCCCAATGCTACATGCTGAACAACACCTCTTTAATTTCCCCACTCCATCCCTTCTCATATCCTTTTCTATCGATAAAATCAAAGGGTCTTGTGGGGCCAAATTAATGCCACACTCCTTCTGCCATTCTGGGTGGTTTCTTAGAGTAAAAAACATATCCGCATATGAAACTTCATCCCATTTCCCTTCCCTCCTTAAGAATAACATTAGTTGCAATAGCGTGTTGTAATTCAAGGTCCCATTTTTGGGCCATTTTTCCCCTTCTTGTAATTTATAAAGGGGCCACCACTGATTACAATATTTTATCAGGGTTTTCTTATTTTCACTTCCACCCGGAGCCCCCCCTATATCCTTCCAATGACTCAAAATACAACCCAGCACACTTTTCTTAGGAATTTCACTGCTTACTCGCCCCCCCATTTTCCAGTTTACACTTTCAGAATACACGTGTTACTTACAAAAGCGTATCACAAAAACGTATCACTCACAAAATTACAGGCACTCAATATCTTTCAGTAGCGATGTCACAAAGCTACTATTACCAGCAATATTGCTAAAATCACAATAACAATAGTCAGAATCAAATTCCACATGCGATAAGTCAGAAAACCGAACTGTGTAACACCGTAACGATATCTCTCTTATAACAATGCCACGAACCTACTATTACCACCAGAAAAATAGCCAAAATCACAGTAACAATAACCAAAGTTAAATACCATACTCCATGAGTCAGAAAACCGAAATAGACAACACAATTCCAGATGGACCTTAAAGCGAGCTCTTTCCTTAAGGTCCCCAAATATACTTATGGTGCTTACCACAAAGTATATACCAAACGCTGCCTCGCAGAAGATCACCTTCTGACTTACAGACAGTTCCAGATACAGATGGACCCCAAGGTCCCCAGATATACTTGTGGTACTAACCACAAAGTATATACCAAACACTGCCTCGCAGAAGATCACCTTCTGACTTACAGACAGTTCCAGATACAGATGGACCCCAAGGTCCCCAGATATACTTGTGGTACTAACCACAAAGTATATACCCAATACTGTCCTGCAGAAGTCACCTTCCGACTTACTGGACAGTCCCAGACGACCGGTCTACCAGAAAACCAAACCAGAATAAAGAATATACTCACTTACAATGATGGGGTCCTTGTCTGCCTCCGCAGTGATCCGGTGAGTCGAGGAGTCCCTCCGGGAAATCCCGGGGGTACCCTAGGGAGTCCTGTCCCCAGCGGGTCCTGCGGTCCGGCAGAGAGGTTGTCCCATCTGGGGTGCCAGATTGATTCAAAGATCGAAGCCGAAATTCCTTTAAGTGGTATATTCTTTATTGCAGCGCTGGATGCACGGGGGATCTCTCCACCTATCGTGCATACCCAAAGCAAAAAGCAGTCTTGAATTTATACAATCAATCTATCAATATTCTACAAGCACCTATACATATGCATTACCTATCCCCGCCTTCCCTCGCTTCTCATGCTAATTAGCCTTTTGGCACCTTGCGCCTGCGTAGAGCCTTCCAAGAATTGTGGGCAGGGGTCTTTGGGACGTGGGCAGGGGTCTCTGGGAGGAAGACCCCGAGTCTTCCTCACAGTGTACTTTTCACCTTTGGTCAGGAATCTGCTGAATTGGCATGTTTCTTAATTGCGAGAGCTGGTTGTTGCCAATTCTTCCGTTTGTTGTATCTTTATAATGAATTCCAATGTCCAGTTTTGAGATTTATAGTCCTTACGTTTGTTTCTCTGTCCGTCTGCCGCTTCCTTATCATGAGTTTCAGTGTCTTGTTTCGAGATATACAGTCCATGTGTGGGGATTGTCCTTGCCTCCCCAATGCCTCCCCAATACCTCCCTAATCAAACCTTTCTTTTAAAGAAGAAGCTTCCTAATTCATTTTTGTCTCTTACGTTTCTCTAGCCTTTGACAAAGCAATGAGATCTGAGTTCAGAAGAGAACATCTAACTCATGAAAAATAAACGGTTTAGTCTTTCTCCCCAATGTATAATCTTTGTAAGCATTACATTAAATTTCAAGTACATGATTTGAATGTTGGAATTTTCCTCTTAGTTTTCAAACTATCTTAGTAGTTTTATCAGTGGTAAGTAGTCTGTCAGAAACAGACACCTGAAGCCTTTTCTTATTTAAATAAGCATTTCATGTCTGGATTTGTTGCTTGAAGCTCAAGGATCTCCTGCTATCTCTGAATGTGAAAGTATTAAAAATGTGTCCAAAAACTGACCAGGTTCTGTATATATATATATATATTTTTTTCCTTTTAAGGAGAATTTTAGCTACATAAAATTGTTTCAAGTTACAGATATTACCTGTTTAGTAATGTAGTCATAAATCATATAGTAAGTGCAAAGAGATCATCCAGCTCAACCTGTCCTCTTAAAGTTCAGTACCTTCTCTCCTCACTGTTTTGTCAGTCTTTAGGTGTCTGCTTTTAACAACTGCTGCCTATAAATGCTAATATATTAAATACATATTTTTTGAATATTCTAAAAGTTATGTGGAACAGGAACTTGATCTCTGGTACTTTTTTTCTACAGATGCAAATAATTCTAACACAGTTTGTTCTTTAACTGTCAGTGAGGAAAAGATGCCTGCCATGACTACTGAAATGCAGCTTCAGGTGAGTTGGCAGTTCTTACCAAGCTGTTCAGCAGTATTGAATAGTTTTCAATCTAGAGACAAATGGGCAGGTACAGTAGATAAGAAAATCTTTGTTGTAATAAAAATAACTTAAATCTCTTCTGTCATTTCAGGTTTTGCACTCAGCACTCTTCACATTTGATTTAATAGAAAGTGTTCTAGCTCGAGTAGAAGAACTCATTGAAGTGAAAGTAAAAGCTGTAATGGCTGAAAACATTTAGGTCAACTGAAATACTTGAATTAGCATCCTTCTTGGAAGATAATGTTGACTATTAGACTTTAGTTGAAAAGGAGGCTACCAACCTTTAAAGAGTAGTGTAGAGTAGCCTCTAGAAAAATTGTAAACCCTGCTCTTTGTCTTGTTGCTTTTTTTTTTTTAATTTTTATTAAGAAGTCTTCAGCTATTTTTATCTGTGGTTCACAGAGATGGCCTATTTGTTAAAGTACTCCTCTTCAGAATTTGGTGCTTTTTTCAAAGATTAGAAAGTACGTCTACAAGGGTTTTTTGTTGTTGTTGTTATGCTGTGTAAAGGGAGGTATGATTGTGCATTTCTTGTTCTGTTCATTTTCAAAATACTTTAGGTAATAGTTGCTGACTGGTGTTCTGAATTACGAAGATTTTTATAAATTAACTTAGAGAGACATGAATTAAAAAACCTTGTTTAAGCAGTAGCTATTTTTATTAGCACTTTTTGACAAACAAACTTCTATATTTACAAACTGAACTGGAAGCTATAGATAATAGACTATGGCAAACTATACAAGGTTTAAAGAAAAACACATCAACCTTGAGCCAAATAAGACATTAAAACTTGGTAACAGAACAGATAACTTGTGTTTAAAAATGTACTCTGTAAGGCTTCAGGCTTCATACACAACTATTTATGCACAAGAAAATGTATTTTGGAATTGTTTTGATCATTGTTGTTTCTAATGATAAAGTTTTCCTTAAGATACATAACATATTTTGGGAAGTTATGATAAAAAGATGAATGTATAAGTTCAGAACTGAATCAAATATCAGGATGGTTTTTCTATTAGTGCAGTTAAACCGCATTTTAAATTTTTTGTTAGAACATACATTGGGTATAATGTATGCTGTTTTTCACTGTATGGTATTTTAATACAATTCTTTGTTCCAAATGCATAAGTTCTATATACAGTCTTTTAAATGGAATGGTATATTTTAAGAACATTCTATATTTTGTTCAAAATGTAGCTGCTATATTTATGAATAAAAACACCAGTGAATTAATTACAATGCAACTGGTATTCCTGAAGCATCTTCCAAACTGGACTGTTTTCCATTATGTGGGCTTTTGTCATTGCCATTTTGTAACGAATAGCATCTGCACACGGCTTGGAAGTCATCTTAGAGGAAAGAAAAATATTACAAGTAGGTAACAATTCTTTTTAGATAAACAAATGTTCAATATCTTAATTTTCAAATAGTACAAATGTATTTATCATAAAGAAATTTTAATCCTGTTTTCTGAAGTAAATGTTTAGAAATAATGTACACAGAGGTGATGGGATGTATTCCTTTAACTGCAAGACCAGTCCTGAAGTAACTGGTTCCATCAGCATTGCTTCTGATTATCTTGATAGTATTTCAAGAGAAGCTGGTGTGATAGCTCAGGACTAGACTAGTTGGGTGGTATTGTGCCCTTGGCCTATGCTAGAACAATAAAAAAATATTTTTTAGGTCCTATGACAATTAGTGACTCTCATGCAAGAGGTCATTAAGTTGGCTCTATACTGCATTCACAAGAAATAATGTAGTGGCAACTTGTAATATGTACTATGTCCCTACAATTTTTAGTATGTACTATGTCACTTCTTACAGGGCTGTCCTGTTGAAATCTGACGTACTCATTCTGAACAAGCAGAAAAGCACATTCAAGTTTATAGGATCACCAGTAATCTTAAAAGCTTTTAAATTAATGCTTCATTAAGAGATGAGACCACAATAGAGTCCATAAAAAGTTAGAAGAGTACAACATTCAACCTTGTAATAAGTGTTTAGCAACTCTTCACATATAATAAATGAGATGTAGGTTACACACTTAAAATGATGAATACTCCAAACAGGTTAATACTAACTATTTTTAGATAAATTCAGGAAAGGATAAAACAAATTCATATTTGATTTCTAACATGCTATCGAACCTACTTTTTAAGTTTTGGTACATGAGATGCTTCTCATATTGTTATAGTTAGTGTGCAAGTTAAAATTCTTGTGGAAAAAAATGTTCTTAAAACCAGATTAGTGAACATACTCTAATAATGTGTATGTGTACAGGATGTGTTGCTGTTACAGACTAATTACACTTATTAAGCTATAAGAATAACATTATTATGTGCATCATTTAAAAATCTACAGGTAACCAGATTTTTCAGATAGCTATTTTACTTGAAGAAGCCATTACATACTTAGATCTAATTGATGAAATCAAGACACCCTAACGTAACTGTGGTAAGTAAGAGCTGAATTAGCTCTTAAGTATCTCATTTTTCATACATGCTATTAGAAGCTTTTAAAGTTACCTTTAACAATAGTTTAAATATTTGCTTAAAGAACTGAGCAACGGTTTTACCTCAAGGTTATTACATGGATTGTGGTCAATATGACACAAAGTTCCAGTAAGGAAAGCTAAGTATTTTCTAATTTATTTATTTTATTTTATTTTTCCTGGTTAATATACTTCTGAAGTACTCGAAGTTCTGAGAAGCTAACAATTTTAAGTATATGTAACTAGACTTACCTTAGCTATAGTTAGCATTAACTTAACCGTTTCAGCAGTATTATGAACTGGTATTATACGTAAATTGCTGCCCAGGAATCTGCACATCAAAATAAATTGAGGTTATTTTCTGAATGCACTTGAATTATTATGCCATAAAACTCAGAAATCACTCCCACACAATCTAAACAACTTCTATGTCTGCACCACAAATAGTTTTTATTTTTAGATGAAGAAGTTTGCTTTTATCTTTAACGGTAACAGGAGAATTCATGCTGTTTGTATACCTATCTGTCCCATTTCTATACCATTTGTTCAGCTTCTAAAAAAGTTTCAGAACTTGAACTATATCTTTGTAGTGTGCTATCTAAATATAGCAATCCGTATGTTAATTAGATGTGATTAAGATTTTGAGATAATTCTAAGAATTTCACGTAAAGACTTGGACCAATAATTTAACTTTATTCCAATAATTTAACCTGAAATTCATTCTCTCTATATAAATAAAGTTATTCATATGCATTCATGCTTGAGAATGGAATCTGAAGATTAAAATAACTAGTGCCAGTTGTCATTCAAGGCAGTCATAGAAGAGAGGTATCAAAGCTTAGGCAAGCACAGAGCTTCTCTCTAGACTTTTAGCCTAAGTATGTTGTAACAGTGACAATAAAGTTAGCATTGCTGTCATTTTCTGTTGTAGAAAATATAATTTAATCTAAAAATATAAATATCTAAAATACAATTGTCACTATCAATTTGGCGTGGCCTGAAATTAGAAAACTATTTTTTTATTTTAATAAAATTACTGACTTGCCAAAGGGAATATATTTTCAAAATGTCACATTTGTTAGTGATCAACGCACTTCCGAATAGGCACAAAAGTAGATTGAGAATTAGCATTGCCATCAGCTGAATAATATGTTCTTGCTGAATGGTGGCAGAGCTTCTAAGAGCTCTCATGAAAATTTATGGAATTTTCATACAAGGATAATGGATTCCTACATTTCATCCCATACACTCTGCTACTCATCAGCATTTTGGCAACGTGCCCTGGATTTAATGAACGTGGCGCTAGTTTCAAGGAGGTAAAGATCAAAGACTCCATTGGAATAGTCACTTCTTTGATGTCAAGAGTGAAAATCAACTGCAGTTAAGACTACTGTACCTACCTGAAAATAGTTTTGATTAAATGTATGGAACAGAATCTGATAACTGTTCTCAGCAGGTGCATACTGAAACATGTAAGTTTTCAGGCTTCATTAGAAATCACAGATAATATTTTAAATACACCAGTTTTAATGTCTAGTTTTATACTCCTAGCATAGAATAACATTATTTCCATTGTTTAGCTGTGCATAGTAGACACCTGTTCAAAGTGAACAGATTTTAACACCTGGTAAAGAATCTGTACTTTACAATAAAGCCTTTTCACATGAAGAAAACTTACCTGTTCTGTTTTGAAAATGACCAAGAAAAGATGCTGACAGAACTAAAAAAAAAAGTTTATGAAAATTACCTAATTTTCCAGTGCGAGAGAAAAACTTGAAAAAGGATTACAAAGCCATAAAGTGATTGAAAGGAAGATTATTTGCTGTTTTGAGGAAGATCCCTTTTTGTTAACTATGACATGTTGGATTTATTCACTCAGCATTTTTTTCATTTTCCATTAATAAACTTTTTTTTTTTTTTTGCCAGGGGAAAATAAAATTCATCTGAATTTAGGACTGCTGAGTAAACAGTTATTTCATTTCTTCCTAGTAATAAAAAGATTGGTTTGATGTCGAAATCATACCTTCTCTGAATCCTAAACATTATATTCCATTCTTGTGGTCCATGAAGAGCAGCTGACAAAACCAAAAAACTATTCCGATGTATGTTTATGAACTTCTGAACTCTTTCTAAAAACTGTTCTTCCCCTCTCATAACTACGTCTTGAGTGTCTGCCAGTATAAATGCAACACCTATTGAAGAAATTAATATATGTCATGGAAATAACGTGATTAAGCCTTCTCACTACAAAAACCTAGATCAATAAGCAGAATTGTTATTCCAGTATTAGTTTAATAGTCAATAGAACAAACTGTTTGAATGAATTCACAAATCTTGATGGTGAAATGCAATCATGAGATTTAGCTAGTAATTTTAAGATAAAACTACAAAAAACTCAGAGGTTATTTTCTACCATAACATCAAAAAAGCATTCAGTACACTCAAGGTATAGACATCTGAATGCCTTTGCATGCAAATGCTTCAGGAACAAGAAATTGCTAAGATGGAATGTATTTAGGACTAGTGCAAAGACAGATTGAAGAGTTTATCTTATTTAGAAATAAGAATTGCTAAACAAATACCCTTTATTTTAAGATTAAGCTAAAATGTCTACCATGAAAAATGAAATTATAACCCCATCAACTAAGTTACTCTGAAAGGGAAAGTTATGTTGTAAATTTAGTAGGTTTAACAAGGAGATACAAAAGACTGGACCAATCTATGCCTTTAATCCTTATAGTTCAGGGAAGCTTTAGACTAAAGATCTTGTCTACCTGTCTAAAGCATCCACTGCTCTGAAAAGGATGGACAGGTGTTTCATGTTTGCAGTTTCAGTGATTTCCTAATCAAGCCTGTTCAAACAACAAATACGCTCATTAACCCCCTTGTTACCACCAGGACTGCAAATGCAACTGGAATAATTAAAGACGAAGATCTCAGTTCACTCTTACATTTACAGCCATGTATACTAAAAATCTCAATGGATATCTTAGGTTTAAATGGCATTCAACAAGGTTACTCAGTTTTAACAAAACTATACTAAATAGTCCAGCTGATGATGGAAACATTCCATCCTCTGACTTAAAGTGCTATGAAATCACAGCTCCTTGCACGACTGCATGACACCCCAACACAGAAGCTTTTATTCAGTTCACTGCAGCCTACAACAGATCCTGACTTGGTGCATCATTAGAGATTAGGAATTTAAAAACAAACTTCAAAGTACCGTACCAGAAAGAGAAAAAATCACAGATCCAATTTCCACTGATTCTGAATATCGAACTCGGTGTTGCTGCCTCTGTAGAACTGTAGAGATTTCATGATTCTAAATAAATTGTAACATGTTATTTTTACGTTTTCAGCCAACAAATTAAATACAAAGATTTTTAAAACATTGAAGGTTTTAGATGGAACTTTAGCATTGTTGCTTTAAAAATATTTATTCTACTTGCAATAAAAGTAGTAAAGCGTTAATTAAACTTTTTCAGTTAATTAAGTTTTGGAATATTTATATTGAAAGATATGAAATCATTGAACAGCAATTTTGTATGCATACATTCAGTTTGCCACAGGAAACTTGCACAAAGCATAAAGAAGCTCAAACATTATATATCCTATTTTTGTAAGATATGCTAAAGGAAGATTTGCAGAAGTGAGGAATATATAGTTGTGTGTTTCTAAGACTCCAGTTAATTAGACTGTTATTATTTTCATGGATATCAGCATTTCATTTGGAAGATAAATCAGAAAATCTGTATCGGAAATGATTTTCATTAAAGCTTTTTGACAGTATGCAATCCAATCAGGCAAACTAAGACACTGCAGTATCCAACATAATCATCTGCAGAATGGAGTGGGTTTGGATATAGTTTTCAGCCTACAAAAAGCATTTCTGCAGTACATAAAAGCTGCTCAAGCCCACACATTTTAAAGATTAGACCACTGAATCCTTTTTAACTAACATGTTTTTTAGGTTACCCTTTTAAAATGTAGCCAACCTGCCATGCAGGGAGGTGTCATGACCTAATAAAAGAGTACAAAATACAGTCAAGATGGCAAGTGTACCCTGAAGGAGACAGCAACCAGCTGGACTCTTTCCAGCAGATCTCTGTCTTTTTTGTACCGGGGAGCCCAGAACTGGACACAGTACTCCAGGTGAGGCCTGACCATGGCAGAGTAGAGGGGGAGGATCACCTCCCTTGACCTGCTGGCCATGCTCCTGTTCATGCACGCCAGGATCTCATTGGCCCTCTTGGCCACCAGGGCACACTGCTGGCTCATGGTCAACCTGTCGTCCACCAGGACCCCCAGGTCCTTCTCCTCAGAGCTCTGCTCCAGCAGGTCGTCCCCCAGCCTGTACTGATACATGTGGTTGTTCCTTCCCAGGTGCAGGACTCTACACTTGCTCTTGTTAAACCTCATCTGGTTTCTTCCTGCCCATCTCTCCAGCTGGTCCAGGTCTCACTGAATGGCAGCACAGCCTTCTGGCGTGTCAGCCACTCCTCCCAGCTTTGTGTCATCAGCGTACTTGCTGAGGGCAGACACTATTCCCTCGTTAAGGTTGTCGATGAAGATGTTGAACGAGACCGGACCCAGCACCGACTGCTGGGGAACACCGCTAGTCACAGGTCTCCAGCCAGACTCTGCGCTGCCGATCACCACCCTCTGAGCTCGGCCACTCAGCCAGTTCTCAACCCACCTTACTGTCTACTCCTCTATCCCACACTTCCTCAGCTTTGCTGTTAGGATGTCATGGGAGACAGTACCGAAAGCCTTGCTAAAGTCAAGGTAGATGACATCCACTGCTCTCCCCTCATCTACCCAGCTGGTGATGCCATCATAGAAGGCAACAAGGTTGGTCGAGCACGACTTCCCCTTGGTGAATCCATGCTGACTACTCCTCATAACCTTCTTCTTTTCCAATTGGTTGGAGATGGCATCCAGAACAAGCTGTTCCAACACCTTTCCAGGGACAGAGGTGAGACTGACTGGCCTGTAGTTTCCCGCATCCTCCTTCTTGCCCTTTTTGAAGACCAGAGTGACATTGGCTATCCTCTAACCCTCAGGCACCTCTCCTGTTCTCCAGGACCTTTCAAAGATGATAAGAGAGCGGTTTGGCAATCACCTCTGCCAACTCCCTCAGCATCCCATCGGGACCCATGGATTTGTATGCATTGAGCCCACTCAGATGCTCCCGAACCACTCTCTTGTCAACCATGGGGGAGCCTTCCATTTCCCAGACCCTTTCTCCTCCCACCATGGGCAAGGAGTCCCCAGGCGGAGTCCTTGAAGCAAAGACTGAAGTGAAGAAAGCATTCAGTATCTTCGCCTTCTCGGCATCTCCCGTTACCAGGACACCCCTCTCGTTCAGCAAGGGACCCATGTTATGCCTAGTCTTCCTTTTCCTGTTTACATACTTAAAAAGTATAGCCGATGCAATCATCACACTCTGATACCTCTCACCATATTACAGATTAAGTTACTCTTGAAACTTTCACCAACCTGGAACAGTTTAACAGCTATCCTCCCAGCGCAAGCAGACAAATAAGAATAGGCTTTAAAGTAAAATGACTCAGGAATTAATTCAAAACCATTCACCTATTTGCACAGCAAAGATAGAGCAATAACCTCATTAGCAAAACTAATGTAAGCTATCCCTGATTGTAAGTCAAAGCCCTCAGCCTCTAAATTCTTTCAAGCTAGCATGAAATTGGCCTCAGCTGCAGGCACTAATTATCAGCTCCTTGACAGCCCCTTTCATTTTACTGGGGAATTGATATTAACAGTTATAAATACACATCACTATCTGTACGACTATTTTAAGCTTAATTGCACACTTACTAAGTAATAACCTAATCCATTGTTGATACTGTACAGTAGAAAATAAAGTGTTTAGGGAGAAATTCAGACAATTAAAAACATTCCTGGAAGAATTATTTATACTACTAATTGAAAGCAGCATCAGCACAGTGCAGAAGTGATGAGTCAGGAGAACAGGCCTAAAGCAGTACAACTCAGAATAACAGATGGCTAGAATACTAAATATGTACAGAAGTAGGTAGGGAAAAATAAAAATAAAAAAGACAACAACCAGTGCTATGGTGGAAGCAACTTCAAATAACATTGCTGTTTAATCATCTAAAAGGTATATTAATTGATATTGAAAAAATCTATTTCCATGTATATAATGTAGAAAATACTTCTTTCACTGCTTCTTAGTGAGTCACATGCTGCTCTTGACAAATAGTCTTGTACCTGAAGGCCTGTACTCATAATAACTGTTGTTATCCATCTTGACTGTTCCTGCCCACCACTCTCTGTCATTTTTTGTGGTTTTAATGGCTTTGCAATGAAATCTCAGCTGCCTCTCTGAAAAACAAAACAAAACAAAACAAGAAAATAGAGATAACAAATATCTTAATTAAAGAGATACAGTATTTAAGGCACAGAGATCCATTGAAGGTATGATTAACAACCAGGGCACTACCCAGTTCTCCAAGATGTTTACAGGTACCCATCACCACCAAACTGATCTATATAAAATGGCAGTTACCTATCTAAATGGCTTTTCACAAAATTTGCATCTAGAGGTGTTAACAGGGAGCGAGCACCATAAATGACTTCAAGAATACATTTCTAGAAATTTCTATAACTTATTTGATGTCTAAGGAACTTTTGCTCTGTTTTCAAAGGGCACAGCTGTTACTCTGCTCCTTTTACAGGAAAGTATTTTTAGGCAGTCTTCCCCACGCCTCCTGCCCAACTCGGCTCAGCAACTCTTTCCGTGGGTGGCTGCGTTTCACTCTTCTGCAAGCACTCCCCGAGCCCAGGTTGGAGCCCATTTTCTACCTGGCTGAGGAGTGCTTGGGGCAGTGTGGATGCGCCTGAGGCAGCCCAAGCCCCATGCGGGGCCTGGCCCCCCTGAGGTTCCCACCTGGGGCACGCCACCTTAGGTGCCAGGAGAGCTGGTTTGCACAATCCCTTCTGCCACTCGGTTCCCAATTTACATTCTGACGGAGCTGCTCCTCGCTTGAAAAAAATGGGTATTTGGCAGTGATGTAGGCCCCGGGCCTGGTGAGGCCGCAGGGAAGGTGGGGCAGGGGGAGCTGTGGCTCGTGCTTCCTGCCTTGAGGGCTCTCTGCTCTCCCACAGCCATCCCGTGCACGGCGCTTCTCGGCCTCGCAGCTGAGCAAGGGGACCGGGGGCCTCTGACATGAAGGGGCACTGCAGAACATGGGGCCAGTGGTGGCCCGGCCTCTCCCAGGGCCCCAACTCCTTCCTGTGGCCCTTGGGAGGAGTCATGGCAGCTCCATGCTGGCGACGTGCGGTCGCCCAACCAGCTTTCCCTCACAGCTTCTCAGGAATGAAGAGAAAGTAACCAACATCTCCCAGCAAACAGATGACGAGCACTTAATTTACCACTAGGAAAGAGGGAACTTCTTGGCAACCGAGGAGACACTGAAGCCGGTTGCTGCCCTCTGGCTCCTGCCACTGGCTCTGTGTTGCCCTGGAGTCCGCAGGGCCATTGGCCTCTGCTGAGGTACAGGTGGGAGCCCAGACACCTAGTCAGTGTCCCACTAAAAGTCATCTAGGTCAGTGAGAGAGACTGCTGCCATACAATTATGATTGTGTGACATATTTACATGATAAAAAGGACAGAAAAGACAAAAGCCATGGGAAGATCCCAGGCAGAACAAGTAGGTGCCATAAACAGTAACGGCAGTAAGTTTACTTCAGCACAGGAAAAATCTTGAGGGAATGTTTTTAACGGACAGCTAATTATGCAGCTGTTTTCTTTGGTGTTCTAAATATAGAAGTTACTACAAAAATGTAAACCCAGCACCACTTTGAGAGAAAGAGGAATTCCAGAGTACTGATGCTTCTTTTTTCCACTATATATGAGGAAACAATGTTTCTTTTATACAGCAAAGAGGAGCTTGAGCCCAGAGCCATTAAAAGTAGTAAAAAATAGAACATTGATTTCCATCTCTGTTTGTTGCACTGTATCTGTATGTAGACTTGTGGTTATGTATTGAAAACTGTATTTTTACTGAAAATCTGAGATCGTAGTGAAAACATTTCCTTTTAAAACTTTTTAGAGCATTTTTACATAGAAGAAAGTGACTTTAAGTATATATTTAAAAAACAAAATCAAATAGCAAGTTGTCTGGCTTGCTTAGGAAGAGAGAGTTAGACATCTTAGTGATTTAAAAATGACTTTCCACCTTCTTCTTTCAGGTGAATAAGAAGCAGATTCACACCTGATGTTTACCTTTTGTTGGTCAAATCCACCAGAGAGTTAGAGTTACCCCTCACTGCAAGAGTATGGAAATGTCACACAACTATTGAAAGTAAGTCAAATACGTCTAATTCCTAATTCTTAAATTTCTGTGAAGTGTAATTGTAGGAGTCAGTATATTAAAGGAAAATAAATCCATGAGGTATCCAGGCTCCAATGTTTTTCTGGATGGCTGTGACAGGACCAATGAACTGTGAAGCCATTTCCTGTAACACAGTGGAGCCATTACCTTTTTTGACTGCTCTGACTGCATACAAAACTCAGAGTGTTGAGAACATCAGGAATTCTTTAAAAATACAATTATAAAATAATAAGGCAGTTTTATGATGAGGGTTGATGATCCAGCTGACATCTGCTGATGTGATGTTTGAATTCGTGCACACTGTGAATGAGTTTGTGTTTCAGTACTTTCAGTACAGAGGAATTCTGGGCTACGGAGTAGGAACTGTTGCTGAAGTAGTTGTACTTGATTTTATAACACTATAGTGCCTTTGAATTAATATTTTGGAATATGTTTAATATGTATGAGCATTAAGTGAATTACATCAATTCTGATGGAATAGGTTGGAATAAAATGACAATTCACAACATAAATATACTTAACAGGTGAGTAGATTTTGTTTCATTCTGTGTAATATTGTTAGAAATGTACAGTACAAGAATAAATTACTACATTTTAAAAAATATGGAAAAATATAAATACTGGATTTAGGCTCCTGGGATACCAGCAGATGTCTTCTTCTGCTATAGCCATTTACTAAATATGAAGGAGTTGCCTCTTCACAGTTTACGAGTCTGTTCTCAATGTATGTCTGTCTCAGCAGTGCCTTTCTTCAAGCTGGATTCAACCTTAATGCTGTATCTGGGCTGTATGAGTATGTATGCACATACTGAAAATTAACCATTTCGAGAAGTTTTAACATTTTACCACTAGGATATCCATCATTAGCTTAAGGTAACTTAGTACAGTAACTATACAAAAACGAGCAAGCAAAAATACATATTAGACTGTCCTACTCTCACTTTTGAGCAGTATGGTTTCTTGTTACTGACTCCATCTCTGAAATATATTTTTAAAATAGTATTTTTTAATGTTTGGAGGTCAAGTGGGCAAATGAAGCATGTTGAATCTGAAACTGAAAATAATTTTCAATCCACATCTGGAAAGTTTTCTGACGAGGTGGAGAATTGCTAGGAATATCAAGGCTGTCCTCAGCACTTGCAGTATATTCATTTGCTTCATGCAGTAGGGTAGTACAAGCAGTGCAGTTTATGACATCGACAAGAATCTTGCTTCCAGCCAGTCTGCTTGAATATAAAAACAGGCATGGTTTCAAGAAATGCAGACATTCAAGTCTTCATTCAACATACTAAAAAGTGAAGGACTATCAAAAATGATTTTATTAAACCTCCTAGTCTTCAGAAGTGTGTCATTATATTTTATTAAGACTGTTTTTACATGAGAAACAGTAGTATTTATATACTGACTGACTAGGTTTTAGTTTTGAAATAAGGTATTTGCATAATGTCGAATTATAATTATAGTTGGTTCCTGCCATCTAAGTAGAAGGCCATTTAAATAGAGCTTGGACTAAAAAAAGATGTATACTTTTTCAGTAACATATTCTTTAGAGTATTCTTCCCCCTAAGTGTTCTCCCTTTCAAAAAGTGACTTTGAGGGATCCTGTGCTGCCTGATGCTAAGAGCTAAGTACTACTTCACTACCATATCTGCACTAATTCTGTGCTTGATGTGAGTGTCCGTCCTTCCTCTTCCCTACTGAACCACTTGGATCAATGCTGTAGCCTTGAGACTACAATTGACCCCTGCAACATTGAGATTTAAGTTTTCAGCAAAGGTTCAAGTCTATGACTTCTTACAGATGTTAACCCAGTTCTTTGTCCTTTTGGGGACATGCACACAGAGCCACACACAAAATTCCTGGAACCTGTGTTATTCTCAGTGATTTTGACCTAAGAGGCAATTGAGGCCAACATAGAATAGAATCATAGAATCATAGAATATCCTGAGTTGGAAGGGACCCTTAAGGATCATCAAGTCCAACTCTTGACACCGCACAGGTCTACCCAAAAGTTCAGACCATGTGACTAAGTGCACAGTCCAATCTCTTCTTAAATTCAGACAGGCTCGGTGCAGTGACCACTTCCCTGGGGAGCCTGTTCCAGTGTGCAACCACCCTCTCTGTGAAGAACCCCCTCCTGATGTCAAGCCTAAATTTCCCCTGCCTCAGCTTAACCCCGTTCCCGCGGGTCCTGTCACTGGTGTTAATGGAGAAAAGGTCTCCTGCCTCTCGACACCCCCTTACGAGGAAGTTGTAGACTGCGATGAGGTCTCCCCTCAGCCTCCTCTTCTCCAGGCTGAACAGGCCCAGTGCCCTCAGCCAGTTCCTCGTACGTCTTCCCCTCCAGGCCTTTCACCATCTTCGTAGCCCTCCTCTGGACACTCTCCAACAGTTTCATGTCCTTTTTATACTGTGGTGCCCAGAACTGCACACAGTACTCGAGGTGAGGCCTCACCAGCGCAGAGTAGAGCGGGACAATCACCTCCCTCGACCTACTAGCGATGCCGTGCTTGATGCACCCCAGGACACGGTTGGCCCTCCTGGCTGCCAGGGCACACTACTGGCTCATATTCAACTTGCTGTCTACCACGAACCCCCAGATCCCTCTCTTCTAGGCTGCTCTCCAGCGTCTCATCGCCCAGTCTGTACGTGCAGCCAGGGTTTCCCCGTCCCAGGTGCAGGACCCGGCACTTGCTCTTATTGAACTTCATGCGGTTGGCGATCGCCCAGCTCTCCAACCTATCCAGATCCCTCTGCAGGGCCTTTCCACCCTCATTTGAGTCCACAACTCCTCCAAGTTTGGTGTCATCAGCAAACTTGCTCAAAATACCTTCTATTCCTACATCCAGATCGTTTATAAAAATATTGAAAAGTACCGGCCCTGAAATGGAGCCTTGAGGGACCCCACTGGTGACCGCCCGCCAGCCTGACGCAGCCCCATTCACCATAACCCTTTGGGCCCTGCCCGTTAGCCAATTGCTCACCCATCGTATGATGTTTTTATTTAGCTGTATGGTGGACATTTTGTCCAGTAGGATCATATGGGAAAGCGTGTCAAAAGCCTTGCTGAAGTCCAAAAAAATCACATCAGCTGGTTTCCCTTGGTCCACCATACGGGTGATCTTATCATAAAAGGAAATCAGGTTAGTTAGGCAGGACCTACCCTTCACAAACCCATGCTGGCTGGCACCAATGACTGCTTTGTCCCCCAGGTGCGCCTCAATAAGTTCGAGAACCATCTTCTCCATGATTTTACCAGGCACTGATGTGAGACTGACAGGCCTGTAATTGCTAGGGTCTTCTTTCTGATCCTTCTTGAAAATCGGCACAACATTTGCCAGCTTCCAGTCTACCAGGACCCCTCCAGATTCCCAGGATCATTGAAAAATAATTGAGAGAGGTTCCGCGATGACGTCCGCCAGCTCTTTCAGTACCCGGGGATGAATCCCATCCGGACCCATGGACTTGTAGGGATCCAGGTGAAGTAGCAAATCCCGCACACGTTCAGGGTCGGTTGGGAGTTTGTCATCCCCACCGTCCCGGTCGTCCAGCTCAGGGCACCCTGGGTCCTGAAGCCCATCATCGGCATTGAAGACAGAGGCAAAGAAGGCGTTAAGCGTCTCTGCTTTGCCTATGTCATTGTCTTTGAGGAGACCTTCCTTATCAAGGAGCGGCCCTATGTATTCTTTAGTTCTCCTTTTTCCATTCACATATCTAAAAAAACCCTTTTTATTTTCTCTCACAGACACAGCCAGCTTCAACTCTAGGTGTGCTTTAGCCACACGAATTTTCTTCCTACAAACACGAACAGCATCCCTGTATTCTTTCCATGTCACCTGGCCCTCCTTCCAGTAGCGAAACACTCTCTGTTTCCACCTAATCTCCATTAGAATGTTCCTGGTCAGCCACGCCGGCCTCCTGCCGCGCCTGCCTGACTTGCGATATTTAGGAATTGCCTGATCTTGTGCTTCTAGGAGGCATCGCTTAAAGAGTGACCAGCACTGGTGGACATCAAGGCCTTCAAGAGCAGCTTCCCAGGGGACCTTGCTGACTAGTTCCCCGAGCAGCCTGAAGTCCGCCTTCCCCATATCTAGGGATGAGGTTTTGGTGGCACTTTTCCTTCTGTCACCAGTAAATTTTGAACTCAACCACTTCATGGTCGCTATGACCGAGGCGGCCACCAATCACCACATCTCCCACCAGACCCTCTCTGTTTTCTAGCAACAGGTCTAGGAGGGCACCTTTCCTAGTTGGCTCCGTTAGCACCTGCACCAAGAAGTTATCATCTAGGTGCTTCATGAACCTCCTGGACTTGCTCGTGTCAGCCGTGTGGCACTCCCAGTTAACGTCTGGCAAGTTGAAGTCCCCCATAAGGACAAGGGGAGTTAATCTCGAGGCCTGTCTTAGTTCTGTAAAGAATAATTTATCGGCGCTATCGTCCTGGCCAGGTGGTCTGTAATAGACTCCCACAACGACATCCCCTTTATTCGTTCGTCCCTTGATCCTTACCCAGAGGCTCTCAACTTTGCCATCGCCGACTTGAAGTTCCACACAGTCCAGCCCCTGCTTCACATACATCGCCACCCCACCACCTCGCCTACCCTGCCTGTCCCTCCTGAAGAGCCTGTAACCAGTCTATCGCAACACCCCAGTCACAGGACTCATCCCACCAGGTTTCGCTTATGCCGATGATATCGTAGTTGCGGGACTGGGCCAGTTCTTCTAGCTCATCCATTTTATTCCTCATACTGCGTGCGTTCGTGTAGAAGCATTTCAGGTGCGTCTCCTTACACTCAGCACCTTGTGGATCTAACCGAAGGACCTCACTGGCACACAGCCCCTCTGATTCTAGCGTACCATCCCTTAGGTCATCACCGGCGTGCCTGGTTTTAGCCCCTTCCCCCTTCGACTCTAGTTTAAAGCCCTATCTATCAGCCCTGCCAACTCCTGACCAAAGATCCTTACTCCTCTCCGAGAGAGGCGCATCCCATCCGGTGCCATCAGGCCCGGTGTAGCATAGACCTTCCCGTGATCAAAGAACCCAAAGTTCTGCCGGTCACACCAGTCTCAAGGCCACGAGTTTATGTGAACAGCACACCTTTTAGCTTCGATCCCCCCTATCGGAAGGACAGAGGCAAACACAACCTGTGCCCCTGATCCTCTAAGTAGTCACCCCAAATCCCTAAAGTCTCTTTTGATCACCTTCAGACATCTTGTTGCTAACATAGGAGGCAACATTTTGCTACTTGGGACTACAGTAAAAACTCAGTTGTAAATGTATGGAGATTAAGTATCCAGTTATTACTAAGTTTTGTAGACCTACTCAAGTGTTCTGCAAGAATGTAAAAAATGTGTAGGAAGAATTGTTTTGGGTTAGGTTGAAAGGAAGTATGTAGATGTACAACTGATGTTACTGAATGACCTTCAGTTCTTCTACAACTTTGGACTCTTTCAGTCTTGAGGATTTGCCCAGGGAGGCAAATCCTCAAGACTGAAAGAGTCCTGCCCAGGGAGGTGGTGGAGTCACCATCCCTGGAAGTCTTCAAAAGACGTTTAGATGTAGAGCTTAGGGATATGGTTTAGTGGGGACTGTTAGTGTTAGGTTAGAGGTTGGACTCGATGATCTTGAGGTCTCTTCCAACCTAGAAATTCTGTGATTCTGTGATTTGACCAGTGCATCAAGAGACTGATTGTTAGAGTTCTAATAATGAATCAAGAAGAAAGCAAAAGAGCTTTAAATGAAAAAGTTTTCATGCTTTTTTTTTTTTTTTTTTTAACGATAAAAGACAGGGTGAAGCTGCAGCAGAGAGCAGAAATAGGGCTGTGTCTGGCAGCATACCAAGTAAGGCCTGGGCACAGAGTGAAGAACTCCTTTTAGGCAGGAATAGAAAGATCTTGGGAGTAGAACTTTCATATGATGAAGATAATGGTTTAAACATTTGGATTAATAACTAATTTATGACAAGACAGTATCTCTCACAAAATTAATTTTTCTCTGCTCTCCTGGATCATATCCTGAATGTTCTGAATCAGCACCTATTTTGATATCTGATTTTGCAGGGCAGTCCCACAGCTACTTGTCTTTTCTATGGATTCCTATGAGAAAACTAATTTTTCATCTTCACACACATCACCTGTCCTGTTCTCTGACGACATGATCCAATAAAAAGTACTTTTTTCCACATTAGAGGAGAGAAAGTTGGACTGAAGGTCCACTAAATGCATGGAAAAAGAAAGTCACTTTTTTCAATTTACAGAACACAAATTAAAATTGATGGCAGCTGTCCACGCATTCAATGAAGTACAATGACACAGCTTTTAAGTTACATGTAGGATTTATTATTTCCATCTGTCATACACAAATCAATAAAGAATCTTCAATATGTAGCATGGGGAAAAAGCTTGTGGGACTATGCAACCATACAGTGATTCTGAAAGCAAAAGACTAGGTTCACAAGGAATCATTTGGAAATATGGTTACTTAGACCCCAGCTGTGATTCTAATTATTAATGTCTGGAAAACAAGTAGGTTGAAAACATGCAAGCATTCAGCTTGAGAGCTTAACATGCTCCTTACTCTCCCAAAGACTGAATGGTCAAAATATTATAGGATCCATTAAGGCATGGATTACAGCTAGTGACTCAGACTTTTCTCCAAATGCACCCCATTATGCATATTAGGATTAATCTCAATTACTAGAGCACGACAATCCAGAAAATAGGGATTTAAGTTTCTTGCTCTACCACAAAGATACAGGCAGACCTCTTGTTACAGGTATAAAATTTCACTTAGAGGTGGGTCTTATGTTCACGAGCATTAAAATTACCTCATTCTATGAAGGTAACTAAAAGTTTTTATGCTACCAACACTGAATCTGGCATGTACGTATGTTTTGTCCTAAGCATATTGATATAATTCTACTGAAAGGCAGGATGCCATGCTGCATTCATAGGAGGGTTATAAAAAAGAAGCAAGAAATTAAAATGATCTCACTAAACACAAGTTTAAGAAAATCACACATTTGTTTGATCACAGTAAACCCAAGGTACCAGGGTTGCAGAAATGAGGATGCTCTTCAATTTAAGTAATTTGTTACAGCCTTACTAAGCTCAGTCTTAATTTGGTTATACAAGCTAAAATTTTTATTCAGGTTACCAATCCTTCTGTTCAAATGTTTTAAAATATCCCTAGTTTTATAAATATGGATCTGATACCACTCACAGTAACTTCAGAGGGAGCTGAGAAAAAGTCAGAGTCACTTTTACTCCAGTACATAATTATAAAATGTGGTGAATTGTCCGGGTAATGGGGTCAGTCCCCACATTTGTGCATGCAAGTGTTCAGATTCACCAGAGCATTCAGTTATGTCCATTTCAGTTGTCTTCAGTTAACATTTTGAAAAAAATATTTTGGCCATTGATGTCCTTGTTAACTGTATCTAATTACTGAGGTATAGTCACCTCCCCCCAAATACTGAGGCTTCTGGTTTTGGAGATCTGATCAGCATTCATATTTTACAGTGCAATAGCAAAAGATTATTTGTTCCACGTAATGCAGGAAGTTACATTTCTCAGGATTTTGATTTCCCTAATGGAACAGTCTTCTGAGCTGGGAATTTCAGTAATAAGTCAAAGAGATTAGGGAAGCAACCTAATGGAATTCCATTATTAATTATCGCATACTTTAGCTCCATCCAGATGGTTCATCAAGATTAGAATCTCATTAAGTTGAGAGTACCATCTGAAAACACGAGTATGCATAGTGCTTGCCCCCAGTGCCAGTTCCATTACCCTTTCTGAGAAGTGAATGTTAACCTGAAAGCCAGTCTGCAAATGTTTGAGCAGATTTACTCATGTTTGCAGAACTGTAGCCTAATTCACTGTACAGTGTAGATGACGTATAGCAAGTAAAAAAGAAAGGTTAAATGCAAGAAATAAATAGGTGTGCATGTGCATGCATGCATTGTTTAGCTTATTCATCTATTATCAAAGGTAAAAAATATGTATATATATATATATATACACACTGAAATCACTATTTTTCCTCAACTGATATCCGCGTTTTATATAAATCATTTTCTTCCATGTTTAGTTTCCTTAAACACATGTAGTAGTTGCCAATAGGAAGCTTGGTGTTAAATGAGCAAAGAATGAATTTGAGCTGTAATTTTTCCAAAATAAAATGCATTAAAGCTTATTTTTGAAAAACAGCATATATAGCTTATAGCTATAGTGTTCAAGAGATAAAGGTGAAAACCACTATGGATTTTCTGCAAGAGATTAAAACTTCTAATTATACTGGGTTTCAAATGTAAAAGCCTCTTTCCATGGAACCATCTATTGTAGCAAAGCTGCTACTTCTGATTCTCTTTTGTCTTTAGTTCCTGTGTAGTCCTGGCAAGAATGTCATCTATCATAGTATAAATGTTAAATCACTCCAGGCATGAAATATTAACAGAATACATACAATTATGACTCCTAAATTGAAGTCTTTCTAGCTGCAATTTGTCACCATTCCAATTGTACAGTATTATAGGTTAGAATAAAACTAGAATAGTAAGAAATACAGATATTGGAAAAATAGCATTTCTAGTACATGCATTTAATATAGCTAAGCCTTGAACCTATTTTAGCAGAGGTCAACAGGAGTTTTGCCTTTGATATTAGTGGAAGCAAAATTATGCCTACTTAAATGTCTTGGATTTGAGCAACAGATGATCAACATAAGAGCAGTTCGTAATTCCTTCATGCAAAGGTTTAGCTTTTCTGCAACAAAGTAGTATAAACATGCGAGTAATTATTTTGCAGATGGCAGTAATATATATTCAGAGTTTTAAAATAGTCTTCTGTGATCTGTGATTAGAACAGGTACATTATTTTTTGTGTGTATATTCCCTGAAAGAAAGTAAGATAGATGATGTTAGGGGAATTCGTATTATGGACAAACTTTGTGTGAGGAAAATGGGATGTTTTCTTGCCCACTAGCTCCTCTGAAGCAATATTAAAATTTGTAGGTTTGACAATTCAGTGTAGTTTTGAAATAGATTTAAAACCTTAAAAAGTAAAATGTGGAATAAGATTATTCAATACATACAGTCAAATCATGTATTAGCCAGAAATTAAAAATATTGCAAGCCAGGCGTATTTCTTACACTTCTTGACTATTCTTTTTCAAAATACTTTCAAATAGTTTTATTATAATGCGAACATTTGTATCTCAAGTAACTATTTCCAGTGTGCATTGCGTTCCTGTCTACTGACTTTATTCCAATTTGACATGCTACAGACCTTCATAAAGCCCAGCAACCTCAACTAACTTTGAAGTTACCCCTGCTTTTAGCCGGAGGTTAGCCTAGAGACCTTCAGAGGTCCATTCAGGCCTGAATTCTTCTGTAATTCTGTGTTTTTTCTGTTTCTATTCATTCTATGATTCTATAGCAATTTTTTTCCAAGAGAAAAATGATACATTTATGATGCATCTTTTCCACTACCCATACCACAAAAGCACACATTCATCTCTTGCACTCTCATCCGATCACTTACAGTAACAGCCCCGACTGCATGCTGATCTAATTTCACGCATACTTACTCATCTCTCCTGATCTTCATTTTAGGTCTTAGTCTCCTGATTTCTTGTGCTACGCTGTATAAATATGGCATCTTATGCATTTAAAATCAAAATTAAACATATTAACTGATGTGTTTTGTTAACTGATGCCTCTCTCTTACTTGCTAGCTTCAGTTTCCTTCCTACCTTTCTCTCATATTCTTCCAAGCTCCTCCATTCGAAGGAAGCTAGAATCTCATCTTGATTGCACCTAAGAACATTTTCTTAACCAGCCTCAAAATTGCTGTTTTATTCACATCATCTATCTCCTGGTCCATTTTCAATTTTTTTTTTTTCTTTTCTTATATTCTGCCTCCCTCATTTGACTCCTGTCTCCACCTTTGTTTATTTTCTTAGCTTCCTTGATTATTTTTCAACCAAATCCTTTGAAAGAACCTCAATTTCCTGTAGGGGTCCAAGTGTTCAGGCCTCAAGTTCTTTCTCTTTTCTTGTCTGCAATATGTGATTTATTCCACAAATACAATTTTAGCTAGCACGGGAAAAACTGGCAAGGCCGCTTCTCCAATGCAATTCAGACTCTTCCTTTCCAGACAAAAACAGTTAATTATGCTGGTATGACATCTGGACCGTCTGGAGGTCTAGCCTATTTTGAACGTAATACATCTATACCTGTTAAACATCCTTCCTGTTTTTTACTTCCATAAAACGTCATTCAGGATAAGCAAAAACAGGGTCATCGTCTTAAAGTCTGATTTCCAAGTTCTCCCTTCTAAATTTCTGATTCTTTATTCCCTGTAGGATACAGGCAACTTTATCCATTCACATAAGCAGATCTCATGGAAGCTGTCAGTATTACCTTTTGACTGCAAGTTTCTCTTCTAGACTGACAAAAAACAATTTTACTGCTGTTACTCATTCAAAATACTACTGCCAAGATAAATTCTTAACCATTACTTTGACTATGCCATCTTGTTTCAGTGGGTGTACATACCTTGTCTTTACATCAGAGGTCATTCAGGACCTCTTACGCCCTATTCATTCGGGGCCCATGATACTAGCTTTGGCTACCTGCATATTAAGTTTTCAAACAAACCTTTGTCCGTTCTCTCATGCTTTGGAGAGAGGCCAGTACATTGGCAGAATGATTGTCAGGAGATGTGAGCAGGTTCCAGAGAACTCAAGTGATTGATGCTATTAAACAGACAGCCACCTATACCTGCCTAAAGCTTGCACAGCCTCCTAAATGAGGAGGGACTATTAAACAACATTGAGCACAAGCAGACAAGCAGGATTGGTCAGGAATATAGATCCTTACAGCTTCCTCCAATTTTCCCTTCCCATAATGCATACAGAGAGAAAAAAAAAACACAACCGTTTAAACTGATGGTGCACTGAAACTATTGCTGATTGGCTGAACTAATATTGACTCTCATTTTACTTTTGCATCCTTTTTTTTTTTTTTTTTTTTTTAAACCTTTTGCCTTAACTTGGATTATAGCCACGCTGGGAAGCCTTCGTTTTTGTTCTGTGTTTGTACAGTGTCTAGCCAGTGGGATGCTGGTCTGATTAAGACTCACAGGCAGTCTGGTAATGTGAATTAAAAACAATACTGCTTTTTGTTCTTGCTACTTCTACAGAGAGTCTGTGGCTGTGGGAAGCTGAATTCTATTGTTACATATGCATCAATTGAACAATACACCAAATCCTAATCATTGGTCTGCTGCAAAACTATTACAGGAATTATAACATCAGTGGGTATTTGAAGAGAGAATCTGATTTAATTGTTATACAGCAGCTGGAAAAGTAAATAAAAATACAGCTCAGTAACATGATTATATCTCAATATGCAAAGTGTGAAACTTTGTGTGCTGGTTTTCAGTTATTTTTTTTAATTCCGTAAGTTAAAAATATGGGTAAAGCAAAAAATAGACAAGGGGAACCTTTCTTTCACTTTGTCACTTTTCCTAATCCTTTATCTTCTTTCCATCATTTCATTTAACATTTGAATGTCCACCAGGGGCATCAACCAGGATTTTAAAGTTGATTAAACAGTATTTTAATCATCTTTTATGACCACATTTTGCACAGAAGTTGAGAAAAAAAAAAACAAACACCACATTTCTTCAACATTCTGTGAGAGCTTCTCTAGTTGTTTTTTTTTTTTTTTTTTATTCAGAAGTTACTGCCCTTGCTTGTGACCTTGAAAGTAAAAGCTGTTTTCTTGATGACTTGCACCTCTAAAGGTTCTCCTAACTCCTTCAATAATAAAGGCTTGGCTATATACAACAGATATATTTAAAATTTTAATATCACAGAATATTAATGCTGATAAAAGCTAAGAAGACTACAGGAAAAGTTACTATGAGAATGAATATCTTTCTTGCATGGGTTCTGAGTCCTTCTTCATTGTCAGGAAAAGAGAGGAGGGTTTTATTTTTTTTTCCCCCCCTTTCTTGATATTAAAGAAAGTAATACAATTCCTCCTCAATTTCTTTGGGGAAAATAAAATGTCACTTTTACTTCTGTAACAGAAGTTCAAAAAAGTGGCTTTCTTGAGTAAATGTTTTGCCTTAGAGCCCTTTATTTTGTCAAGTCCAAACACAAGTTATGACTTTATGACAACTTTAGTAACGTGTTAGGGCAACTTCATATTTCAACACAATGAGAGTTTCTGACTATTGATAAAAAATAAATGAAGTTCCTACAGAAAATTAAGGTGCCCTGCCAGAGTTCTGCAAAACTGACTATATTATCATTGTTAAAGCCAGCTAAAGTTGTGCTTTATAGTTAAAAAAAAAAAAGTTAGAAGTGCTGTATGGCAGTAAAAGGCTGTTAATGACTAAGAGGAGGTAGGATACTTCTTTAGATTTTGAACTGTGTGAATGACAAGCCCTATCATTTCCTTACTGCAGGAATTTTAGAGGGGGTAACCCCTGCAGGGAAAAAAACCCTCTGTGCTTCAGGAAGAATTCTGTCTTTGTAAGAACAATGAATAATTTCTCACTCCCCTCTTCCCCTATCAAATCAGAAGAGACAATAAACCGTCCCCTCTATGCCCAAATTCACACCTAGAAGCAACAGAATGAGCAGTACTGAGAAGGATGTCCTATCTCATTCTGCTCACAGAAGAATGGTTATGTTGGCATTTAGTCTCTGGATAGAAGCTACAGTAGAGAGATACAAGAATTTTGTTACCCCCCCCCAAAAAAAATGTAGTATTTATGAGAATAAACAAAACCGAATCTCTGAGAATCTAGCTATGCCTCAGGTAGTGTCAGAAGTTACAGGGTGCAACTGTAAGGAAGTGAAACACAAAGCTAGTTCTAGACAAAGTCAGACTTCTGATATGAGTGACTAGATTATTTCTACCAGGACTTCAGACTGAGATACACTTTTAGAAATATCAGACATACTCTTTTAAAACAGGAGCAGCATTCTCCTAACTCTTCTGAATTAACGTACTATGCCATTAAAAATATTTACTTAAATACGTGCATTTTCAAGAAACAATGCCCTTCCTAGAGCACAGAGCCTCTTCAGACTTATATTTAAAAAATTTATTGAAAACTTGTAAACAAAAAAAATACAAAAAAAAAATCAAATGTGGATGAAACAGATGAAACAAGCTGCTCATATTAATAAAGCCCAAAGGGGATTCAGATTGGAACCTTTCCTGTGAACACAAATTTCTGGCAGACATGACCTTTCGACACAACCATTCTGAATCTTTATTGTTGTAAAATTGAGTCACCATATAGAGAAAGAGAGAGAAAAAAAGGAGGGAATAACTCTACTAATTGTGCAGTCATCTTTAAATTCTTGCTCAATGAGACTATTAAATGGCAAAAGGAAGATAAAAGGAGAGAGGAAACCGAGATCTTCCTTTCAGGTCATCTAATTTTTCTAACAATTCCAGAAAATACATGCTCAAAATTCATTTTAGAAAAGACATACATTTAAGTCTTGAAAAATAATTGTACTTGCAATTAAATCTAGATTATAAATTAACATATTTACCTCATTATATCAGAAAGATTGCCTCAGTACCAAGAATTGCTTGTTCTTGACTGATGCAGTATTTCATTATTGTATGGAAACAACGCATCAAAAATAGATTTGGGGAATGGATTGGAGTTAGTTGCAAACATTTGATCACCTTAATGATGAGTTTCCAGTTCAAGAATTGTCCATTCCCCTTGAGGGGAAGAACAGTCTTCAGATGAAAAGCTTGCCACTGTTATGCTTGCTGAAGAGTCATCAAGTGGAGACATAAGTTCAGTCCACCTACTGAATGTGTCGACTTGTGATGTACCCTGAGGATTCGAACCATCTCGTGCCAGAAACAGTGTCTGATTGATGAGACATTGTGCTAAGTTAAGGTCTTCAGGAACAGAGTTTTTGAAACCTATGTTTGAGTCCTGCTCAGATAACAGTTGCCTGAGAAGAGTCCAATCCTGTTCTGCAAACTGCTGATCTTCAAGATCCACATCTAGAACTGCTGTTTCTGAATCCATCCTCTGCTCAATTGCTTCTCCAACATCCATCTCATATATTGGAGAAAGGGTTTTTGAAGGCCGGTGCTCAAACACGCAGGTTTGTGCCATTGTGTCATAATCATCTATGTCTCCTGAAATAATTCACAATACTGTACAATGTAAAAATTGCAGGTGATCCTCCCCTCAGGGCTGTGTAGAACAAATTTAACTCATTCAGGAAAGATAATCCAACCAGGTTAAAAAGGGGATGATGGAGGGTTATACAAAATTGACAAAATTTTAGGCATTTATTTCCTATATAAAAAACGAAGTATGGTTTATAAATCAAGTTAAAGCAGCAATCACCACTGGTAATTAACAATAACCTCCATAATTAAGTTTCTGATACAGAAAACGACAATGTAAATACACATTTAATGCACATGAAATTTCTCATTTACTACATAAATTAAATTTAGACCAGGAGGTGCATGGAGGGAATTAATAGAGAATGATTTCTGTATGGTGACTTAAGCCATGTCAGCTTAGAAAAGAATTAAAGACAAAATACTTCATCCACAGGCTTATTTCTACACTGCACATGCAATGGCAGCTGCAGGCAAGGGCAAGCAAAACTTAAAAAATAAAATAGTACAACTTTTGTTGTCTTTGTGTTATATGGTTTGGTTGAACATAGATCGTCATCAGCATTTCATTGCTCTTGAATACACAATAGTTGATAACACTATTGTATATTTTTGATGGGAAAAACAGACTGAATTATTGGTATAAAGACAAAACACAAAACAACTAGACAAGTATTCATCTAGCCACATCAAACAAGTTAGAACTCTTCTGTGAATAACTTATTTCTTAGTTCTAAGTATAATCTCTCTTTTAGGAAATAAGTTTTTACTGGTAAAATTTAGAATATTATACATCTCACAACCTCTAAATCAGAGTTCAAACCTGCTCCCACTGACGTATATGGCAAATAATCAGTTATATTCAATGGGAGAACGACCCAAGTTTGTGTATAATATATAAATAAATAAATAAATTACAACGGTAATACATATAGCTGTTCAGGTAAACGGTTCAGTGCACTTTAGTTAAGGTTATTACTGTAGTTATTGCACATCCCATTCAGACATACTATATGTTGTCAAGCAGACAAAACAAATACTAAGTTTCCATCAAAAGTTGATGCTGTCAATGTTAGATTGGATCAAAAATAACTTAGGTACAAAAAACTGCATCCAATCTTTATTCTAGCATTACATTTAAATCTTTTCCTGTAGTAGTTAAGTTTCTCATTGAACAGCATGGTATTTATGGATATATCAGACAATCTTTCTTTACCATAGTGAAATACTTAAAAATACTTAAATTTAATATAATTTCCGCCAAAATTACTTCAGTTTAGGATTCAATCCCAGGCAAATTGCCAAAGCTTTCCCTAGTAATTTGCTCTTGAATGACTGAACGTTTCTATTTCTGTACATTACCTGGAAGTAAATCAGTATTAGCGAATTCAGTAGGTGCTGGTTGACTGTCTCTCACTTGACCTTCCTGAGTCAGTACCTGATTCTTACTGGCTTCTACAGGTTTTGCAGAGTTGCTCTTTTGCATATCAGCATTTGTTTCTCTTTGATGAAGATCCAAATGACATGGTCTTTCTTGAGATTTTGCATCATTGTCTAGGTATTTATTGCACTGCTGAAACTCAATAGCCACCTCATTCTTTATATTTACTTTTTGATTTTCCCCTGGACATGGACTAGCCTCTGAATATACTTTCTCTGGGCAATTTTGTTCAGTCATTGACGTACCTTGATTCTCCTTCCCTGGCACTTCAGTGCCATGAAGAGGTAGGAGACAACTTTCACTTTTTTCCAGTCTGTTGTCTCTATCCTTAGGCTGTTTGCAATCCAGGAATCCATCTTCAATTTCCAATGAGTATCTTGAATAAAAAGTCTTTCCATGGTGCTCTTGAGAAACACTGTCAAATACATCTGAAGGAGTAAGAGAATCTATTGAATGCTGATGTGAAGGATGAGTTTCTGCTCTATCATCAGATCCCAGTTCTTCACATTCATCTACTGAAAGTAAAACAGATCGCTTGAAATTTTTAGTTTTAGAAAACTCTTGTCTTGCACTATCATTTTCTGTTGCATCTTCAAAAGCTAAATTATCAATTCCTTGGAACTGTTGAGTGGGAACATTTGATGAAGGAATGTTTTCTGCAACATTTTCTGCTTCAGATCTGTCATCTTCTGTTTCATCAGCAGAAGAAGAAACTTGGTCTGCTTCCTGAGTAAACTGTGCATTGCCAAAAGCAGAATTTTCAGTTTCTTTAATACTGGTCCTTGCGCTTCCCTGATGGGACCAAATTTCATTTTTTTTTCTTGGTATTTCATCATCACTTGTTGAATTAACACGGAAGAGATCAGAACCTTCTTTTTTCATTTTTACTTCTATTCTTAGGCTGCTGTCATAAATTTTTAATTCTTCAGGTGTGCTAGTGTCACTGCTGCTTCTTCCAAGAAAATCATGGCATAACATAGTGCTGCATTTAGAAATCCCTCTTTCATTGGATCCTTCATCATCCTGAGAACCTCCAGCATCATAATCTTCTGATCTTGGTTTTATATCATCAGAGGATGTGGTGGCACTGCCAGTATCTGATTCAGGACTCTCTTTTGGATCTAGCGCTCCAGTACTCCAGTGGTCCACAAAGGGAATTTCTGCATTTTCTTGGTTTTCCGGCATTTCCATTGGATCAATACCTTCTGTGTAATGATGTGCACATTTGTCCCTTACTCCTTCTGTGGAACATTTGGAAACATCATCTAAAGCTACTGTAACTGATTTGTATTCAGTCAGGGCTGGTGTATCACACAACTCATCAGCTGAAAGAAATCCCTCCATATGAACCTGAGGAGATGATGTTACATCTTTATTGGTTATCCTTTTCGAAAAGCTTGGTAAAGTATTTTCACCACGGTTGAGACCCATATCGCTGCTTAATTTATCACTTTGTTTGATACAGACTGTTGTTGCTTTTGAACGTTCTACCAGTTTTCCTGAAGCAGTAGCCTTTTGATTGGTTTCCTTGGAAAAGTCTGAGTATCCATCACTGGTAGACTGCACTTGACAGTGAAATTCAGCAGTATTATCATCTGTCTTTCTGTCTTTATTCTGTTGAATTGCAGCCTGATCTCCACAGATTTGTCTTACTTCCATTTCATTTTGCACTGAAACATGCAATTTAGAAAGAGTTTCTTCTATAATCAGAGGCAAAGATTTAGATTGTGATTTGTATTCCTCATTTTCAGGAGGATCCAGTAGTTTTTGCTTATCAGGTTGGCAGGATTGATCTTCTCTGCTACCTTCCATCATAGAGTTTAGAAATTCACTTTGCTTTGCAGAACTGCATTCATTATTTTCATGAAGCTGAACTGCTACAGAATCGGCCATATTTTTTTCAAGTTTCTGTCCAGGACTTCTGTGCTCTGAGGCATGCATATTCTTCTGGACAACAGGAGATTCACTCCTTGAATGTTTTGGGGTAGAGGACTGAGATTTTAATACAGATTGCCCAGCTGTTTTCAGTTTTGGGTCTTTATTATTCATAATCTCACCATGCTTTGATGGAGTCTGAGTTTTGGGTGTTAGTGTTTTTGCAGCAGCTTTTGTTACAGGTGTTTGAGACTGCTTAACACTCTTCTTCTTGGCTGAAGGAAGTTTTTCTGGGAGTGCTGTCTGAACCAGGTGCTGTACCACATTTTTTTCTTCGTTATGTTTTGGAGACATTCCTGATTTCAATGACTTTGGTGATTCCACCATAGGTCCTAACAAACAGTGAACAAACAGACATAAAGACTATAGATTTTAGTCTATGTATACGCACTGAATTTAGGTTAGTGTGCATTTGTATTGACAAACAGATTACTCAACTTTTCATTCAACTAAGGGATTTAAAGCTTGTTAAAGAATCAAAAGTTGAGATCTTAAATACAAACAAGATGAAAATGCCATCCTGCATTTACATACCATCTTTGGAATGAAAGCACCTTGTAGACTATACCTGAAGGAGTTTGACCTGTCACCAAAGTAGTCATCACTGGAGTAGAAAGCAGCAGCTATGTAGTAGTGCATAAAAACACCGCACAGCAGTTAGCACAGGAAGTGATGGGTACTGTATTCAATTTATATTGTAGAGGAAATGACAGGAGGTACAAACTAATTGCATTACTAGTAATGTGATTAGAATACCAGAATGAACATCACTGCTCTGTCTGATCATACTGCAAGATCTCTAATGACCATAAATTGACAGGACCAGTGGTTTCTGTATCATAATGCAGATAAGATAAAGCAACTGGAACGTTCTTTCCCACCCCACCCTCAGTAAGTGCTAGATCCAAAAGGGATTAGAAAGAGCTCCATCCTTAACATGTCATATATTCATAGAGCTTTTTCCTCTCTGTGCTCTATGATGTCATTTCCCACACTTCCTCTGAACAGCTGTCAAAATTGAATATTAGTTCATGGGGGTAGGTCAGCATCAGCAGAACAACTACTAGGGAGGCAATCAACAAAAAAGGAAGGCATAAACTATAAAGTTTGCTTTGTTCTTGAAAGTTCTTGAAACAGTCTGCAGTCTGGATCTTTGATGTATATTGTAAGCGCTTGACCTACAGGATTTCTATTGAACTCAGTCATAGTTTTAAGTGCAGAAATGTGAGCTATTAGCAAATAAAAGACTCGGCGAAGCAGATAACAGAAGAAAACGCCAATTGGCAGAGAAGGCCATCTCTAAATATTTTGAAATAACCATTCATTTACATTTTACAGTTTAGTGTTGTCACCAATAGCGAAATATGGAAAATAAAATTGTTCAGAAGATTTTGCCAATGCTTGCACAAATCAAAAAAAAAAACACACAATCAAACAAAAAAACCAACCAGCCAAACAAACAAAACCAAAAAAACCCACCCATCAAGTTTTTGCAAAAACAATGCAGGACTGTTTCATTACCACTGGAAACTTTACCTTGATTTTTGGGGGAATTGGTAGGTGTGTTCTGAGCCTTTTGCTGTGTAGGGCTACTCACATGCCCTTTTTTCTTTAGAACAGCTTGTGCATTTTGTTCATTGCACCCTTTTCCAGTTGACTTTTTTGTTAGACTGCAAAGAAATTATTATATGCATTATTTTCAAGCATAAGATCTAGCAATATTTGATAACATTTGAACAAGCAATATATGTGTTTTAATGTACACACATATATATAAACATTGAAAATCCAACCTAAACCATGTACTTTTGTGGAAAGAAAATATACACCTATGTATGTATATAGGGGTGTGTGTGCACCTATATAAGTGACCGCTGTCATATTTTCACAGGGTTTCAACTGTCTTTCTGTGCATTGTTTTTGCAGCTCACTCTAAGCGATCCCAGAAATACTAAGTTTACAACACCTTGTGCAGTCATTAACCGTTCCAAGTGTGCAGAGTTCTGAATGACCTACAACAATGTTCAAATGATTAGCACTGAAAGAATCCAACATGAAATCCAAAGTGTTTCCAGTAACAATTTTTTTTTTTAGAATAACATGTAATAGACAATCATTATGAAAGATACTCAGGTTAGAAGTAACATGTTGGTTTAACAGTAAATTTAATAGTTAAACTGAAAAAAAGATTTCCCAAGCATGCATCCGTAGAAACTAAAAAAGCATATTATTAACAAACCTGCTTGTTGTGGCAGTAGCCTCAAGCTCAGTCTTTTTTTTTTTGTTGGTGACTCCATCTGAGGTCTTCAAAGAAGACTTTGTTATTACTGCTGTGAAATAAATTCAAAGTTAATTATAAGGGAAAATGCACTGCATATAAAGTACTGAAAAATTCTAATACGTGACGGTCAGCTATTGAAAGCTGCATACTGCATAGCTGCTAAACATGTAAAAATTTTTAACATATGACTCTCATTGATGATAGACTTTCTAAAAATAAATAAGTAAATTACCAGCACGTTTTTTTCCTTCTTCTACCAATTTATCCTCTTTGGGTTCTTCTGCCTGTTTGCTGGCAGTCTGGATATCTGTGCTCGAGTTTGTTAACTTGCTGGATGTTCCTGCCACAGTCGCTATGGATGGAGATTCCTTCCCTGTGTATTTTTTCAATGGTTTAGTTTTGATTTGCACACTTGCAGTTACAGTCAGCACTTTAGGCCTGGCACCTGTGATTTTTCCTTCATGATTCTTTAATCCTTTGCCACTTGCTGAATTTTTTTGTCCACTTGCAGATGTCTTTTCAGTATCTTGCTTGGTAGGCATGCTTTCAGCCTTTGTATTTCCGTTATTTTCTATTTTTGTTTTGATGACAGCTCTAGCCTTTGGTGAAGCAGTTTTTTCCCCAGTTTTTGAATCTTTAGTAATTTTGGAAACAGTTTTTTTGCTATCTTTTCCCTTTGTATCCTCATGCTTTGAAGTCTTATTGGCAGTGTTTCTGTTGGTGCTTGATGCATGTCCAGATGCTCCTAATCCATCAGATTTCATTTTATCCTGATTAGTGGAAGAATCTCTTCCACAATCTTTCTTGCTGTGTTCTGTCCAAGAAGTATTCCTTATACCAACAGATTCAGTACCAGATTTATTTAGCTAGAAAAGAAAATCAGAAAAAGAAAACAGAAGACCATATATATAGTATACGTGCATATATACATGTATACGTATATGTGTATGTATATATATATACACACACACACACATAATCTGTAACTTCTGAAACACAGCTATTTATTAGGTAGTACATGAATCTAAAACATCAAGTTTCAGCATTGATATAATTTTTAAAAAATTTATTTTCAGCTCAGATTGCTGGCTTACAAAAGTACCAGAAAAAAATCTAGAGTGCCCAGTTTATTTTTTTGTCTTGCAAAATGCTGCTCTATATAGAGGATATAGAAATATCTAAGCAGAGTCACATTTTTACTTTAGACAATTTTTTCTGTTATGTATAGCTAGTGTCTGCTGATGGAAGGAAACTTTTTTTTGAGCTACATATGCCTATTTTCCAACGAGAAATAAAGACTCTGAATTATTATAAACATAAAAATTAATTTGAAATGTGTTGTTTTTTTAAAGCCATTACCAAAGTATATCCATCAGATAAGTGATGATAATTATTCTCTCTCTTAGGTAAAGATATTCTGAAATATGGAGAATTAAGTACATAAAATGGAGTCTTTGTGTAATTGCAATGTATCCATGACCATCAAATCATATGAAACCCACGCTAGTTTTCTACTAAATAGTAACCTAATTTTGAGCATGAATTTCAACAGAGGTGTTGCTGTTCAGGGCATTAAAACATAATTTTGATGGCAGGGAGTGTAACAGACTCACTACTGCCATGGCTTGTGATAATAGTAGAGATTCGTTAGCTCAGTAGCAAACCATTTGCTCTGGGAAACAGATCTGTTTCATTACGTAGCAACAGGGGAATGTGAGATTCTGAACACAAATTCCAATCTTTTATTTGAGCTCATCTGTTTGAAAATGTAGTAGAGCATAGGATGAGTCCTAAAATGTTTTCAGTAAGGGACATCACTGATTCTGCAGAAATTAGAGTTCAAGAGAATACAAATTTTTCAAAAGGAAGTTGCATTAATTAATGTGACAAATTAACATTGAATATAAGATGAATGACAAAAATAGTTATGTTCACAAGCTTTCAAATACTTTTAATGCTCAGATATGAAGGTTTACCTGAGAACTAGTGAATACAGGTTTTTTGCCAAGTCTTCGGTCATCACCCTTGTCAAATGCAGCTGTAAAGAGGAAAAAGCACTTTCTTTAATATTTAGCAGATAAGAAGGGAGACAGAAAAAAAAAGTCAGCCTACTCAATTAGCATCTTTTGAAATCAGGAAGTGATTCTTTGGGTCCTTTAATTTTTTAAAGAAGGCTAATTTTGGTGATGTGGCAAATGTTAAGAGGAGAAACAGCTTTATATTTGGAACAAAAATTGTGATATTTGTTATGAGGTCACATGGCCACAAGCTTTTTTTTTTTTTTTTTTTTTTTTTTTTTTAACTCTTACTTTAACTCGTTTCCCCATTTTCATAGTAAGACACTTTTGTTGATCCAAGCTTACCTTACTTAAAGCTTGAAATACAATGAGACTTTGGAAAGTGTATACAAAAATTTACAATAAAGACAGACCTTCAGATTTAGAGTACTAATGACTTTAATGTGACACACTGTAATTTATAGATTAAGTTTTTATAATATTTAAACAGGAGGTTGATTACAGAAAGGTAAATTAAATTAGTTTTCAAGCATGGTAAAGCCAAAATATCTAAATGTACTGCACAGTGCCTCTTTAGACAGCATGCAGCTTAACATCATGAGAGTTATCTTATCCCTGTGATTGTCATGTGAAATTTTCAGGCAGTGAATGCCTCTTTTTTTTTTTTTTTTTGGACTGTTCTACTCTGGTAGAGAAGCATTTTTCAATGAAGCTTTTGAATTAATTGTGCTTGTAGAATATAAAAAAAATATGTATAGACACTATACAGACACAGAATAAGGTTTCTTTTTTTTTTATTAACGTTTCAACTGAAAAAGAGGTTTTACAAAAAATGTAGTTAAAATTAAGCATTCAGTTCCTCTTTTTCTGACAGTATTTGTACATATATAAAAATGTATCCATTTATAACAATGAAACAAAAAATCTGCTGAATTCTTATTGAAGATTTCTTAAATATATTTCTGTAAAAATCAAACAAGAAAAGATATCCTGAAAATGGCACACCAGGGACCTATCCCTTTTTTCAGCAATGACTCTGCACAATAGTACATATTAAGATAAAAGCCATTTAAACTTGAGCCTAAGAAAACACATGACATGCTGTGATTGAAAAAAAAAAAACCAACAACAACAAAAAAAAAACAAAAACCAAAAAGCCACACCATATCATTTCTTCTTTTGGCATTTTTCCTCTTCCTTCTGTTACAGTATTCCAATTCTAGATAGGCTAAATCTCTAAAAGATGCCCCTTTCCCCCTCCCCCCCCCCCGAAATCTTTTAAGATGAAAGTTGATTTAAATGATCTAAGGCAAATTTCACCTGAAGATTAAAATTTGTCTACCAATATTGTGTGATTGCTTTGCCTGTAATTAAAAACAGATAATGCATGGGAACATTTCAGATTGGTTGTTTACAAATAAACCGTATGCTAGCTCTGACTTAGGGTTTAATTTAGAGAAAAACAAAACAATGTCTGTCATGATGGAGTTCGGACAACTAAGGCACACCTCAGTCTTAACTATTCATTTTTGTATTGAAAACAGCCCAAACATTATGTACAATAAGGAGATAAGCATACTAAAAACACCTGCCCAACAAACAAAAATCCTCTGGTTTCTGAAGCCAGCTCCTTAGCCTCTGAAAAACTTCATGGTCCAGAAAATAATCACAAACCTGTTTCATGCAGATTTAGCAGCGAGATGTTAGTGGGCTACACCCTTAAATCATGCTTATAAAGACTGACACTGTATCTTTACCTCAGCGTGCAATTCTAGAATAAAATTATCATCAGCCTACAGGCACGAACAGCTCTGTAACTAGCATGGTCTAACCCCAAATGTCCTTAACAAAAAGAACACTGAAACGTTTACCTTCTTTGAATCAAAATGCTTTCATTTTATACAAGTCTTACACTGTACTGTCACAGCCAGTATTCAGCCACAACTCCATCATCAGTTCGCACCCGCAGAATACTTGTGTACTTCAGCACAAAGAAAGGCTCAGAACAAAAACTCCTTTTTGTTGGAAGGGCTGCCTGTCCACATTTTTAGAGCACAGTGCAGCTCCTTAGGGGCTTTCTGCAGTAGCATACACAGGATCACAATACCAATCAACTGTGAAGTCAAGCTAGCTGCATTTACTCACGGAGCCTGAGATAAGCATTACGCAAGAGACAAACTATTTATACATTATGTAGAAAATGATAAAGGATAGAAACTGAATTCATAGAATGGGTAATCTACTTTATGTAAATTTAACATTTCCACAGTGCTTATCTCCTTAAAAATGAAACAGAAAAGGTCTATTAATCCTACTGCAGTATTTTAAATGACTTAGAGTAGCTGTAAACAAGGGGAGAATCAGCATATCCACCTCTGGTTTCTGTGACATGCTCTCCTAAAAATAAAAGCAGGGGAGACTTCATAGAAAAAGACTTACTGATTTCCACGTTTGAAATTAGCTAAGCATGCATCTATTCTAAAATACCATTTCAAATACCTACTGTTTCAGAAACCTACAGATTGTGCTTTAATTTGTATCTGGCTCCACAGTACCACCTACATTTTATCTGCTAAACAGATTGCTAAAAAAATCTAATGCTAAATTCTAATTCTAAAATTGATGCCAGGCATACCTGCTTGTATTTTCTGTTGATGGTCTGGTCTCATCAGCTTCCAGCTTTCTGTGTGACGAACAGCATAAAAAGACTGAACCAGGAAGACCCAGAGCTTATCACGCAGAGCCTGGATCTTGCACGTAAAACCCTGTGTTCAAGTAACAAATCAGCAGCTGGCGAGAGGCAGATTGTCATAGCAACCAGTCATTATTCCTTGCAGAATCTACTTACTCCCTAAGCTAGATCAATGATGTCATCACTTATATTTTATAATGGCCTGGTAGATGGGGATGCTGTTTTTGAAAGATTATTGCCCACCATGGTAATTTTTATAATGCTTTGATATCAAATCACTCCAAGGCATACTAAAGCACTAGAAAACACTCCATTCCTTTTTTTTTCCTCCTCCTTTTTCCTATTTTTTTAAATGAACCCCTTAATAGCTCTTCACTGTCAGCTGTGTCACAGCAAGGTCAAATACTCTAGGGAAAAATAATGTATCTGATTAAATTTTCATTGGTTTTACCAAGAAGACCTACAATAGCACCAGATTGCAGTAATTCATTTTGCATTTATTTTTCATTCTTTGCTTGTAGCATCATTCCAGATTTTAATCAGTATGTCATATTATTCATGAATTATCCCCAGCATTACAGTCAACCACAGCTTAAATATCTTTGTTCATTATTTAGACTGTGGGATACATGCCATGTTACATACACACAGACTGATACTTCCCACCAGTCCAACACACGCTCACTAGATTAGGCAGCCCTTGCTTCAGAGGAGAGTCTTAAACCCAGATGTAGCTGTGACTTTTAGAAAATGTGGAAGGGGGTTAGATATATAGAGAAATAGAGAATTAAACGCTCTTCCCCTTTAGTTTTCAGGTTAATTAAGCATTTTGGTAAGTTTTTCCTCATCACAAATTTAAAGTGATAGTAAAGATCAACAGAGCAAATGGTGCCCATGGGACTTATATTCTCAGTAATACTTTTTTTTTTTTTTATGGCCATATGTGGGGTTTCTCTTTAAAAGAAAAATGTTAATATCCAGTAAAAAATGCCAATGTCTTGGGCACTTCCAACCTGAGCTCAAAGTACATCACATGATTTGAACTCAAGTGAAAAGACTAGAATAGTTTGTCCTACAGACACTGCACGTGGCAAAACCTACCATCTCCTTCACATTTGCGGAGTCCAGCAATGTATCCACAGCTACAAGAAGAAAGCAGCTGTTTTCGTTATTAATACTTTTTTCAATTGCATTAAAGATTAGTTCGAGAAGGTCAGGTTTGCTGCTCATTGCCTGAGCCTGAGGAAACAACAAAAGGCAACCATTTAAAATAAAAGAGTGTGCACTATACAAAAGCATTACTGAACAGAAAGGGTCTGCTATCATGCTGGTGCAGGAAGCCTTCCAAAAGCTGAGTATCCATTCCTGTGTATTCCTTTCACGCACATCCCACTCCAGGCCTCTAACAAATAATCTTGAGAACTCTTGCTAATCCAAATTTTAGGAATAAACATGAATTTACAGCCACATGTAACTCTGAGTTCAAAGACAAAATGTTCTAAAATCTCAATATTTAAAATTCTCTACACATTAAACAAACAAAGCTTTTTATGGGAGAAATGAACTCCCTCTATAAACAGGTATTTTCTAACTAGGACTTGCAGCATTGCCAGTAACTTGCAACAAAGATCAGTGAAAGTTTGAGTATACTGTTAATAGTTATAAACGTTCTTGTAAATACCTGTTGTAATCTGCGGGTCCAAAGATAGGAAAGTTTTCTGGAATTTTATGTACATACTTACTATCTCTTTGCGACGTAGAAATTGTCCCACTAAATTCTTGTGTGAACATTTGTCTTAGCTGAGGCACATACCCAAATGCAGTATTAAACCTTAATAATGCTTTATAACACTTAAATTTAGCACTGCCTTTTTTTTCCCATATTACTGTAATTTAAAGCAAAAGTTGAAACTATTGCAGTTATTTAACAGCCTGAACTATCCAAAGCCTGATATGATTCAGTTTACTTGGAAACACAGAGTAACTTGAGGGCACTTTTACCTGCAACAAAGTATAGAAGGCTTCACTCTGTACTACATGTAGGAAGTTTGCCACAATAAATACTATGCATTCTTCTTGTAGCCTAGATGCCACTGCCACAGCTGCCTCCGTCCACTTCACTTGGGGAAGACTGTTGATCAGCTGGTCACTTTCCATCAAAAGGAAAGCAGCATTCTTATGGTTCTTAGAAAATAAAATCAGAGATTAGGCTGTTGCCTAAAGAATTGCTGCTTATAAAATAGCTTCTGTTCAGTTCCTGAGTATTTATACAAGGATCCAATGATCCAACGATATATTCATTTCCCTTTTAATAAATAATTTTGGCTTTTGGTAATTCTGAACATTATAGGTACCTTTGAAACTAAAAGAGAAAAAAAAATAATCTGTTGCTGCTTTGTCTACTGAAGTTAGGCAGTAAAGTTTTCAGTAGCTTTTATTGTATTTTCCAACTGTCATTACATACATACTGTAGTCCTTAACAGAATCTCATCTGATACGATATTACTGAACAGAGAAAATCATTCTAGGTCACTGCAAGATACAATAAATTATTTAATAAAATGTGTAAGTGAATGTTTTAGGTGATTGTGGATGGTCCAGCATTTGGAATACATAAATATCCAAGTATTTTCATAGCTATGAATCCTTTTGCCTTATTTAATGGAGACATCAAATATCTGTCTTCATATATGGAGAACTTACCTTCTTTTTAACTGACATTTCTCTAAGAAGCACGACTGTTATGTTTATAGGTAAATTAGAAAGAAAAGAAAGCCAAATTCCTAATATCTACCCCCCAGGTCAAATCTTTTGCTTCTTTCATACTTGTCTAAGCATTTGCATTGTCTCATCAACCCAGTAACCAAGAACAACTTCTACTGGCTGATATGTGACTTAAAATGAACTTGCAATTTATTAGGATGGATCCACATTAGGATGGATTGACAGCTCTACTCAACATAACCTAGCAGGTCACTAATAAATGATGTGGTAAGATCAGTAACAGTGGAGAAAGAAGCAATTCAGATAAACATTTGACACACACACACAAAAAAACACACGACACTGTAAATTCAGATTATAACCATGTTTGGATCATACAATTAAAAATCAGTGAGGATTTTCTTCATGCATATTGCAGTTAAAGCATAACATCTGTTATGCTGTTGAACAGCCCAACTGTGTTTTATTATTTTACTCAGCTGCAGGTAAAACAAGTTTGTTTATATGCATTTAAGGTAAACTAAAGATTAAGCAAGTGCTTATGGTTCGATCTTGCTCCCACTGGACTCACTTGCAAGCTTTTGAAATTGTCCAGGAGTCACCCCTGCTTGTAAGGCAATAAGCATTAACCCCCTTCAGACATGTCCAGTGAAACACAAAATGCTGTCATTGACATCTAGCTAAAACTGGCCCTTGGCAGGAGGGGCCCTATCTGAGTTTTACTTCTCTTGTTATAATGTTTCTCCTAATCATTCTAAAATGGTGTCCACTTTACTCGCCTATAAAAGTGTAAATCTGACACCTCATTGAGACTCTGGGGTAGTACCTGGATGGTGTTTTAAGCTGCACTCCCCTTTTAACATTGCTGTGCTTGTCACTGTGGCTGCCCAGAGATTTTCCAGTCAGTAGTCTCCTTGTCTTTGTCCCTTTTTGTCCTCTAAGGGTTGCCTGTATTTATAAGCTTCGACATTTGCAAGATTGATTAATGGCAGGCTCAAGAGTCATACTGTTTAAGGCTCAAGAGTCAAACTGTTTAACTGTTAAAAAGTTCTACAACAGAGAACTTAGAGGATTGCAAAACATTGGGCAGCTCCTGCAAAATGAATGTTACACTTTTCTTCTTTCTCCTTCAAGCAACTTGAAGCATTTTTGCAGATTCTTAGTTTTAAAAATTCCAGTGGGAATTCCACAAGTGGACCGGGTGTCTTAAGAGCTCGGAATTAAATGATCACTCATCAGAACTGTTCTGTGGGCAGATGAGGCTTATGCTTTACTTTTTAGAATTGCAATTAGAAAAGTTTTCTAGGCTTCAGTCTATAAAATATTGGTGAGTCTTGCAAAGACCCATGAACAAAAATCCCAACTCAGTAAAGTGGGAACCAAAATACACTTTAGTCTGCACTCCAAAAAGTTCTGGAGAGGCTAGGTACACAGCTGGAGCAGTACCAAGTACTACAGTTTCTGTGAAAGCTGGTAGCTTCAAGATAGCTCATATATTTCATCACAAAATCAATACCACAAAGCTACACAGACATTCTGGGAACAAATGAGTGTACTGAATTAATACAATGGCAAAACACTCCTACTATCTTAAAAGCCATAGCTACTACATTCTGTTAAAAGTTGATGCATGCTGGTAGAAGGACTGGTTATTATAGCTTTGGATACTCACAAGCTTCTCCTGGTACAGCCACATAGATCTGAAATCTCTTGTTTTTCAGGCCTTCACCTGAATACAGACTAGCAGCCACCACTTACAGCTGACCTACTGGCCTCAGCACTTGATGGGGTAAGTACTCTCTCAATAAATCATCCAGAAAGGCCCCCAGAAGCTTTCACAGCACTTTCAGCAAGGGGCAGTTCTTGGACAGAATTATTTGACAGTGTTGAGCTAAGGGGTATGTTTGGTAGCCATACCTAAGCTCGTTACCTTGGATAAGAGTAACAAGACACAAGAACAACTTCAGCATGAGATACACAATCATTCTGGAGAACGTACATACTCAGCTGTCTAGTGTATGCTAGAACAAAAATTGTCCTGTGAACATTAGCTGAGCTAGTTAGATTAAACTTTGTGCATGCCAATCCATTAGTTGTATTTATATACACACACACACAGTCATGCCATGACAACAGCTGTACAGATATATCTTTAGCTCCTTTACCTGATCTTTTTATTTCTACAGCAATTCACTCTATTTCTAGGCTAATTACTGGGCCAAATTCCTGTTAAAATAACTGATCTGAGCTAGATCTATGAAGTCAGCACTGACAATAGTTTTATACACAAAGACAATTAAAATATTTACATTTAGGTAGATCAAAATTGGAACAATGTAAATACATGCTACAAACAATGAATTCTGAACTGTGACGGAACCAATTCAATACTGTCATCTGTGAAGTTGAAGATACGTATACAATACTGTTACTTTCTTTTTGAAAGATAGCGGGCATTTAAATGGATGGTTTGTGCTCACTGATAGCCAGTGATCACCTGAAGTCTGGGAAAAAGAAAGATCACAGAATCACAGAATTTCTAGGTTGGAAGAGACCTCAAGATCATCGAGTCCAACCTCTGACCTAACGCTAACAGTCCCCACTAAACCATATCCCTAAGCTCTACATCTAAACGTCTTTTGAAGACTTCCAGGGATGGTGACTCCACCACTTCCCTGGGCAGCCTGTTCCAGTGCCTAACAACCCTTTCGGTAAAGAACATACGTAAAGAGGAGGAGACAATCACAAATAATGCGCGCCGCTACCTAACATTAAATTTGATGCAGTAATTTGCTGCTCCTCACTCTTTGAATATGTAATGAATGCTGTGACGTCAGAGCTGTGTTTCATAAACTCCTTTTGTATTATGCTGGACTTCTATGTGATTTTCACTAGACTGTGTTCCATGAAGCATAGCAACTACATCTGCACATCAAAATCTGTTTCTTAAATTGTTATTTTAATGGAACTTTTATGCAGTATATATGTACTACAGATCTAAAATACTACTGTTATTATTTCTTAAATCGCACTCTACAGATAAATAAGCAAAAAATTTATGCCACTGTTTTTATATAAAATACACTATATACTACTTACCAAAGACTTAATCAACATAACAAGACAGTTGTTCTGAAGTTCAGGAGGTAAACTGGCAAAGCTTCTCTCTGACAAACATTTTGCAAAATGTTTTCCCACCCATCTGTTGAAAAAAAAAAAAAAGAGTCTTAAATAAGAAAGATGAAAAATGTTCCATCTTCACTTGTTAGTTTATGTGATCCCTGTAATGTATTGTGAGGAAAAATGTTTTAAATGTGAACTTTTAATGTCAGAATAAACCCAATCTCTCAAGGGAAAATCATTTCAACAGAGAAATTAAAAACAAACCATAACTTAAGTTGTTTTACTTACTTCATGCAGGCAGCATATAGGCTTTCCACTCCCAGTGAATGAGCAATAGCCATGCATTCTAGTACAGCTTGCTGTTTTCCAGGAATAGGCTGGAATTGTTATAAAATCACAATTATTACATATTCTGAGATAGAGAAACTGTACAGAAGTAGAAAATCTACAGTTCAGACAGAGCTACTGTTAGCCACCACAGTATTTAAGTTTGTTTGCCTTAATATGGAATAGGGAAGTCATCTGTTTCTTCACAGGTCGACAAAGTAGCATTCAGCCTAATGAGCCTAATGCATAAAAATGCTTGTCTCCAAGCTGTTGTTTGTTTCTAAACTATTTTTTATTGGAGAGAAATAAATTTGAACTATATGCCCATGAAATCTGTTATGCACATATATAGTATTTCCATATTCCTACTTCTGTTAAGAACAATTACATATGCCATGGAATGTATTAAATTATACTTGATGTAATTTAATATGTTTAATTCATGGGATGGAATGATGCTTTTCATCAGTTGTGGTTTACAAGTTTCTATAAATAGGTGGATGATACTGAAGGCCTTACTCCCATCATCAATGCTACTGAATTTAACAGATTTACACATATGAATAGGTTCTACTGACTTAAGGTAACCCTTGGACCACACCGTCGTTAAGTATCTCATCAATACGATCTGTTAGTAATAGAATCAAAATTCTTTCTCTAGGCTTTACAATTCACAAAGTAGCATGAGAACTGACATACCTTTTGGAAAAAATTGCAGTAATCTCTCTTCAAAATGTAGATAGCTACTTCTTTCAACCCATCTAGCCCATACATATCTGCAATGCCCAACATGCGACTAAAGAGAAAGCAGAAACAAAAATTAAAAATCATTTTGATATATACACTTTGCTTACAATTTACACACTATTTTCACCTCTTTATTCAGTCAGAAGCTACTGCAGAAAATGAATTGATAACTAAATTTGAAACTTGCCGAAGAATAATCTTCAAACAGAAGCATGTACAGAAAAAATAATCTCCCAACACTGAGAGTGGTACCACATTTCTATATAAAAGTAAGGCTCAGCTACAGGCTGAGTTTAAAAGACTCTCAGTTCCTCTACTTCAAGAGTATCAAGTGAAAAAGATATATTTGTGCGAGTTTTGTTGTTCTGTAATTTGTCGAAGGGTTACGTAAAATGTTAGCAATGACACAGTGTATAAGAATTGTGCCCCTTCCATATACTAGAAAGCACAGTGAATAAACTATTAATAATTTATATAGAAAATAAGGTATTGATTATTATATAAATTCATTATATAATAAGTTGACATTGGGGAGCATATTGTGAACAGTTCTACATTTTTAATTTAGATGTAAACTTTGACCAACAATTTCTAGCATTGAGAAGTTGTAGTTTTTCAGATGTAGGTTTTTTTTTTTTTTTTCAGAGTCCAAAAGCTACTATATAAATTATTTCAGAAAACAATTCACACATTTTAGATCTTATTTCACTAATACAGGATTATTGTACAATAGCAACATAAAACTGGGGTTAAAAACTTTAGCAGAATAAAATGCCAACAATTACATTAGTTGCTATATATATTATCGTTTATGGATCTAAGACTAATTACTTAGCCTTTGCATCAAATGCTTGTTTCAAAATACATTCCAAATAATAACTCCTACACATTTTACATGCTGTGGATGTTGTTCTGAAAGCTAAAAGGAATGTACAAGCAAAATGTACATTATTATGGTATAAAACTCCCTCATGTTTTTCACTGTCCTCATAATATTCCAAAAGCCTTTGCCCCATCTTTTCCAGTAGCTGCTGAATAAACAGTATTTTTTCAACAAGCCTATTTTTGGATTTTCCTCAAGTATGATTAGGTGTAATGATCATTATATTTGACATCTTTGTCTTATTTATATTCTACAAGAAATTTTTTTCCTTTAGACTCTTAACTGAGAAAATATAGAACAAGCAGAAACTGCAATTAAAAGTAATAAAAGTTGACATATACCCAACATCAACTTCATCTGGGAAGTCCAGAATAGCTCCATATATAAAATGCAAGATGACACTCATTTCTACATGGCTTATGCTGAAAAAAAAGTAAGAAAGAAATACAAATAGAGACAAGTAGGAACAACTACCACATTTCTTAGCCAAAATACATTAATCAGAATACATCATCCAGCCTTACCAATGGAAGCTAATGACCTATTAATCCTAATGATCACTGCAATATAAAATTATCTGAACTATCAACATTTTGGCTGAACTTTGATACTCTTGCTGTCTTGCTGAAATTTTGCAGTAAATCTTTGAAATTAGTCATAAGAAGACTATTACCATCTACTAGTAAGATTTGATATAATTACCTAAATATCTAGATTACTTATGCTGATAATATGCAGAAAGGATTTAAAAAAAAATCTTCTCTAAGCCCTTTACTACTATTAAGTCAATTACTAAGTATGTATTTCAAAATTGTTTTATAATATTTTTAATTCATTACTTTTACAAATCTATTTAAGCTTTTCCTGCAATAAAAATAGATTTAGTAGTTTTATGACAATGCTAGGTAGGAATGTTGCGTTTCAGAATATTTAGAAAAATTCTTTATGGCTAGATTCAGATAGAGAAATCTGGAAGTCCTTCACAGAGTTGCATTTGCATCCTTCCATCCTCCCAGCACCATTATGCGGAAAGGCATGGAATGTCTATTTTAAGTGGTGTACACAATATTCTGTAAAATACATTAATCTACTTACATACGTACAACTCTATGTGCAATTTTTAGAGCCCACAAGTGCTATGTACAGAAGTAGAAATTAGGCATGCAGATTGAGTTAAAACATTAGACATGCTTAAGCAACAGACATTGATGAATAAAAACAAAAGAAAAAAAATGTTGCAACACACTAAGAAGCAAAATCAACACAGTTATCTCTCTCTGTGTTAGCACATGATAGCCATAAAATCAGTAAGAAATTTTCCTCAGTCTTGACAGCTGTTATCTTATGCAGATTTTTCATTATTTCATAACATGCCATATGTACTTTATTTACAAATGTTTAAAAAGACAGCATGGAAATCTGTACCTAGCAGAAAAATGAATCAGAAAAGGTAAAATAAATTCACATGATTCTTAATACCAGAAATTACGAGACAAGGGCAATGAGAACATACTAATAAAAAGATTAAGTACCTCTCAGGAGAAATTCTTTACTAAAAAACGAGGGTTACAGTTTCTTAACCGGAAATTAACATATAAAGATATCAATTGCAGGGAGAAAATTGTAAGTACCAGAGCAATCGTTGACGATCAGCCTCTGCATCATTCTAAGTAGAGTATAAAAGCCAAACAGTTAAGTAAAACTGTGTTGTTTTTATGAGCATTAAAGTTATAACCAAACGAACAGAAAACCTCACTGATTTTGCAGCGGTATTATTGCACAGACAGAAAATTAAAATGATGAAAATACAAGAAAGCATCACTTGGTGAAGCAATTTTATATTAACACAAAGTAATTATACTTTGTGGCACTGTAAGGTGTACAGTTCTTTCTGAAGAAAGCTGAGTCAGCCAACACCACATTTAAATTAAAAAAGCTAACATGTAGAAGTAGCACTATTAGTTTGCTTTTAAAGGCAGTTTAAATTATTGCAAATGTTTTTTTTCTGATACTAAAAAGAAATAACATGGCAGTCCCCAGGTTATCTACAAATTCTTAACTATTTATCCTGCGCTGACAGCTCTGTTATTTTCAGCACTTACACAGAAAGCCATTGTGAACAAGCACACTAGTCAAAATGATCTTAGTGTAAGATCCTGAATTATCATTATTAAACACTATATAGGAAATACAATTGTTTGTCTTTACATTATAAAAGTACTGTGCAAATACTTATGAAAACGTATTACACTTCATCCATTTCTGATGCTTTTCATGACATCTACAACTTGAAGTCAGTAGAAGAGATATTAAATAGATTGTGAATACTAAGATATACTCTCCAAAAACAATCAAACAAACAAACAAAAAAAGGATTAGTACCCTTTTGTTGATGATACAGACTTCTTCCCTGAGCCATCTGACAGCATTAACAAACATATTACATACACTGTTTCATACTGAAGTCAAAACGGTAGTCAGGAAATGTATCAGGCTGAACAAAAATGTCAAGGCAGATTAATCTCCAGTGCTCTATACACAGCACACTTGCTGCATATTGCCTACCTTTGCTCCTGCACAACTTGCAAAGACAACACTTACCCTTGAAGAGTGATGTGCTTTTTAGAGCTTTCAGCCCAACTTCCACTCAGCATAGCAGCAAAGTAACTAGATCTGGCACATAAAATGGCCCTGAGAGAGAAAAAGTAAACATGATTCCACTAGATACAAATATTTATTATGAGATTCTTTGATAACATTGACTTAAATCTTTGCCCTTTATGCATTAAGGTGTCATCCGTATACTGCATGCCTTTTCTTCCCGTATGTTTGAAATTTTAAAATACACTAAAGAAAAAACAAAAGCAGGACTCCAAATTTTTCTCAGCTACAGATTTTTTCTAGTATGACTTTGACATTCACATAAAGGAAATCTATTGTCACAAGCATTTTCCTTTTATATAACATGAAATTGCAAATGTATTTCTTCTGTTTTATTTACCAAGTAGCAGTAAGTTACCGTGTTTTCACAGCACCAGTTTGGCCAAATAGTTATATCCTGAACTTCCATATCAATTTCTCTTTATGCTGCAAAAAGTCTATTTATTAAAATGAAAAGAGAAGTATAAAGCTTCTCTTACTCAAAATTGGCTGGCTACCTACCAGCACGTACTAAAAAAATCAAACAAACTTAATAACAAAATAATCCAACAACTTGATGTGCGTTTCCAGCACTATTTGAGAAGAGCTATCAGTTCTGTTCAGACTTACTGTTTTGTATTTTATATTCAAAAAGCCTAACTTCATAAGAAAGGGGCTCATCCCATTTCCTTCTACTTCCTTCAAAGACAATAAAAAACCCCCTGACCAGTAGTATTTCTACCAGTATCAGAGCGTTCACAAAACAGATGAGAAAACCTTTGCAACAGGAGTTTCTTAAGGTGGAAGTGAAAGGGCCAAAAGAAAGCTAGTAGATGAGAACTGCTTTGTGATTTCAGCCTTCCAGATTTATACACCAGTTACAGTGTTAGCTCTTACACATCTAATCGGGCTATGTTAGCTGTAGATGATATCCTTATACATACAGTTCTTTTCTTGACACCTACTAAGCTAAAATTACTGTTTGTCATGTATTTCCTGTGGCAGAAAAAGCAAAGTATTTTGTTTGGCATGAGAATACATTCTTTCATGTGTATTTGTTGGCTCTTGAAATGTTTCAGAGCACTTTTATATGTGCATAGGAAGAAGTAAGAAGGATGCTATTTATGCTCTCTTTTCTAGTTGTTCTATATTCTGGAATCTCTCGTATCGTTCTACTCCTTCCTCTTCTAGAGTCTCTCAGTATTTAAAATTAGGAACTTCTTGCACATTCCTCCAGTGATTCACCCAGCAATAATAATAACGAAGCTTTTACAGAATGCTTCACATCACGGTTTAATATGGCCACACTTAAATGGGTATTATCTCACAGCTCTGAGTATGTGAAATTCAAAAACACATACCATACTATCTTGTTTTTGAAAGTTACGATACAGTATCATAGGGATGTTTGTCATTCTATTCCAAATAATTTTTAGTAATAAACAGGGCTCAATCAACTATAAAGACATAGTTAAGTGGTGATTTACAGGATTTGTTTTAAATTAGATGGCTACTTATCAAAATATTGACAAATATGTATTAACTAAATATATGGTATTGATAAGAATTTAACTTATAAAATATATCAAGATATCACATGAACTTGAAGTAAATTTATTTGTACTTTCCTGCTGTCATGGTTTGTGCCACAAGTTTATTACTGAACAAGTTGTGTTGCTACACAGAACTGTAATGATACAGCGCAGCACCAGTAAGACAAAACTCGGCACCTGTCTCAGAGCACTGCTCCTTACACTGTGCAAAGTCTACAGGAAGGTCATCAGACTTCATGAGAAAGTAAAGAATATGGAGGTGACTGCGTGGGGGAGGGTGGGAGCTTAAACTGTCTCCAGTCTGAGAATTAAAAAACAAAACAAAACAAAAACCAACCAAACAAAAACAACAACAACCTTCAAAATAGATCATACTGGTGCTTTCACCACAATTATACCCAAAATTAGCTTTCTGTTATTCACTCCTACCATTCATGTGCTGCGGCGTTAAAACAAGCAACTTTTGTGCCTGTTTTAGAACTTCCTTGTTTCCTCTATGATTTACTGCCATATTTTTTTTCTAGTCAGACTACATACATGTACATTGCTCCAGGCAGTAAGTGGCCTATATTAAAGAAGCTCTGACAACGGAATACTTTGTGGAGTTTTCTTTTGCAATAAAGTATTTGTTTCTCAAAGTTACAGCTCTAAGAACATGCCTTCTTATAGTATAGACCAGAATTAAAACCATGCCTAACTACACTCTATTGTGGGAGTCTAACATATATCCTGATTCTGTTATTAAAAAAACACAGATGTAACTCCACCATCACTGTTACGATACTTCTTCTGTAAAGATATGTATAATGTCAGTAATACAACACCCCACACTGGTTTTGTGTTGAGAAAATACTAAAAACAGTGGAGATTTTTGATCATTTCTCTGTTACTTATATACATAAAGTAAACAAAATACAGGCTCTCCAGTTTGCTACTTCAAATTCAAACATTAAATGCAAACAGACTGATACCAAATGTACAGGAAAGACAAGAATGATATTGCCCCTATAATTTGCTTTCCCAACCTACAGAAGTCCAATGAGCCAAAGTTGTTAAATGGTCTTGGACTTTACACCCAATAAAGGCTGCTGACTTCCTGAAGACAGCTTAACTGTCTTTACATCCGCATGACTGAAGTAATGAAAGTAAAATCAGATTATGATGCACAGATTCTGGAAAGCAGAAAAAAAATGAAGTAATTTCAACTCCAGAAAACTTCTACCTGTATGGTAGTTTTATTCAGCACTAGTAGCCGAATAAAATAGCTGAAGTTTATGAATAGATTTTTCATTTTCTTTAGAGTACAGATGATTTTTAAAAAGTTAGCAAAGAAAGCTTACCTAGTACTTATACAAGAGAATATACTCTTTACAATGGCAATCTTAGAAGAAGAGTTGTTTATATACCTGTGAGCTTGGAAGTTGTGGCCTTCTACACAAATATTAATATCTGGACAACAACGCTTCTTGTAGAGCTTCATTAAGTCTTCTCCTAATACAGATGCAGCTTCTAACTTGGAATCACCTGGAGGTGGGGAGAAGTGGCTATTTTCACTCGTTCAGTATATACTAGACTATTCTTAGGATACAATTGGAAGTATTAGTGAGAAAGAAATTTACACGATGTCAGATTCTAACATTACACATTCAAGGTAGATGAATTTTTCCTTGCAAGGTTTTTCATACCCAGCAACGGAACATGCGTTTTACTTGTCATTGTGAGCAGAGATTCAGGAAATTAACTGGTGCTTCACTTTGATATCTATAGCATAAGAGTGTTACAGGGACTCTTTTGTAAGATTATGTACCCAGTTCATTTCTTCTGCAAGGATCTATTACCGTGGTGTTCAAGAAAAGTTGACTTTGAAGAAGGGTAGGATCATGTAGTGCTACCAGATTAGTTGCTTGATCCTACCCTAATGTCACAGCTGCAGCAGCCAACACCTCTAGCGTGGATGCAGTCATGTGTTTCCTGGAGTTACAGACTTAGTTCACAGTTGTAGTAGGAAAGGCTCTGAAAGATTCCATATTCCTCATGAAATAAAGCACAGTGGAACTTGTATAATTTGTTAGAAAAGGAAAGGAATGGAGAGATTGTGTTCTGTGCATGTCCCACATGCTCAGGACTCAAGTTTGCTGCATTACAGAGAAAAGACAGGACACAATGATGACATACACGCCCAATGCCTGGCACATCCTTTCAGATTTCTGCTAGATATCGGTAGGGAACTGTTCCTGCCAAACTTCTCCAGCAATTCATTTTTTCAAAGTGTGAGAGACTGAGGTATAGCAAAAAATATACATGTAGGTTGTGTTACAACAATAGCTTTAACTTCTTCCCTCATTTTTACATCCGTCTAAATCTTTGGATAATTACTTCAAAGGAAAAAAAAAACAAACAAAACAACAATAAAGTTAAGAAAAATATACCAAAGCTACCTGCCATGGCTTTGTTGCTTTCTGCATCAATGGCTACTTCTGAAATTTCCTCTTCAATAACAGATACATAAGCCACTTCTTCCTGCACAGCTCCGCTTGGAGCATTCTGTTCAGCTGCTGTGCTTTCATCATCCCCAAGACAATTTACATCTGTTTGAGTGTTCTGAAGAGCAGCAATGTTGTTTTCTTCTATTAATTTGGGTTCCAGTACTTTTTTCATCATAGCCAGTTCCTCTGATTCTTGAAGATTTTTATCAGATGAATATACAAGCCTAGAAGATGACACTGAGTTTACTCATGTAATGTTTGAATTGACCAACACAAAAAGTCTAAAATGACATAGTTCATTTCATGAACTAACAAAGTTCAGGAACAGAAAAAAGCTGGATTGTACAGCACTTAATCATCAAAACAACACCTCTCTCTGAAAACAAATGCATTTCTCTAATGCTTCAAAAAGCATAAACAAGCATTACAAATAAAATGTATTACCAGGTTACAGGGAACAAAGGTTTATCTCCATCAACTTTTTCAATTAACAAAATTTTCATCTGCTCTTCGTACTCCATCTACTATAATCATCTACTACAGGCAAAAGCAGAAGCAAATTGTGTTAGTAATAATAGATCACTGATTTTATAAATCTTAGCATGACTAAGAAAAGGCATTTGATATTTGATTGTCCTTTGTAAATCAATTTAAAAAATCAGAATATAAAGATCTTCTAACATCAAGGCTACAAGTACAGAACCATAGCAAGTTTTAGAGATATATGTTTTAATTTCAGAGGAAGTGCTTGAAAGCATGAAAATGTTAACAGTTAAGACTACCCAAAGGATTTTACTTTGCCCATACAGTAATTCCAGCTTCCCACTTTCCCATCTGTTTTACCAGCTTATTTTAGGCTCAAGATCTGGAACGGCTAACAAAGCCTGCAGTCTGTGATTGCAGAGATCTCATATTTATGAAAAGATGCTCTTCTTCAGCAACTTAATGGAGCTTTAAAAAGTCAATGTGAACAGATAACACGTTCTATCAGTGGTTTTATACCAGACAGATGAAGTTAGCAAAGTTTAACAAAAGGGCTACAGTTACTTTGGATTCAGTAGATATATACTTGCAGATCTGCCTCTAGTCACTCATTCCATGGCAAAAAGGATTTATTGTTTATACTGGGAACAGTAATTTGAAGATGCTGTTTGAACACTGCTATAAAAGGGCAGAGAAGAGATAAAGAGAAATCAAGAAATCATCTTCTGTAATTCCTGTATGTAAAGGATTGGGTTAGGTGGAGGTGCCTTTTTTTTTTTTTTTTCTCTTCATGATACAGCTTCTCGTTCTTAACATATTCGGTTAAATTTGTTCCAGAATTTATTTTTTTCACCTTTCTGTTGCTGTTGCATACTTGCCATGTAAGGATGGTACAAATTGACTTTGAGGGAGAAAGAAAATTGGTTATAATAGATACACTGCTTTGCCATTACAATAATTGTTGTAATGTTCTTGCTTTCTTTCTGCCAGTAACTCAAAAACACACTCACAGGCAATATAATAAGCTAGGCAATAAGGCAAAAACCTCTATGGAATCCTCAGAGTATTTTCAGATAATATACATAAGAAACCTTAGAAATGTGATTCTGTTACCAGTAAGCTTAAATTGATAAAAATGGCACCAGTTAGTACAACAAGGAAGTCTACATGCTGTTAAACCAAAACCAAATAACTGGTTTCTAGATCTGAAAAATTATTCTACAGTCCACTTCTTTGGTCCTTTGAGTTAAGTACCTTTCCTTACTGTATAACAAAATCCCAAACTGACGTGTTCCAAACAACTAGTGACCATGGAGACAACACCAAAAAGCAGAGGGGTGGGAAAAGGCTTTATTTTAAGAGATGCAATAGTTAAAATTATGAGAAATACATTTTTCTTATTTCCAAGAATACGTAGTCACTGGAATTAATACTACCACCACCACACTTTACAGAAACCTGCTAGGACAGCCACTCTTACTGTCCCAGCCTAGTTGTAAACCAGCATGAAAGAACACTGGATTTAAATGTTATCCAAATCTAAAAGCATATTCTCTACTAGTTAGGCAGCAGCCTTTTAAATCCTCCCTACTGCAGGTTCTACTTTCTAAGAGAGAGTCCTTCACTTAAAGCCCATCTGGGAAAACAGTTACCAGCCTTCTTCTCCTTACCCACATTCTCCTTATTTATTTATATGTGTATATATGTATGTACGCATACATATTTATATATGAATGCGCATCATCCATGTCACTAGATAAGTGCTTTTTTCGAGTTCTTAAATGATCAGTGTTTAAACAGACAAGATCTTGTACGTGTTGTATATATGCTGAGATTTGTAGAGCACTAGTAAAGAGATGACAAAGCAGGCTTGAACAAGTCATTAACGCTAGGAGAGAGGGTCACTTTTTCATCTTGATTTTTTTTTCTTATCTTAAGTTCAGCTAGCAGTACAAACTGTTAATGCTAAAGTCCATCAGAAAATTCTTGATCAGAAATACTAAAGGTAGCATGAAGCCGTCAGCACAGAAGTCTGACCTGTATGAAAAGGGGTAATCCTACTGTTAGGCAGCACATCAGTTTAATTGTCCTGGGAAGGAAAAAAAAAAAAAAAAAAAAAAGAGAGATACTGCAGTAACTTTAGAATAAAGGGACAAAACAAGTAGATGCCCCAAACAGGATACTTGCTTTTAATGTGGGGGATAATGCAATAAATGGACACAGATAAAACAAACCATGTTTTTCTTTTATTCCAACTTTTACAGATGTTGTGTGCCATTTTCAGTAGAACTTGGTATAGCACATACTACTAGAACTTCAAGTAGTACCTAGATTAGCACGAAGTGTCTTCTGTAGCTGTGTAAAATACTATATCATGCAGTTTTACTCAAACAGTAAAGCTTTGTATCATCACAACGAAATGCCAAAATAAACAAGATCTGTTACCTTTTTTTGATAAAATAACACTAAAAGTAGGAGATCTCTGAACGGTTTCCTACCCAGAGTTTAATGCATTGAAATCTCCAGCAAACATTTTTGTGTACTGCATTTAACCTTGGAGGGCTTGCACAAATACTTCAGCAATCCACTATAGTGGTGAGTCCTTGTGATTGTAAATTAGGCATGTCATGTGTGCAACCTCAGCCTACCTGAATCGCGTCAAGATTCTTAGCAAATCTAAAGGGAAACAAAAAAACCACAACCATCTGCTTGACAGCTCTCAGCTTTTTGTAGCCGAGATGGTTATTTTAATTGAATTGATTTATTGTGACAAGTATTTCAGTAACTTTCTTCTCATGAGATACATCTGCTGCTTCAGTGCCTCGTGCAGATGCCATTTCAATTTTGCAGTTCTATATTAAAGCTAATAATTTTAGCAGAAGAATATGGCCTTTAAGCGAGCATTGTCCCAGTGAAAGGTTTCTGCCCATTTCTTATAAATTGATTTTTTTTCCCTAGTGAGCGACGTGTAGATCCATGGCATTAAAATATTTTATTTTCCAAAGCAAGATATCAATGTCACATATACTGAATATACTGCTACTTGACAATTTAACTTCTCAAATTTCCCTAAGAAGTTGAGATTACATTTAAACATGGATCAAAAAAAAAATAATAAAAGAAACTCATTGTTTCTGTGTAGGTGGAGATAAGATTATCATTATGACTGTCTGGCATGCATTGAAAGCCTCTTTTTAGTAAAAGAGGCATGTCAGCATGGTGAAGGTTTTCTTCTGGTTCCCCCCCCCCAAGACTCACACAACAAGATATAGCATAAAGTCTACAAGCTTCACGTAGTATCTTAGGTATTTCCTTTCCTCCCACTTTCCTTGCTTTAGAAAAGTGATTATTCTTAGTGACTAGCTTAGCTCCTGTTTATAACCACAGCAAACAAACTTTAACTGTGAATTAGTTGTATTTAAAGAACAAATATGCACAAACAAATTGTGTTGTATTTGGTACAACTGTTTTATGGAAACCTCACATGCAAGAGAAGGTCAATCTAAAAATAGAGCTAAACCATCACCCTCTGTGGTGTTGGCTTGAGGTCATGTAATTTTAGCAGGTAACTTTCTGGCTTGTTTGCCATTCCCTGCACACGTGAAAGATTCTGACAGACATGACAACAGGGAGATTGCAAGACGGATGAAACTGGAACAATGCTATTGAGCATTTGTTGTACTAATTGTAGGTAGTTACAGCCTAAAATTTATTCTATAAAGGAAAGGTGAGTCTACAGAAAGATTATTGTCATCATGCCGTCTGGTAGTTCACCTTCAAGAATGTTTTTCTCTGTACGTATACTAGATGTAGCATCCTTCTACTGCCTGATACACAACGATACAAACATAACAAGGTCAAAGCCTTGGCTGGTCTACTTTGAATCAACTGCTGGTGCTGCGCATTGATCCCTGTGGTTGTAAATGTCACAATGACAACTGTATTCCTTTGTATTTAATCCATATTTATTGCTTTTCAGCTTTATCATCCTGTCATTAGGTCCTCTTCTGGCCTTCCTTAAATCACATCCCTTTAATACAAATATTGGGAGATAATGAGAGTACTAACTAGACTTTGATTTCTAAAGCTATCTTTTCCATACTGAAATGCCATATTGCCATTTTTATTTATTTGTTTAAACCAGTACTGAAACACTGTGACATTATTAAGCCATTCAAAATTCCAAATAAACATAAGTGTATGAAAGGAAAAAACCACAAATTGCACACTTTAAAGTAACACACACCAGTAAAGAAACTTTTCTTTTGGTTATATGGTGTAATAGGGATATTTGTTATGATATACAATTATCCTCCCCTTTCCTACCCATAACATTTCCAATACTGGTCTAAAACAGCATGCAGGTGAATATTTAAAAATACAGCAGTTAAAAATTAAAACACTTACCAAATCAAGACTGCAACTACAGGGAAAAACATCTAGCTCAGGCACAGAACAGCCTAAACTTCTACCTAGTCTATCAGCCGAGGAGGTGCTCATTTTGAATCTTACCTACATTTGGGCAGATTCTCCTCAGCTGGATGACAGCAGGCCCTGACATTAATAACATCTTGATGCTCAGTTTCAGACCTGTACTCATGATCACCACAGATCACCAAAATATTTACTGGGGAATACAAACTAAGACAAACAAAAACATTTAAGAAATTTAAGCCCCCAGCCCCCACGTGCCCATAAATACAACTTATACCCCCTTTATTTATTAGAAGTATTCATTTTGCCTTGGTAACAAACACAGAAAAAAAAATCAACTACCCACTAGAACTCTACTGGAAGCCATTCTACCTGTATTTTAGTTAAAATACCTAAAAGCATGGCGGCATTACAATGAGTTGAGGTGATTTTCAGTTAAGGCTGTAGACTTGCTAAAAAAGCACTGCATAGCCAAGACCAAACATTCTGTTAATTTGCACATAGGTAGATGTTTGTGTGTGCATACATGCATGTGTGCGTGTATACTATACATGTATATGTTCTGCATACACCTGCTTGATGATCTATAGAATTTAATCTCTCATCTAGCTACTATTTGACCATGTAACACACATATTTTTGCATACCTGTGCTTTTCTGCATTTTTAAGTGGTATGAAGTAATAAAATAGGTGCCAAACCTATAAAGAATTCTTTCCTTTCTCATACCTTAGCAATCTCAAGGAACAAATTCCCCTAACATGCTTTAGTTCAACAGATTATCTTTACCACAGCAAGTAGTCAACTCAAATACAGATTCTATGTAACTTCATGTACTTTTTTACCCTTCATGGGACAAAGGGTAAAAAGCAGTTTGCCTCTTAGACGACAGATTATTATATTAATAATCTAATGACACGTGACAAACTGCTGTCCTTCAGCTATGCTAAGTTGTTCGCCTCTCAAGGCAGACTACAGAACCCTGCTGGAGCAGTAAGCTCCCGACAGTGATGTGCTTGCAGTTGTTGACGTTTTCTGGTTGCATTTTTGAAGATTGGACAGAAAGCTATTGGAGGGCAGAGTCAATACTACATTACTGTCATATTGACAAAATGGGGGGTGAGCAGTGTCTGTAATACGGATGCTGTGTTTCTGGTGACCAACAGTTTCTTCCTGGTGTCCTCAGACAGTGAGGCATAGGGACGCAAACAAAACAGTGCTCAGCTGCTCACCTACTTCATGCTGAGGCTGTGCAGAAAGAGCATGAAGTTCACCACAACCTCCTCCCTGCTCAAAAGTGCTCAGAAGTTTGGCAATATGAACTGCACTGCCTTCAGCATGCAAGTAACTTGTAACCTGTGTCCCTCCTGATTAAGAGGGACAGGGGCCCAGAGAAGTAAGTCACGCTGAGATGCGAGCCAAATATAGCTTGTGGGAAAAAAATCCCTAAATTCCAAAGGAAAGCTAAAAAAAAATATAAAAATGCTAAATGCAAACAGGAAGTGGGAATGAGATTTTTTCTACAGCTTTGATGAATGCTTCAATACTACACTAGCCTTCCACTTCTGTTTGATAGGAGAACATTATTTATAACCATAAAACCTACAACTTTCGTAGACTACAACTTTCTTTCAGGAGCTCAACCACAACAACGGGTCTTTATGAAGGTCTTTGTTACAACTCAGCATGGAGATGAAGTAGGCTAGATTCCTCTCAACCTCAAGCTGTAAATCAAGGCACTATTTTGGATTTGCTGAGATCAAAGTCATTTATATCTTAGCTGTAAGTACCATTGCTACAAGCAGAAGTCATCGGTCCAACAATGAAGCTAGGCTCTTTTCAACCAGTGCTGCTTCTTCTCCTTGGTCCAAAGCCATTTACGTCCGTCCAACTTCAGTGCTTTCTGTGGCACACATTTCCACAGTGTGCTAGCTTAGAGATTTCAAAAGCTGAAATGTCAAACAGCATTGAAGATGAAGAAAAATCAACCATCTTGCAAAATGCACTTTGTGTGTCCGTCAGAATATGTGTGGAGGTTGACTTTAAGGCTTGAAAGGTTTGAGAACTCTTTTCAAAAAAGAAGAGTTGTTAAGAACTAAAAAACATTTAAATTTAGGTGAACTGTTTTGAATCAACATATGTTTTTCAAGACTTAAAAGCATGCTTTTTGGAGAACCTGCAATACTCTGGAGATCATTATTTGCCTTTCAGCAAATGCAGACAAAGTTGAAAGCAAAGCATTCTTTCATACTTACTGCAGTTTTAATATCCTGAATACATATTTTAGCCATTAGCTGCCTTGACACCTTTAAGGAAAGGATGGATGACACCCAAAGGGAGAGGTCAGCCTACGCTGTTTTTGACGACTAAACTCTACAACTGCAGCACCTTCCCCTTCCTCTTCCAACTCTCTAAAGCCTAGAAGCACACGCATTTCCTAGGCGCATCCTGATGGCTTCTACAGTCTGACAGTGCCTACGGCTGCGCTCAGCGCAGCAGCACCAGCACCCAGAGGTACCTGCCCAGGGCTTAGCAGCCCGGTGAGATGCCCATCGCTGCCACCAGCTGGCACAGGGCCGCACACCGGGCCTCGCACCAGCAGCTGCCCGCCGCGGTACTCCCGGCTCTGGCGTCCCAGCGCGCTGTGCCGGGCCGGGCACCGCTCGGCAGCGCTTCCTTCGCGGTTTCCAGCAGGCAGCCGCAGCCGGTTTAAAGGACACATTCCAGGTTTGTGCAGTTTTCCCCCCGGTCCCATCGCGAAGCCCGCCCGCGCTTTCCAGACCGGGAGGGCACCCGCAGGCTGCCGGGCAGCAGGCAGCGCGGGGAGCCCGGCCCGCCGCGGCCGCGCACTCACCGCAAGAAGCGCCGGAGCTCGGCCGGTCCCACGCCGCGCAGCCGCAGCGCCTCCCGGGGGCTGCCCAGCGGGGCGAAGAGCCGCGGCGCCCTGGCCAGCAGCACGGCCCGGTGCGCCCGCAGCTCCGCGCCTCCCGCCCGCAGCGTCACGTCGCAGCGCGTCCCCTCCGCCAGCAGCCTGCGGGAGCACACCCGGGCCGGTACCGGTACCGTTACCGTTAGCGGCGCCGCTACCGCCTCCCCGCCGCCTCGCCTCGCCTCGCCCCGCGCCCACCTGCCGACGTCCCGCCGCAGCTGCTCGGCCAACGCCTCCCGCAGCCGCTGTCGCTCCGCCGCCCCCGGGCCGGGGCCCCTCGGCGCGGAGCCGCCGCCGCAGCGCGCCATGAGCCGCGGTGCCGCTGTGCCGCTGTGCCGCAGGCGGGGCGGTGGCACCGCGCCGTGCCTCGGCTGCGCGCCCCGCGCTCCTCGCGAAGGCGGAACCAGAGCCGGGGCCGCCGCGCAGCGAGCGGGGGGAGCCCGCGGCCAATGGGAGGCCAATGGGAGGCCGCAGGGCCCGCCTGGCCCCGCCCTCCCCGAGGCACAGGGCCGGGCCGGGGCGGGGCGGGAGGGGGCGCGGCCTCGCAGCCCGGCCCCGTCGCCGGGAGCGGGAGCGCGGCTGCTCCGCGCCCGGGCAGCCCGGCTGGAAGCCGCGCTGAGGAAGCGCTCCGCAGGAAGGCAGGTACAGGGAGTAGGGTCAGGTGCGTTTTATTGGACAGAGGTGGACTCGATACACATTAGATCGTAATTTTCCATTCCTCTTGGTCAGGTATGTTGAGAGTACAGGTTCCCGTTTGTCAGTCCAAAAGGAAAAAAAAATGCATCACACAAAGCAGCTGCATCCAACAACACAACAAGATCCGTGTCATTATTCACTTGAAGACTAGAAATGTGCCCAGAAAGTTTTCAGTCATTCTATATGCTAAAATACAGATAATAAAAAGAGTTAGTAACTGTTTAATGGTAAAATACATTAAAAAATCAGGCAAATTGAGAATGACAACCCATGACTTCCCTCTGTATGGCACCGCTCCATTGTTTCATTATAAAGTTGTAAAAGGCACCACACATTGAGACTGTAAAGCAAGGGAGAAAACAAAACCAAGCAACTTTCTGTGATTTTCTTTCTGTACAAACACATATATCTTAAGGCAGGTGTTTTCATGTGCAAAATACAAGTATACAGGTAAAACCAATGTTGGTATCAGATATTCTCATACTCACTTCTTCTTTTAGCAGTAACGTTGGTGTCCAAATGTACAGTACATTGAAAACACTTTTCTCTAACAGAGCTCAAAATAGAAGGCAGGCTGGAAATATGGCCCTGATAACAATTACTTTTTTAAATCTGAAGAACTTTTATGTAGACCCCTTAGAACATGTACAAACAGTCATTCTCTTTTTCTTGTCTCTTCCTTTAGAAAGGTCCATATCAACTTGTTCACTATGTCAGGTTGATCCTGCTGGAGCCAATGACTGGCCTCAGACAAAATAGTTAATCTGAAATGATTTTTAACATAAATCCGTGTAATTTCTGCCATATCAACTTCCATAAAGGCATCTTTTTCTCCCCATAACAGCAGGGTTGGCATGGTGACTTCATGGTGCTGCAGAGGTAGGCAGCTTTAAAAATAAAATACACTTAGTTTAGTCTTGTTTTATAGAAATCACCAAGACAGGTTTCAATCAACTTAGCTTTTGAAATAAACACATATAATCTTATTGCAAGCTTTCCAGGTTCTGTATTATCTTCTACAACGCCAATAAAACATTAATGTGACTCAAAGTACTCTAACTGTTTTTAAGGATGCTAAAGGTATGTGTCTGATATTGTTGCTGGTTGCAACATTTAGAATATAACAAGCAACGTGCAACATAACATACAACAATTTAGAACAGATTCTGTGATCAGATACAAATCATTACTATGCTGATGCTCAAACAACAATTTTAAACCAATAATGTATAAAAATGATATTCTGAATGAATTGTTATGACAGATAGAGTGCTAGGTTGAAACCTGGGAGTTAGTTAAGAAACTACACTCTGTAAGAAAGGAAAGACAAAGAACAAAGATGGCATGCATTAGTTTAATGTAAGACAAAACTGGAGACTTCGAAGACATTCCTCCTCTCTACTTATATATAACATCAAGAATTATTAATAAAATGTCACATTATTATTTAATTGCACATAATTATTTAATTTCATTTTGATGGATGAACTTGGAAAATTCTTAAAATGACTTCTGTAGGAGTGGATTTAGGTCTCATTTTTCAAACCAAACTGACCCAACCCACTGAACCATAGCTCATTTATAGTATCATTTTTTTTAATTGTTTATCTGATGATCTGGTTCAGTACATTTACATTGATCTCTTTAAGTTTCAAACTATTCTGGATACCTTTACTACTGTGCAGTTTATTATTATTCCTTTGTGCCAAGTGCCTTGCAAGATTTGTTCCCTTGGGAAAACTCTCCTGGGCCTGTATCTAAAGTACAGTGAATGGAAGGACCGCTGTGCTATTTATACAAGAATGTGCTCATGATGGATGGAACTAGGTAATTCAAATCATCTCTTTTGAAATAACTTCCTAGAAAAAATAAGCCCCGAAGAGCTGAAACTCCAGATGAATAGCAATGGATTGGAAACCTTTCACATGTAGGTGACCAGTGCCAGCCCACTTTCATCAAAAAAATAAACCAAACAGTGCATAAGCACACACACACACAGGAATTGGTAGTGATTAACAGAAATTAATAGTGATCAACAGTAATTAATATCTGTGAAAATCCATTCTGATTAATAACTGATACTAAGCTTGCTTTCTTGAGCCTGCAAAAAGCCTGAAACAATAGTTGATGTGCAACTCTTCTCATCCCATCAGAATCCCACAGCAATCCAGCTGCCGGCTGCCACAGCTCCTTCTCTGTCACTGTCAGAGAAGCAGCTGGTTCATGTGTGCTCACAGGTGCGAGGTGCTACAGCAAATGTGACAAGCAAGGCTTAGGGTGCTCCTGCCTCCCTAGCTCCTCATTAGCCCTATGCTGGGGCCCTGCTGTGTAGTTCCATGGACAGCATGGAAGGCACAGGAAGAGCAGTAAGGGTGGCACTAAGCTTGGTCTAGGGAAAATGAAAGGTTCATCTACTGCAGAGACTTTGCTGAGTTTAGGGAAGCTAGAGAGGCACGCAGGAGGTTTAGCACTGCTGAAGCCTGGTGGCAGGAAGGGACTAAAGAGTTCAAACCCACTCCTCTTGGTATATTCCTTGTAGCTAGCTATGAGGCTGCAAGTCACAAATAGAGAATAAGCAGATCAAAGATGCTCTGGCCCTGTTAAGCTTTTGGTAGATAACCATGGAGTGTCAGCCACTAAGCCAGTGACTTCCACAAAAGTTAAAACCATCAGAAAATTGTTTGAGAAAATATTAAGCTTGCAAAAATCTTTCCTATGATGCTGGCTTTCAGTCTTAGTCTATGCTTGCTCCCTGCTATACATGCTCACTGGTGCCAGTGAGCAATATGAAATCTATGCAAGAACAAAAAGAAAAAAGGGGTTAACAAAAAGGGTTAGTTACTAAACAAACTAACTAACGTTTTTATAAAAAAACAGCCCAAGCACAATAAAATTGAAACCAGACACAGTTTTGTAAAGTTATAAGGAAAAGTAAGGGTAACTTACTTGGAGCTATAATACAAATTAACATCAAATATTTGTTTGCATGTTTTGTTTAGAGATGAATTTTTGTGATTACCATGAGTTCTGTCAGTGAGAAAGAGGCTTCACTTTATCAGATTGTGAACACAGATTTTCCTTACCAGCACTCTGGTTGTTTCACTGTTTTGTGTGGATACATTATAAAATTAACTTTGCATCAGGCTGCTTGACACTCAACGCATTCATCACTTGTTGAAACTTTAAAAACAATTGTCTTTTTTCTCTTCTATGTTGGTGGCAGAAGACACGATAACGTTTTTGGCCTCTAGAGGTCTCTAGAATATTTTACCTTGTTGCAGAATGTTACACTGACCTGAAAATATTTCTGTAGTGGTTGATGGGTCCAGTTAATGCTCCGGGTTGTGAAAAGACGTACAGATAAGCTTCAATATCCTCTGCTGTTAATCTGCAGCCTTTCCTTCCAATTCCAGTGGCTTGGCTGGTAAATAAACTTTTCAGAACCTACAAAGGAAGAATAAAAAGCCCAAGATATCTAAGAAATGTTATATTTCTCATTCAAGAGGACACGTCTTTCTAAAATCTATTTATACGTTGTTGGGAATAGAATTAATGGTTCGAATGTTTTTATTGGAGAGCTATCTGTAACGCACACACTAAACTTATTTCTGATGTAACTTACTCCAGAATAATTAAAGTATAGGCAAACATGAGTATAACCAATTTACTCAGTTCTGCACTGTGACATGAGAGGCAGAGGCAGGCTGCAGGCACACAATTTTTTCAGGAATGGGCCCCAGCAGCTGAGAGGGTGAGAGGGAGGAGATGGGAGCTCTCCAGCTCGCAGTCCCGCAGGCATGCAGCACCAGGAGCACGGTACTGGGCTGCACGCGTCTGGGAGGATGCATGCCTTCAGCTGCTTTTTCCATTTCTACATGTTTGTATTGATTGCTTAATGTTATGTAAGGTGTTGGCCTTACTGTTTTCTTGGGCACAGTTAATCACCTGGAAGAATGTGCTAGCCAGACTCCCAGCCTGCCTGCCCTGAAGCAGGCAGTGAGGGATGAGAGGATAGCCCACCACTCACAGGAAGCCTTGCCTAAGCCAGCAGGAGTTCTCCAGGCACCAAATGTGTCCCATGGCATGGGCACAAGTAAAATGTTACCAGCTGACTACTGAGGTGGAGCAACACACTGTAGAGATGGAGGTTAAAAGGATGTATGTACCTGAATGCCTGCCAGAAATGCAAAAGCAATTGTGAATCCCACAGATGGTATATACTTATATTCCACTTTGTATAAATATATACAACTGAAGAAAAATCAGAAAGCTCTGTATTTTTTCCAGTAATTATCATTACATCAGAAGGCACCAACTTAGGTAGGCAATTCTTCCATCGCTGACAGTTAAATATATAAAGAAGAGCACTCAGTTTGCTCACCTTGAAATCATTTACTGTAAACATGAATTCAGGAAACCATGGCATTTGGAAAAAGAAGTAGTAAGCAGATTTAATCAATTGTGATGGATGTCGTAGAATGTATTCTGAAACAAAAATGCCCATGAATTAAAAATGAAAACTGATGACTCAAAGCAAATTACTGTTAATATCACTATTTTTTAAACTTAAAGGAATGCTTTAAAAATACTACGTACAAGTATGCTATGTTACATAAGATGATTACTGTTTCAGGAGTAAGTATATGATGTGGCCATTAAAATATACTTCTTGTTTTATAAGTGGTAATAGAAACAGACAGCAAAGCCTGCCACAGATTAGGTGAGAGCACTGACATTTGAGAGTTTAATTGCATGGTAAGATTTTCACTTAGAGAACTATTTGTGTAGCGAGTCTAAGGCATTCTTTCAGGTGTAGAATAAGAGGCATAAATGCAAGTATTACTTCTATCTTAATGTATTTCTGTCATCAAAGATGTGATGTACAGAAATCTGTAGATGATAATCCACTCACATTGTAAAGGGAGCACCAATCCTGGTCATGAAAGGACAGAATTTTTCTAAGTCTTCTTTCTTGGCAATTTCAAGAACCGCAATCAAGATTACATTGCCACTTTTGAAAGACATTGAAGAATATATAACGGAAGAGTGATATAGCCAAATTTGCAGTCTCTTTTTTGAAACTGAAATTTTGTGTCTCTGATAAATTGCAAAAGCCAACACTCACATTCAGGTGTCTAACTTCTAAAAGCAAGCACAGAATGTATGCGATACCAGGAGGTCTAGAACCTATCCTTTAGAAATGCAAATTCAGAAAAGCAAAGTTGCACTCCCATTCTAGTAGTGAATAAAAATGGGTTAAAAAAAAAAAAGTAAATTGGAGCCTCAGCTACCTTCTAAGCACTCATATCTTACACACTCCTAAACTGCATTTTGCCATTAATGGACCATCATCAATAATGCTTACTTGACTTTTCTGTGCTAATATGTTACTATTATGTTTCCAAATATGTTATTAAACTAAAATATTTCCACTATTGCGTGACATACAAATATTTTGTTTAAATATTTAATTTTACTAAGAGGATTATAGAGATTTTGTCAATATTGGGAAAGGATAAATCACCATTTTCTAATAGGGAGACTTCCCCACCTCATTGCTTAATCTAACAAATACAGCACTGTTACCAGTCCATTGATGTTAGGATATGTGAATGTAGTGGTAAGTCAAAAAATCCTGAGATGGAAATTCTAAGGAAGGAACTCTCAAAAAATCTGGTATCATAATTGCTATCAATTATCAATGAGAAATGGCATGCATTAAGTAACTAAGTCATTAAGGTATGCCCAAAGTAGTGATATGTAACAAAGATCAAGTGATTTCAAATGCATGAATACAATAATCCCTTAGGAGTGGTTGGGAGGATGTTAACAGCTATTACAGAATTAATTGTGTAAATAAAAAAAGAATTAACCCCCAGACTTTTATCGTAGTAAAGATTACGATATTAAAGGCAATGGAGAATACTCCATTTATAAGCTATTTTCATTTAATCCACAGTCAAACAAATTTGATCCAGGGAGACTTTATCAAGCTACATAACCTGCTTTGTACTTCTAAAAATATGCAAACAAATACTAAGAAAAGCTGTAGTAATATGTATTTTGCTTCTGTACAGCCTGGCTCCCAATCTTAGTGAAAATGCTGCAAAAACTCCTGATTGCTCCAGTGGTGGTACAGACATTTCGTTGGGTAAGTGAAGCTTAACTACCTGGCAAAACATTCTTTATTACCATAGAAAGGTGGCCAAGAACACTGTGAGAACAATAGGTATGAACAGTTCTGAGATGAAAATTAAAGCTTCACTGAGTTTTCTCAACTATTTCTGGGCAAGTGGGGTGATTATAGAATGGAAATAGTATAAAGCCTGCAATTTAAGAAGTTAAAATCAGTGAGATACTACTGTCATTGTAACTACTGAACACAGATCTAATACCTATGAAATATTTTGTCATTCTGGATAGCAGACAAGCTCAAAGCCTATCACAGAACAAATTCTGCTAGTGCACCCTTTTTGAACTAGCACATTCCTCTCGTATGCAGGCTGAAGAAGTTGTCTTGTTGCAATGAATATTGTACAGGATCATAGTGTTTCATTTGTCACCTAAATCAGGATTAAACACTAAAAGTCTGATTGTCATTTACACAAAGGCTGTTTTGTACAGTTTTTATAATGCAGTGAGACCTTAACCTAGGCATAACGCAATACACATTCATGTTCAGGGAACTTTATCCTGCCAGGTTCATGTACATGAAAATTATGTTTTTGTGAACCTTCCAGGATTAAGAAAAAAGATCAGAAACTCCCACTTCCTACAGTAAATTATTTCCCAAAGTAAAATACCTAATACTTTACTGCTTCGTAAAATACAGTCCAGATTGTGAGGAGGACTGAGTTCTGGTAACTTAACCACTGAACATCTAAAAGAGCAAGTAGTTGGTTCTTCTTTAAGCAACCTCAAAGCAAACACAATCTTAATGAAACTGCAAATAGTCTGGGTTAACACATACACATATGTAACATTATAACTATTATAAAACTCACCTGTAAACACAGAAGGATGAGGGAAATTAACCACAATCAGCTTTGTCACCATTTCAGGGTAACATATAGCCACTAACCAAGCGATCATTCCTCCCCAGTCGTGGCCAATCAACACGCACTTGTTGTATCCTACCACATAAACACAGATTTGTGCTTTTATTTCAGTGAAATTTGTGTCCATAAAAAATATTGCAATTTCTGGGTAAAATAGGTGGTCCAGCACATGTATTAATGTAACTATATTCACAGTTACATTATTGCTTCCATTACTAAAGGCAAAAAAAAAAAAAAAGTGCACTATTATAGCTAAAAATTTAGCACATAATTAAAATTATTTAATTTAGCTTCAATCACACTTGAAGTGTAAATGTGAAGCTGAAGTAATTTGGCATCCAAATAGCCACACTGTTCACATATGAGCCAATTCGGGGTCAAATACATGATTTAAGTTGCAGTCGTTATAATGCATGTGCAGTTACTGTGTTTAGGGAGTTTGGAGTTTGAAACCGCAAACAGAAAGACTGAGATGTCCTGAGCCCTTCCTGAACAAAATTAATCTTTATAAATTGTTTTGAATATGGGAGGTTGTCTAAGGATTAAACACCACCATTATGCAAAAAGGGGGAATTACACTTAATAGCCATATAAATATTACATATACATATTAAACACATTTATATATTTAGCAGGCTTGTAGCACTTCTCCACATGCTGTTTTAATGGCAATTTTAAAAGTTCTTGGTATTCATCTCCTTATTCTTCCATTATGAAAATGGGAATTTTGCAGCAATAAAAGGAGGGAAAACCATGACTGTTTTTGAAAGCCTAACTACTCCTCCTTTAACCCTTCCTGGAATACATACTAGAGTCTCACCTGCCGTCACACTCCTCCTTGAGGATTGTAATACTGAGTATGTATGATACAAATAAAATGTATAAAAGCCCAAATGTTTTGAATTTTGGCAGAAATTTGGACACAGTTTTCAAAGCATCTTAAAACCCCTCTTGAATAGAAATCTCATGGAGCATTTTTGATTCTTTTCTCCAAAAGAATTTACCTTGGGGTTAGAACAAACTATGATAGGAAGCCTCAGAAATACTTTTTTTTCCCCCCCCCCATAAATATTTAAATCCCTATGAAATTGCATTATGATCAGAGTACTTCACAAGCATAACCATGGCATTACCATGGAGATTAACACAACCAGTGAAAGTTGGAAAATGTAAACACAGTGTGGGGACAGCCTGCCCAATCTTTTGACACTATTCAATATCACAATCAAAACAAATCCTAAATTCAAACCTTAAGACTGGCATCACTGCTCTGCTATTTCTTCATGTGAAATGCAGGAAGTTGTACTTATCCCTAGTACTGTATCCCTAGAGTATCCAAGGAATTAATGGTTCAGAGAATGGGTCTAATCTCATCCTTTTATTGGTATGGAGGAGAAATACCCTTCAGTAGGTGTTAGTTTATTGCCAGAACAGCTATACTTCCTGCTGAACTGGAGGAACAAAGTTTGCAGACTTGCTTTAGTTCAAGATCATCACACCATGTACTTGCCACAGAGAGCAATGTATTCCGTGTTCTGTTGCTTTCACTGTTGCATAAGACACAGTGATTCAGCTCTTGTATACTGACTACCATGCAGGAGTAGTATTTTGGGATTTTTTTTTTCTTAATACAGCAGATGCACTGTCACCATATTTGGAAAGCCCACAACATTTATTCTATCTTGTTTGTGCTAGAAGAATTTCACCTGATACCAGTTCTCTTGTCTGCAAGTGCTATTAGACTAATCTACAACAGTACCCATTGAGTGCAATGGGTAGGAGGAGTAAGTGAAAGTCTGTTTAGTTAGGGGAAAAGACCATAGGTTTGTCTTGATGGATTTCACAGCATTTTAAACTATGATGGAAAATCATCTTTACATATTGTTTACACCGACATACATGTCACAATCAATTTTTTTCTGCTAGTATTGATAATAGTCCATAAAATATGAGTATCCTTAGCTTTATATCCATACATATCTATAAAGTGTAAATATTAAACAGAATGCTTTTTTTTGAAATCAATTATAGATATTAATGTGTTTTCTTTCCCCAGAAAATTAAATTGTCTATGATCTGAGTAGTTTCTCTTTTAACGCACCCAGAGATTCCAAAATATCCTTTATATCTGTTATCAGGCAATCTAACTTGTAATTTTCTTTGTGAGAAGGAGCATCTGTTTCTCCATAACCTCTCAAATCCAGGGCCACCACTCGATATTCACTTTTAAATTCCCGCAATTGATGGCGCCAAGAATACCTAACAAAGGAGAAAAAAAAAAGTCAGAGTTATAAGGTCAAGCAGTATGATACCAAAATGCAGTCAATGCTTTTGCTCCCAGATAGCTGAACGTAAGTTATCATGGCTTTGTTTGCAATGAGATTCTTTTTTCTTTCTGTGGTATGCTGATAGTTGTTTGTGGCTATAGCAATTTTGTGCTCCCTTCTTGAATTATCCAGTAAGGAAATGCAGCTGCTAGAGAGGGGGCATGGCCAGAGCCTGGATATTTCAAGTTTCTAGAGTCTGTCATGGTCCCTTTGTTGCTAAGGAAGCAGGCAAGCAGAGCACAGAGAGGAGTATTCTGTTTTATCTTTGTAACCAAAATATCATCCAAAAAGAAAGGTCTGACAAGCTTTCTTTCCTCCCTGGCTTGTTCACATGCAAATTTTGGTAAGACTAGGGAAATATGCCTCAAGAGACAGATTTTTTTTTTTCTCTTCAGAAAAGAAATGTCAGATAATTCATATGCTAAATTAACCAAAGAAATACAATGAATAACAAATAAACTTGGTGACTTCCATATGATTTATATTATGTACACCTCTGTATTGCGATACTACCAGAATTGTTCCAGAGCAATCTCACAGTGTGTTGGTACTGCATAAAGTATTGTATTGTTTGCATTTCTATGGGAAAGAGTGATAGCATTATGTACTTTAAAGACATACAAAGTAAATAACTTAATAAGTCCTGGGCTATTCCTCATTCTGTATTAGTACATAGTGAGTGGATGACTGCATTATAAAAGCAAAAACAATAAGAAAATGGAAGGCTTGATCCTACAAGAACTACTTGCCTTCAATTGTTAATTAAAACCAAATAAATTTCAGAATAGCCACTACCAAGAAACACATGGCCTTATCTTACATTGCAATAGAAAGGTACACAAAAAACATGATCCTTCTAGGTCTATGTAACAATGGCTGAATCCTTCTTTGCTAGGATCTAGCTTTTATTTCTGCTCTCATTTCAACAGTCTCAGATAAATGATACAAAGAATTTGAATCATCAGGTATCATGAGAGAAGCACAGAATTCTACCTTAATTCAAACAGCGTCTGTATCAGTCCATTGGCTGTTCCACTTTAGCTTTGCCTCCAGCCCAGTAGGGATTTTGAACATACCGTAAGTAATATTACAATAATACCCATTAATTATAGAAATTTGTATTCATGTAAACACAACAGTCAGAATCTTTTCATGTCAGTGCTGTATAATGCAAATGCAATACTTAGCACAGATCTCTAGGAATTAAATTTTTAAAGGCATTATACAATAACTTGGAAGCTGAATTTGCCATGGTAACTGTTGTAGCTATCATATATCCTTGAGTAAGAAGAATCAACAAAGCCCATAAATAAATAAATAAACTGTGTTTGTTTTAGAAACATGTCTAGTTGCTATCCTCATCTCCTGTTTTCACAACAGTGCATCAGTCACCAAATGTCTGGCTGACTGGGCTTTATATCCAAAGAAATCCTTTAACCCTATCTGAAATGTAACTACTGGACAATTGTTCTGCAGACATAATTTGGAAAAGCTGGTGGATGCCTTCATTTTCATAAGGCTGAATAATGGAAATTATTCTGTGACTTTCTGATCACATTATTTCTGAAGGGTAGCTTGTATAAAATTTAGGAGCTAGCACATATCTTTATAGGTACTCAGCTGTCTCAATACATCATGCTCGTTTTCAAATATTTGAATATTGTCTTTCCACAAAATTGGTATTGATTTTCAAGTTCCTGTACATCTAAAGCACTTAATGGCTTTGCTGCATTATATTCTTTAGTGATCTTTCATCATCTTCAGACATACTCAGTCACTTCCTAAGGCCAGTGTTGTCTGGTTATAGTTGTCCTACTTATAACCTTGAGACATTTGAAGGCAGAGGATTTGTTACAATTAAGAATTGTAACTGTGAATCTTATCCTTTTTTTTTTTGCTAGTCAAACAGTACAAAGCTGATGCTGCTTTAAAATCTCTTGTGATTATTTTATCACATGGTCTCAGAACAATCTCTGTTCTTGCATTAAAATTCTGCACTAATTGAATTTACAAACCAACATCAGTATTTGTAGTGTGACTAATTTATAGACTAATTATCATTTACCATTGCAAACCATGAAAACAGCTCTGAATTTTGAAAACAATACACTGGATCTCAATAGAATAAATACATAAAATGCTGAATTTTGCATATTATTCTCACTGTAGGGGAAATTAGCTCTAGTCTCAGCTGTCTTATTGTGTTAGAATACACGTTAAATACACATTATGCAAGATATGCATAATCCTTGCATAGAATATGCAACTCCCCTCCGTCTAACTGACTTTTTAATCAACGTTTATAGCTTTTAGACTTTTAATTAGAAATTTATTATTAGAGTAATCTGCTTCTTTGAAAATGTATTGTAAAGTAATAACTTTACAAAAAAAAATAATCCTGTAGTCTGACTTAATCCAACTATCTTTTTGGTAGAAAGTAAAAACTTTCTACCGTCATCCTCAATGCCTTTAGTATCTCCAGGAAATTTCTAAGGGAAGAAAACTGACCTCTGTTTCATCTGGGTCACTTTATCATGGCATGTCCTGAGTCCAGCTTGAAAGATCACAATTCCAACACTGGAGCCTAGCTCCATATCTGAGTTTAGGAAGGAAAAGGATCACTTAACTTGCTGAATTACAGGCATCACCACTTCCTCTATTCACTTACTGGTTTTAGGTGTAAGTTCTGCATGCCATGCCTCACTAGGCAAATCTGCCAGTGACAGCTCAAGAAATTCTGTTCAAATGCTGGACACATGACTGCTTTTCTTTGTTACAAACAAACATTTTGGGTTGGTTGTGATTCATCATTCATCTTATGATGAACTAAAAATAGAGCCTCCTTCCCTGAGTAGCACTCTGAAATTAGGCTGCAAAGTAGCCTATAGAGCTCACAGTTCTTCTCTCTCTCCCCTAGTTAAAACTTACATGTAGTATTTTTAACAAAGCCATCCATACTGCACACATATCTTGAATCCTCATTTTAGCACCCTCTACTATAATTCCTAATTTTAACTGTAATTCCTAAGTTTAGCCATGTCAGTGTAAATGTTATGTGTTTTCCAAGTGGGAAGTTCATTAAAAATGAGTAGTTCCTCCCCAAAATTTGAATGAAAGTGTACAGGCAATGTAAAAAAAAGATAGTTGGATTAAGTCAGACTACAAGATTTTTTTTTTGTGGTTGCTGCAGTTAAAAATTTCAATGGCTTGTTTCCTACTAGAACTTAATGCTTTTAGTATTCATAGATATACAAAAAAGTTCACTCTGAGGATATTTACGCTTGATCATCACTCTCAGGTATCTTAAGCAGCCTCATTTGTACAAGAAAAGCTTGTAGGGAGTTTTACCAGAATTCTGGAAAGCCATGAAGCAGCAGCATGAGTGGTTTACCCCTTTCTCCAGCAGCCACATAGTGGAATCTTAACCCTGAATCCTAGAACGAAAGAAGAAGTATTGCGTTTTTAGTGCGGCATAGAACTGCTGTACTGGGATTTGAGAATGAAAATGGCTTTAGACAATACTCTAAGGAATAACATATTGTCCCTGAAAAAAAAATCAAATCGTCAGTTCTCAAAGCTGAAGTCTAATGCGTTCCTGAGATCAGGTACCACTGCCCCCTGGCAATGCTGAGCATCCCACACCCCAGCTGCTACAGTCCTGGGCAGGGCGTCCTTGCTGCGTGCCAAGCTGTGTTGACTGCGTGTCAATTCAGCCATGAGCACACTCATGGGTCTGAAAGAGCACACACCTGGCATGGACACTAGGCAGTGAAGATCATCGCAGGAGCTAGGACCTTTCTTCACACAGACAGGGCATGTGCTTTGTGGAAAGACTTTAAGACATAGTATACTTTAAATGCACTTTCAAGCTTTCACTTAGTTTCTAAGATTGTGCAACTATTTAAGAACTATTTAAAACCGTCACATTGCAGTGTGGCACAATGAAGGATGGCATGCATTCTTATAAAGCAATCGAAGTTAAGCAACTACAAAGCAAGTACTTTTTGCTTGTTTCCTTTACTGTGCAAGGCTTCAGACTTGCCTCAGAAAATAAAGCCTTAATGTAATCATCTTCTTTCTACCCTAGCCACTAGAAGAAAATGGATCTTACAAGAATTACCAGCAGGCAACTAACTTACTGTTAGCAGTCCAGCTGCTGAACACTGAAATGCCGCTGAAGTGAATAAATGCAAGCTTATACTAACTCAAGGTCAAGTCCTTGAGCTGAAATTAAGCCTACTAGGCTACTGAATTCTGGCACAGGGGTGGATACACAAGTCAGCAAAGACTTAACTCACAAAATACAACGTGCCGTTTAGAAGTCATGTGAAAGAAACTGCAGGAAGAAAGGTCATACAGCTGCTGAACAAATGTCAAAGCCTGCACCATCGCTGCTATTTTAAAAAGGGAAGAAAAAATCCCTGCCTTTGCTGTAGATCAAGATCTCATGTCATGTTGAGGATTGCAACTGCACAGGTTTTTCTTGCCTGAGATGCTTCAGATTCTCTGAAATACCTCGGCACTGCTAACTCACCAACCAACTAAAAAAACCATGAACTTACATTTTGGTCTTGGAAAGAGCTCTGGAATGGAAATAATTGCTTTCTTATCTTCATGTTCACTATTGATATAGCAGGAACTTTTGGCTCAGTTCTGCCCAAAGTTACACCAATTTTTCTCTTCTGGGATGGCAGTGAATTTGGAGTCCCTAGAAGTACAAATGGCTGTACATTTCTAATCACTTGCTGATACCTTCTCACTACACTTCAGGTCCAGTACATCATCTCCACCATTCCCTGTATCACACCCTGCCTTTGACCCCTTTAAAATAACAGATGTTTCTCAGTTCTCTTCCAGAGATTCTCATTTCATAGGTAGTTGGTTTGCCCTCCTCCATTCCGATTCTTTCAGTTAGCGTCCTTTAGGGATTTGCCCTCAGTGCTTTCACTTTAATCTATTTATTGCTTTTAAGGACATCGCCTTTACCCATACAGATTTGATTGTCACTTGCACAGCAGCAGTTTAAATGTCACACGCCCCAAACTAAGCCCACCCTCTACCTTTTCGGGTGCTCCTTTCAGTTCCCTTTTTTCTGTTATTGCAACAGTCCTTGCGGTCCCCCAAGACACATGTAGGACATTGCCATCTTATCTGAAACATGCTTTGGTCTTTCTTTTGCTGAAATCTGTCCAGGTCTGTACGATACATGTAGGAAAGCCATACAGTAGCCAACGGCAAGCAGGTTTCATATTGCCTGAAAAGAGTGACCGACCGTCACATCGACCAAGTTGGCTTTGCCCCCAGAGCTCTCTCCGTCCTGCCACAGCCCCCACTCCCCAGCACCCAGCCACTTGCAGTTTGGCGCTGGAGGGAAGAAGAATGCAGCCCAGGTTTGAAGAAGCATGTGCGTGCCTCCCGGGGATGCTGGAAAAAGCAAGCAGGGCGGATCACGAGCAGCGGGGAGCCTCGGTACCTCGGTAGTTCAGATCAGTGCCACCTGCCAAAAAGCACCTGCCCGGGCCCCACAGAACTAAGGGCTCGCCACTCGTTTCACCCCAAACACGGCTCTAGGACATCCGCGACGCCTTCTGCGGCCCCGGGAGCTCCCCGGCTCCGCGAGGCGCCGCTCCCGGGGGGCCCGGACCGGGGCCCTTCCTTCCTGCGGCCGCGGCGCACGGCGGGGACCCCGCGATGCCGGGCCGGGGGGACAGGGGCAGGGGCAGGGGCAGGGGCAGGGGCAGGGGAAGCGCGCAGGGGAGCCGCGCGCACGGGGCGGGGGCGCGCTCGCGGGGGCGCGCTCGGGCCTTTCCGCCCTGCCCCGAGCCTTCACCTTGATCCGGACGTAGCAGTGGGTGCCCAGCGAGGGGTCGTTGAGGCAGGCGGGGGGGTTCTCCCGCACCGCCCGGCGGAACGTCTCGCCCGGCCGCCGGCCGATGCTCCAGAGCAGCCGCAGCCCGGCGATGCAGGCGCACAGCCCGCAGTAGCCGTACACCAGCGCCCAGAAGAGCAGCGCCCGGGCGGCCGCCAGCAGCCGGCGGGCGGGCGGCGGGCACGCAGCGCCGGGTCTCGCCATCGGGCCCCGCCGCCGCCGCCCGGGAGGGGCTGCGAGCGCCGCCGCCGCCAGGAGCCGCCCGAGCTGAGGCACCGGCAGCGGCGCGCCCGCCCCGCGGCCCCCCGCGGCCCTCGCCCTGCCGCCGCCGGGCACGGCGCCGCGCCGCCCTCCCGCCGCCGCCCCGGCCGTAGCGGCCCGGCCCGGCCCCGGCGCTGCCGAGCGGCTTCCCCCCGGCGCTGGGCCGCGCGGGGCAGCCTCGCCTGCCATGCCCCGCCAGGGGCCGGGGCGCCGCCGCTCCGCCGGAGGCTTGGGGCGCGCTCACCTCCCTTGCGCGGGGGGTGAAGCTCGGGGAGGTGGCTGCGCGCTTGCAGCCCCCTGGTTGTAAAGCTGCCTTCTGGCCTTAACAGTTGGCCTCCGAAAGGTCAGCCTGTAATACAGTGCAACCTGAAGCGCGTGCCGTCAGCGTGCGTGTTTCTGGAAAACACGCTGGTTTGGAGCTCTGGCACGGGCATTTATAAAAATACAATTTATTCTAATCAAGAAATTTGGTAGCAGAGGAAATTGGATCAATCTTACCAGCTTGGCTCCGGCAGAGATCAACGTGATACTGAGATCTCAGCCATACAAGGTGGACATTAGCCGAGCCGATGCCCATCCACTAGCTGCAGATGTCACGTATGGGGCCGCAGATGCTGAGATACAAAGAACAGCCCCAGTCAGCACATATCAGGTGTGAACCTACTGATAGGTAAAGAGTTATTCAGGATTAGAACAATTTATGTAATCCAAAATTACAAGAAAAAGCATGACTATATTAAGCCATTGATCCTACAGGTTATCAAAATACAGGTACATGCTGCAGTTGGTTAGTTCTGCAAGACGAAGAAGCATGGGCTGAGTAGCTGCTGAGTGCAAGAAAAGCAGCATTGAGCTTGCGCGTTAAGTCCTGATCCAACTCATTGCAGAGCCTGCTCACCTCCGCTCCATGGTGTTTCTCAGGGTACAGGCTGGTACCATGGCTTGTAGAGGCCATGTGGGAGAGTCACTGCCAATAAGGCAGACCTGTGCACAACTGCCAGCGGGGCTTCTGGGGATTTAGCCAAATTTTACTTGAATTTGACCAAGACCAGAATTTGTGCTTGATCCAGCTGAGTTCAGAGGATTAGATCTTCCAAAAGGTGTTTTATGCTCCTTCAAACAGTGCATGTAGAAGCTGGTGCAAAGACACCATGTGTTTGTTAACTAACACATGTAATTTAATGAGTTATTAAAAAAAATGGATATACATATATATATGGAAAGAATATATATCATTTTAAACTGCGCATAGAACACAGCTCGCAGACAGTTTTTGTCTGTAACATACCAAATGCTTTCTCCTACTTGTTCTAAATTCAGACTTACAAATATAGACACTGATGTTGAAACCTTTCCCTTTGAAAACTGTGGCAGAATTAATGCTGATTTCAACACTGTTCATTTTTTTTTTGTTTTAAATCAGATAAGCAGCAGAAAGGCATGTTATAAATGATTGCCCAGTTTCATGCATTTTTAATCTTAAAAAATACAAAACAGGTATCTGAAATTAATCTTTTACTGATACAGATAAGATCTTCAAGCAGTGGTAAAAAACTGCCTGACTTCTTTTTATCAATAAGAAATGAAATCTCAGTAGCCCAGAACAGCTGACAACAGTTGTTGGTTTATGTATGTAGAAAATGCTGTGAATCACGCTGCTCACTGTCCGTGCTTATTGGCTGCATGCAAGACCCCCAGATTTGAGGTCGGGAGCTTATCAGGCTGCTGGGGAAAAAAAGCTGGGCTATTTAAGGCTCCCTTCCTTGTCTTAGGCAAGAAGAAAAGGAATAACATCAGAAGCTGGTATGATTCAGTTAAGAAACTAACCTCTGCAGACTCCAGCAGGATTATATGAATCGTGCCTACCAAGCCTGAGCCTTCCGTTCATACTCCAATTACTCATACCATGAACCCTAGGAATAGCACATAACTGATTTTTTATATATCAGCCTTTTTGCTGATAACCTTTTTTTGTAGGGAAGAAGGTTTTTGCAGTTTTTTTTTTAAGACTAAGGATTTTCCCATAGTGTACCTGAGTAGACCGGCGATCCAGTTAGATAAGTTAGAAAGTCTGGCAGAGGGAAAACAGCCAATATTTTTGTGTCACAGTAGTCATTGAGCTCCCTAACAAACAAGCCACCAGAATGCATTAGCAGAAAACCTCCCCTAAGAATAATTAAACAAGAATAAAACAAGGTTGGAAATCCTGGAGTTGACCACAAGCTTCCACCTGCTTCCAAAAAAAGGTTGATGAAAGCCCAGCCATAGATTAGGCACCTTGAATACAAGAGGGATTAAGAATGGAACAGTGATGTGCATTCTTATAAGCAGATACTTGGCCAAACTAAGCCATATTTCTTGTACAAAACTCAGCTTTTTTTTTTTTCTTTTTTCTTTTTTTTCTCCCCACAAGGATAGAACCAAATCTATTTCTAAATCTATTTCTAGCTTATACATCTAACTACCTAGGTAGCTTTATTTTAAAACTTTAAAATGACACACAACTTTTGCAAAAGCTTATAGAGTTTAGCTATGCAATCTTCAGATACAGATCCAGTATCAGAGTTGGGAAGATGATACCACTGGAGACCTGACAGTTCAAAGCAGCTTCTGTACAGTGAGACTGTTGCTGTTGCTGCCTTCAGCCCACCCTGGGCTCAGTGTCTTCAGGGACCTCCAGCTGAGCTGCTTTAGCTGTCCTTTGCCAAAAAGCAGTAGAATTCCTCTTCCACTGAGGAATGCTTCCTTTGTATTCCAAGACCATGGTGCCTACACACCTGTGGCAGGCCTGTTTGCACATCAAATCTCTTCCACACATTCTCCAGAATAGCAGAATCTTCTGTATATCTCGTGCCAACTAATGGTGAAGATGAATAAGCAAAATTGAGAAACACAACAATTATTTCTTTGGAGTCCTTGTATTTTGAGTTTTCTGTTTTCTGCTCTAAATTGTTTTTCTAACAGGTTCCAAGCCAAACAAACCCAAGGGCAGATTGTTTTACAAGCTCTGTCAGTGTGCTTTGCCCTCCATGATGTGCCATCTACCTACTTATCTTCTGTCAGTTCAACTAATCTCATCCTCCCCTCCAGCTGATAGTACAAAAAATTAACTTGTTCCATTGATAAACAACAGAACATCAAAGCTTTTAACTTACTTTTCACTTAAGCGTGGATACTATCTACTAGGGTAGAGGCTAATATAAAAATGGTGTGTTTGTGCAGGTATTTTCACAAATGTTCAAGGTAACTTAATGGAATAACAGAACTTTGTTCACCTTTTAATAGTTAGGTAATTTGTATACTTTAAGCAATGTCTGTTTAAGCAGTATTTGGATACAGGCTGTATCTGCACAAGTGGGATACTTGCTGGCATCAAGAGTGGTGAGAGCTCTGGGAAAATGCAGCCATTATAGGCCTGCTGCTTACATTTGGAGGCCATCTCCCTTTCTGCTGAACTCAGCCTGTCTGTAGGTAGGAACCCGTTATCTTTCAAGTGACCTGTAGGATGCAGATAAAAGGTTTATCAGATTACTATTAGCACCACTGATGCTATGACTTCAAATCATCATGACAATCTAAAGCAGTACAAAATAATAGTGTGTTTTTCCCCCCATGCATCACAATAAGAGAAGGCTAATTTCATTTATAGCTCTTGGTGAGCAGGTGATGCTGTGACCAGAGAAGCTGTTATAGAAACTAGAATTATTTTTTGAATAGGCAAAAGTACCAGCTCATACCATTTCTATTACACGTGGCTATATAGAATAGATGAAATGCAAAGAATAAATTCTCACCTCCCCCTCCATCACTTCCTATTTCCAAAGCAGGACGGTTTGAGCTTGCATTAAGACAGCGGCAAGGCAGGGAGTCCTGAATGTGAACTGTAATATTTTATAGTAGGACAAATAGTTATTAACAATGTATTAAGAAATGAAGGTAGGGCTAAATCACTTTTAATGCAAATAGCAAACAAGACATCTTAAGAGCACCACTCTGTCATAACCCATCTTGTCACCCAGAGTCCCTTTCCTAGCCAAGTGCTCAAATCTCCCAAACAGCGGACATGAGCGTACATCCACATGGAGCTCACGTATGAGGACATCCTTAGATATTTCAAGGAGCAATACCCTAATCTGAGCATTTGTCAATATACAGTCTTTCTACAAATTAATCAACTACTACTATTCCAATCATAGAATCATAGAATATCCCAAGTTGGAAGGGACCCATAAGGATCATCAAGTCCAACTCCTGGCACTGCACAGGTCTACCCAAAAGTTTAGACCACATGACCAAGTGCACAGTCCAACTGCTTCTTAAATTCAGACAGGCTTGGTGCAGTGACTACATCCTTGGGGAGCCTGTTCCAGTGTGCAACCAATAGCAACAGAAGATACAAAGCAGCTTTTTAAGATGAAATACATGTATGTATTTTGGAGCTAGCACTACCTTTTCACCCAGCTGCCTGAAATATAAGGCTATCATTTTTATGCATACCTTAACTGTCATTTATGTATTTAAATGCAGTTTATTTCCTGTATCTGAAAATTCAGCTGTCTGTAGAAACTCTTGTCCAGTTATTTGTTTGGGTGGTCTGTGACAGATCCACATTACACCATTGACAGTGTTACCTTCACTTCCAGCTTTGATCCAGGAACGTGATAGACCAGAGGTCTCCCTGGGGCTCTCCCCAGGAGATTTGAGGTAGAGATTCAGCCTAGGCCTCGATGTCAACATAGCTCAAATGTGAATGTGTGGAGCACAAGACAATCCACTGGGGTACAAGATAATATTTTGTATTGTTATTAAACAACAAAAAAAGTAGTGTCTATTTAATCATTTACTTTACATCATTTGTGCTTTATAATGTATGTAATATATTTGTAGAATAGTGCATGTATATAATTTATAAATAAAGTATACATACACTGGTTGATGCATGCTTTATTTTTTCATTTATTTTATTGATGAACAAAAAAGTTTGCAAACTGTTGAACTAGAGTATCTTGATGGGGGCTCTTCTTCCCCAGCTTTTCTACAGTACACATTATATTTTGGTATTAATTCTTCAAGTCAGCCCTATATTTGGTTTACTGAGAAAGCTATATGTAACCAAGAAGAAAATAGATATTTTAGACTAGTTCCCACTTCAGATAAGTATCCCAACATTATTAGAATCTTGCATTAATCAGAAAGCCTTTCAAACTGGAGAGAGAAGTAGAGTATTTTAATTTCTTCCCATGAAGAATCAGAACCACCTGGCAAACATGCTTGCACACTTATCCAAACGTTATGTTAGCATAAAATACATTCAACAAAAGATCAGCATGTCTGTGCCTCAATACATGCAAATATACAGGATTTGTGAGTTAGATTCGCTGCTGAAATTACAGATTTCCAGGAAATATTGTTTTATGATTATGAGTAGCATTACACACCCTGCAGAAATTTTCATTATGTCTTTTGTCACAGCCCAGGTTCTGTGCAAATACATCATAGTAAGTGATTCTTCTAATGGAAATCACATAATTGACAAGACTGATTTAAAGTAGTTTCTGTAGGTGCATATTGAGTACACTGACTTAATACAAACACGAGAAGTTGGCCATGCATAGTGTAACATTCTCAATTGTTTCTGAAAAATGGATTCAAGCAAAAGAGAAAAATATCAAGAAGCTGATACTTTCTCATGTACATTCCATTACACAGTGGGCTAGATTGCTATACATTGTCTATACATTGTAAACAAGAAAAAAAAGTCTTATGATGCTTGTGCCGATGAACAAGCTTTTCAGCTTGTTCAATTAAGCATTTTTTTGCTTATTTAATATTAATAAATTAATTAATATTAATAAAAATTAAGCATTTTACGGGAGCTTAAAAGTGCTTTAAAGTAGACAATGTTTAAACTCATAACTAGTACATTTTCAAAGCTGTGTTGTTGGTAGTAGTGTCAAAGTTAAGTTCTACATTAACTACAGCTTTCATTCAAGACTTTCTTCAAAACTTGCCATAACGTCACTCTGCAAATTCATATCAATTGTGCAAGCCATCTGCAAGAAAGCAAAGTGGTGTATTTTTCAGACCAGTTAGTAACGAATACTATGCAGGCCAAATATAAAGATCTAAAAACAACCCACAAAACTTGTTTCCAAAAAAGTGTATGCTTCCTATTACTACAAGTTTGCATAAGCACATTGCTGAAGTCCTCTCTGAAAAGCATTGAACAGGATGAAAGCTTCAGAAGACCTTTTCTGAATCTAGTATGATCTTCATCACACTGTAGTTCTTAAATTCAGTGGTACAACACTATGAAAAAAATTCAACATAGCAAATAAAAACCATTCATTACCTATACCTATAAATGCAGTCAGTTTAAAAAAAGGCTCAGTTTTGATATTTCAGAGTAGAACAGAACGGCTAGCGCTTTTGTTGACATGTTGTACATTTGATGTTGACAAGGACTGACAACCTGCAAGACCTGAGATTTGAAGTTATTAACAGGGCAGGGATTTCCCTTTGCATTTTGATGTTACTGTGCAATTAATTATTGTAAACTTATAGGAGTAACAAGACCAAGCTTTTCACGTAATGCCACTTGAAGATTTATTTGAGTCTTCAGTTTCATTTTCTGGACTAACTCTTCAGGTAGCATAGTTCTGTTAGTTTCAGTTGTCCAGGTCCTTTAAAATAAGGCCTGATCTTTATTTTTTATTTTTTTTTTAAAGAGTCAGCAACTTACTGCTTCTCTCCTTCTGCGTTCTTGTTCCATTTTTCTAGCCAAGTTACGGTCTTGACTGAGAGTGTGTTGTTGAGCTTCTGGCAGCTGTTTGGTCTTATCCTCTTCTTTTGGGGACTCGCAGTCTTTTATTGCTATGACATCCAATCCTGTGCCTTCATGGCTCCTTTAGAGAAAGGAGAAGGGACAAGCATATGCTAGAAGTCACTTATTTTCATCATATCAAGCCTGTGCAACTGAAAAGAATCTGCGCATAAATCAGTGAATGGCATTTGGTGTGGTTCCATTTTACATGTTAATTCATAATTTCTCTTCCCAAGATATATGGCACACAATTTTTATGCTGTGTGTGATAAGGTTGCCCATGGTACATTTCCCATCTATATGTGCACAGGATTTAAATATATACGCTACACACAACTTTCATTTAAGTCACATTCTTTGAAAAACATACAAACTTAATTTTCTGTTGCTTTCTTAGCCAGCGATGTTTTTCTTCCAACTTCTTCCTTTTCAACTAGCTATTTGAGTTTGATTTCACTAACTTCAGGCAAGCATCTCTGATGTCATTCCATAGATAGTTCTCTTGCATTAAAAATGGTGTAGTTGGACAAAAAGCAGTATCATACACCAGGGAATCTTTATCATCCTAAAGACTTGCAAAGAATTATTATAGAAGGTGCAAAAAAGTGCAAAGAGGAACTGTCAGGTCTTTGAAAAAAATAAAAAAAAAATAAAAAAAAGATTCAGTAGCTCTGGCAACTACCTGGAACTGACAATGGTTATGCTACATGTCAGTGAGCAGGGAAAGAACCGTCACTGCCAACTAAAACAGTTGCTCTTGTAGCTGTTAGGTATAGGCTGCACTATTATCTCTAACAAGTCCTGCTAAAGCAGTAGTGCTAATGTAAGGAGAAGGAGGACTTCAAGTGAGATCCAACACACTCTAAACAAGTGATCCTAAGACAGCCAGTGATGGACAGTAGCATGAGGCACTGACTCTGGAACAGGGACAAAGAGACAAGGAAAAAAAAGAGTACCAAAGAGGGAAGTTCTACAGCAAGTTTCAATAACAAAGCACATAACTATTTACAGTATTACTGCAATGTGGTAGTTAGTAGGCAGTCACTTATCCCCCTGAACTTAATAATAGACCTCAGGCTGGGATACTTACGTGGCACTCACTAAAACAGTGGCTGCCAATAATTAGTGTTGAATACTACTACAGTAGCTTCTTGACTACATTTCGAGAAAAATAAAACAAACAACTTTGTGCATTTTGGACATGCCATTGTGCTTAGAGTGGTACAACTACCTGAAGTACTGGGTGGTTATCTGACACTTGGCAGCTGCCTAATCTGAACCACTTACTCCTGAATAGCCAAGCCACCCAGGATCAAAGTTTTGGACAGCAAGATACACATGCCTATGGCCTTTATTAACTCAAAAGCTGCTAATTTTCTCTCCTCTGACTAATCGAGTAATACATAAATACATAACGGATTCCATGAAGGTTCTAACCAGTCACTAGTGAATTTCTGAACTGCATTAGTACATTTATTTTCTTATATTCTAAGTGCAATTGTGGAGCATCAGGCCAATGTTCCACTAGTTACTGTCACTAGCCAGTTTATTTAACTGTAACAGCATCCACTGTAACAGTATTTATTATAGAATTTTAAATAATGGTACCGTTTATAAAGCTTTGGTTCTTCAACACTTTTGTATCTTTATTCATGATGCGACACACATATTGCATCAACTAAGCAGCCTGAGGCTGGATTTATGTTTCTTAGAGAGTCCACAAAATTATTCAGCTATCCAGATGGTAAAACCTGTGCATAGGTAACACATAAGCAAAAAAATAACTTTTAAACATGTGGTTACAAACCTCTCTTTTTCTTGAGGAAGGTTTTGCAGTTCCCTCTCAGCTTGCACCAAAGGCCTTTTTAATTCCTGGTCTTGCCCATCCTTTTTCTCTAATGCCACTTTCCTGAATTGTTTGAAACTCTCAGCAGATGTTTTTATTGGAGCTGGAAGCATCATCGTTTTACATAAGCTTATCCAGGAATCTATATTCTTAATTCCTGTATCCTGAAGTTATTTAAAAGGAAAACCAAGATAAACAGAAAAGGAAGATATAGAAGAAGCAATAATACAGATACTAGGGTGTTTTTATTTTTACTCTGTCGTCCATTATCTGCTTAGATCTTACATTAGCACAATATTGTTTTGAAGGGCTTATTTGGGACCATCTGCAACAAAACATCCTTGCTTGTCTAGCATGTTTATGTAAATACAGTAGTCTAAGCATTTACACACCAATTTTTGAGATTTTGTAGCAAAATACTTCAGAAGTCATTTATCATTTAAAGCATTTATTGCTATTCTTATCCAATCTCTTATGCCCACCTCTCCATTTTTTAATTCCAGAAAACATGAATTCACAAGACTTCACCTACCTTTCCTGGAGAAAATTGGAATTTTGTCTCTAGAACATTTTGACCATTATGTGTGTTACAATAACCTGATGAAAAAAATAAAAAAGGGTTTTCACTTATGTTGATTTTACAGACTATGTTACCTCAAATTTAAAAGATAATATATTAGGTCATTCTATAAAGTGACTTGATTCATAGTGTAGGTTTTTCTTCCCATTTGGTTCAAAATTTCAGAAACACTCCCAGAGCCAGGTATGTTTCTTAGCCTTTAAGTTGGCTTGGATCACTTTTTTCCAGTTTGGATTAGAGAAAAGAATGATTCAGTTCAACTACAGATAGGAAATTAACACTTGGTTCTAACAAACTTCAGTTGAACTGTTATACCTACCAAGAAGACTTAACTGAAGCAAACTTAAAATGCATTTTAATTCAGTCATGTCTGTTAAAGCTCTAGAAATAATGCAGGAATCTGAAGCTTTGCATCAAAGCATCTACAACCGTGGACTTTGAAGCATTAAGAAGCTGCTTACAGCCGTACCAGCATTTACAGAACCTCTCACTGACAAACCCTCAATCTAAGGAAAGATATAGATAACAGGTTTCACAAGTAAATCTTTTTAATAAACCACCAGTGAATTCAGCGATACACAGCACCAGAATTATAACAAGTCTAAATTCAAGAGATCATTTCATAGGCAGGTAGCCTTACAGAAATGTTTGACAGTAGGATCATCTACAAAATTCAATAAGTGCTTTAAGTAACCCATCCTAAAAATCTATTTGACCTATGTGCATATATAGTACTGAGCACTCTGCACTTTGCATCGATAGAAACATAAATTAGATTCGCAGTTCCAGATTGACAAAGCTTTTGTTGTTTAAAAAACAAATACCAGCCAAAATTCAATGTGTCATCCCCTCCCTCCCCAGTGCTTCTGGTCTTTGTTATGAGGTGTTAATAATGGAAAGGTTTTTCTTAGATAAAGCTGAGAACATCTGGGGCATGTATAATTGCAGGAACAGTCAAACCAACACTATTATAGAAGGCACCACTATTATGGAAGGGGTAGATAGCACGTAACCACTCACTCAACACTTAAAAGGTCTGCTGTGAAACAAAATGCTGAACTTCATATGTACTCAAAGGCAAAGTCTCCTCATTGAGTATTTATATATTAAACACAGTCCCTCTACAGCTATACACATGCAAAACTGAAATAGCAAGGAATAGAAAAAGAGAGAGTGGTGCAGGAGAAATTATGTGAAGGTTAGGAATAAAAATTAAGAGGAATAAAGACTAAGCAATAAACAGTTATGTATGCAAAGGTCAATTTTGGGCTATGTTTACTTCCCCCCACCCTTCCCACAAGCTTTATTCCTGCTTGTTTTCCCAGTCCTTTTACAAACAAAATAGAAAAGCACGATCTTGATAGTCTCATGGTAGAATTCAAGTCTTAGAAGACCTAGAAACTTAAGGAATGATTATTTGCTTGAGCTGTTACAAGTGTTTAAAAAAAATGGATTAGTATGTATATGGATGATGTGTAGAGCATCAGGGACTATCAAGTGGTTTTTTGTTTGTTTGTTTTTTTTTTTAAATGTAACTCAAGAACTATTCTTTGGCCAGGGTTAAAGAGCTCAGTGATAAGGCTGTGCCTTTTACTTTCATCAGGTCTTCAGAAGCTTATTCCCTGCCCTGTTCAAGGGTATAGAAGTTATTAGGAGAGTGAAGACTGAAGAAGGAACAAAAATAATGTCTGTAACAGTTGGTTCTCAGCTTTGAGATTCAGTGTCCAGCTCAGTCTTCAGTATGAAATATGCACAAAGCCCAATGCAGTCTTTTGCAGTTTTTAGTGAACCCCTTTTCATGTAAGAAGTGCAAGTTTGTCCCAGGGTGAAGAGTTAAGCACATTACTCTCAATCCAAAGGCACAGAGCAAAGAGCTCTAAAGAGCTTCAGCAGAACACAATTCAAAGGCTAGAGTTCTGCAGCAAGAGGAGGATCAGTGCTCTCAAAGTTCCTGGAATACTGAGTTACTTAACTTTCTGACTTCAGTACAAGGGATAAACTAAGTCCTTTAATCAAAGTCAAGTGCTTTATATATTTCAAATACAGAACAAGAACATAGCATCCCTTTAACTTCCTTTTAAGAAGGAGCAAGTCAACAGAAGTGAGAACTGCACAGCATCCCATTATTTTGTAAACAGAGTGGTGTACAGACATTTGAAGTTTTATTTCTTTAAGCCAGGTTCTATACATTTAAGGTGATAGCCTTGGTTATCAATTAGTTTTTATTTTAGTACATACTTTGCTCTTGACTTAAAGATACCAGATCAATGGTTCTCTCACTGTCCTTTTTTTGAAGTTTGATTTGTCTATAGTAGCTGTTTTCTCAGCTTTACTCAATCAGCACTGGCAACCTGGGAAGTTATATTGCATACCTGGAAGAGGAAATTAGACTTCAAAATATACCCTGGAATGCTTAATATATGGGTTATTATACAGTAACAATATGAAGGATAGGGAATCAGAGCAGTAAGCTGTTGCCCCTCTAGCTTCTGTAAACACTAGGGTAGAAGTAGATTTAATTCATGTTATGGGAGTCAAAGTAGTGTTCTTAAATTAACACTTTGGATTTATAACATGAACTGCTCAGATTCTAAGCAACAGACAAAGTAGAATATAAACTGATATAAGCTCCTAACCCTTAACATGGTATGATGTGATAGGAGGTGACAGAAGGCAGCTCTTACATTTGTAAAGCTGTTTGCCCCTCCTCTACAAATCAGGATAGAGAACAGCTCTATTACTTTAGTTCAGTGGTACCTTTTCTCTGTGCAGGAGTGCATAGTAGAGTAGCCATTGAACAACAGAAGATATTGAGACTGCAATATTACTGAGACCTTAGATAGTGGATGCAAATTATGAGTAAGTTGTTTCTTGCAAGAAGGGACAAAACATTCTTGCACTCATAGCTCCAAGAGAAGAGTTAATTTCAACCCATGGAATAAAAATAAAGGTATTAAAACCTGGCTACAAACAAAGCTCTCAGCTTTGTTTGAGACCATACTGAGAAATAATTTAATACCCAAAGGTTGAAGAGATCATGTTGCTACAATAACAATAGCTTCCTTAGGTAGAGTCCAACACATGCAGAGGCCTTCTAACCAGGATATTCTCCAAGTATATATTGAGATAGACATTGACTGAATTTTTCACCATCTGATCTATAATCCTGAAAGCCCCAGTTCCTATGCCTTTAGGAGCAGGAAGAAAAGCAACATTTACACAGGAGCTATCCTCCTAAGTCAGAGTTTTGTTGAACTTACAGGGATTGATATTTCTAGAGAGCGAGAACACAGTATTAATTGCTCATTTCTTTTGCACAACTGCAGGTTTACAGGGTAGGTTTTTGACTGTCTACCAGGGCTACTTGAGTTTAGCCTGTAGCACTGAAGAGAAATAAAGGAAGCCTTATAGTACATTTTGAAGTTGCTAGTGCCAACTTTCCTTTATGTTGCAGCCCATGAATTCAGATTCTTATTAAAGGATGAGAACTACTCATTTAGTAGGCTTTTAGAGGTAAGGGCTTTGTTATAGATCTAAAGCGACCTCATTGCATCAGTGCTCAAGCCTAGAGTGTTACATCAGATCTTATTTAAAGGAGTAAGTATGTGCTTTAAAAAAAGCTATTTGAAGTGAACGTGATGGAGAGATACATTCACCTCTGGAAGAGGATGTATACATTGAGTGACAAAAGGCTAGTTTGTCCTAGGAGCACTCAGACATTTGGGTGCCTGAAACATCGTGCAGAGCACACAGTTGTGATCATACCCAAGAAAATAAAGAGGTGACTGATTCTCCATATCTTGCAAAGAATAATCCTACATCTCAAAATTAGGTCACTATTTACAGCCATGGATTAACTAGCTGTGAAGCTGTGTATCCTAGTTGTACTATAAGACAGTTATTTCTATTAGTTTTTTTCTTTGTTTGTTTTTAAATTCATTTTTCAAATTATCAGCAACTAGCTCAAACTGTCTTTTACTCAAACCCTCAGAACTGTCTAAGTTAGTAGACCTTTTGATGTGATGGAGGGAAAAAGAACAGCTACTTAATCAAGTTTAAGCAACTTCCATTTGATATATCTGGATAGCAAGCAATAACCAGTTCAGAGTACCTGAGGCTCTCAAATTCAGTTAATATTGAATTTGATGTTAACTTCAGTGGTGGTGGGTTTAAGCATTTAATTCCTGCCCTAGGATGTTGAATACTTCTTGTAACCTTAGATTCATTAAGGCATCATTTGCCATTTTGTCTCCAATTGCTGCTTCTCTTTATTGAGGGAGGGAACACATCTCCCTGCTTTAATGCTATTCTGCCCCAGCATAAGTGCCAGAGTAATGTCAAATTCTATCCGATCATACTTTTATTTACATCATGCTCCTTATAATCTACAAGAATCTGCAATAATCTGCAAGAACTTGTGTTATTACTCACTTAATGCCTCCAAAACCTTAAGATAAGCCTATTGGCCAGTAAGAACATCAGTTCTGCCACCCCTTGTTTCTTCAGGGTTCAATCAAATAGCATGGTTCTTGCATAAAGATATTACCTGAGGGAGACTGGGCATTTTGTTCTGGTGGCTTAAGAGATCTAGTCTGTAAAGTCTGAAGCCTCTGTAGCACATTTGGAGATGGCTGGTGCAATTCAGATGATCCAGAAGTTTGCAAGCTACTGGTAGAAGATGAGGGCTGTACTTGCAGAACAGCATCACAGGGCATCTTCTGTAAGCCCAGTGGTATTTTCTGGAAGGAGATTGAAGTAATTACTAAGTCAAATCTTAATTTTTAGTAACTATTTGACCCCTTTCCTCATTTTAACTATTTATAGGATCTAATAGCCCTTGTATTTGTAGATCGGTGTTACTAAGGAGTTTAGGTGAAAAAGCCCTATGAAATAAACTGCCCTACCTTTGTTTGATAGATACAGAAAATCACCAAATGATCACACTGCGTTCTGTTGTGAAGTATTATGTCTGATGTTATTCTAAGTCGGTTTGGCATTGTTGTAACTGACCAAGCTGCAAGTTAATTCCTGTATCCTGTTTTCTGTTTTCTCCATTTTTTTGTCGTCATTTTGCTTTTGCAGAGACTGAGCTTTATAGCACAAAAAAGCATTGCATAATTCCTCCCCTCAAGTCTTTGACTATTATTCAGCTGATGCTTCTTCATCCTTGCAAATTCACAGGCTGGATTCCTATATCAAACTAAGTACTTTATACGAAAGCAAGTCTGTCATAAGATCATTGCAAAGCCTTCATCCTTCTTGCTTTGAAATTTGAGGTCTCCATCTCTGGAAGCTTTAAAGGAAGCTGTGAAAGGCAGAGACAACCCTGACAGGAATTAACACCCACTGCATATACAGGAATAGAGCAATTCAATCTTAGAGGCATTAAGTGTTTCTACATACAACTTTGCTGTTGCTCAAAATGATACCACAGAAATATAGCAGAAAATACCTAGGATACTCATGCAATTAAGGTGTGTAGAAGTGAGGTTATTCATATACAAAAAAATAAGCAGGGAAAAATAAGCAAGGTTTGCACAGTAGTCAATTTTATACTCAAAGACTAAGCTGGAAAGGCTTTTTTTTGGTGGATGGGAGAGTAGGGGCAAAGCATTTTCTCCTTATGTTTTCCCTTCATCCAACAGTGAGCTACCACAATGTTTGTGTTTGTAAGGAGTAAAACAAAAGTTCTCCCAGTACCTCAGCTTCTGTACAGCTAAAACTACTTTTAACAAACAAGTTTTTAATCTACTTCAGTCAGTCCTATGTAACAAGTAGTATTCAAGCTATACTCATAAATTTAACAGGCATAAATTTCCCAAGCTCTACTCTTTCAAAGAGTAGAGCTTGGGAAATGTGATTTCCAATAACATTGCATGTAACAAGTAACTGCTTAGAGCAAAAACATTATATACATTTCAGTCAGTTTACCTGAGGTTGCTCCATAGAAATTGGACAGTTCTGCCTGGTTTCAATCTGTTTTGAGCATGTTTCTGTAACAGTAAACACAGTGAGGGCAGAAAGAGCAGGAAGGAAAAAAAAGTCAGTCATCCACATACATTGCATTATTCACACATACAAGATATAAGTTGCAATCGTACCCAGAGAGCCAAACCTCACATGGAAAGAAACATTATCTTGAATACTTGAACTTGATAAAGTTAAGCAAGATCTTTGCTACAACAGTTTCACTGCATTTGCTTCTCCATGCTGAAGAAGCCTGCACGGGATTCATCCAACCTTAGACTGTTACCACATACAGATATCTACACCTCACATTTGGGAAGTCTATTCTGTCCCAAACAGACAAAGCATCCTAGAAGCATCACTGCAATGCTTTGATGCTGCAATGCTAGCATCCCTTGAACATGCTTGAGACAACTTAAGCAGCAGGGTAGAGTTTGGCTCTACAGTTGGTAATATTGGTATTTTATCCCTAGGCTTAGGGACTAAACTTCACCAACAAGGTAAGGCTCTCTTTGTGTGGCATACTGAACAATGAACATAAATCACACTTTCAAAAATGAGTAAAATAACAGTCAAGCTATAGCCTGATAGCCAGATGCCCGAGTTAGATATACAGACCTCTTACTAGCAAAGAGACCTCTTACTAGCAAAAGAATCTAAAATTCTTCATTGATTTTTAACCTAGAATTCTTCATTGATAGGTTTCACTTTTTTTTTTTTAAATCTCAGTTTAAAGACATTCATTTAATAGCACTAGAATTAAGCCTTTAACATGGAACAAGTAAACAAGAATGACAGATTCATGGTAAGCATTTGGAGCAGTAGGTACTAAGTCCAGAGGCAGATATTCTGCCTGAACAGAAACAAAATGAAGCTTTCTGACCTAATTCAGAGTTGCTGCTATCTGAGGAGCTAGAATCACTGCTGGTATCACTGCTGGTACTGCTGCCAGAGCCCAAGGAGCTGCTACTGTTGCTGCTGTCACTCAGTCGGCTTGGTCCAATACCAGACTCAGCATTGCTTTCAACTGAAGGACAAAAAGGAAGAATTCAGAACCCTGCAATCAGTCTTCACATACAAGACTAGGAACCACCTTAGCAGGCCTGTGTTCCCACTGGTCTTCTACCATTTCCCTGTCAGCTTAGCAGTAGATTTTAAATCTTTATAGAAGAGGGATATTTACCAGCAGCAAGCTAGTTATATCAACGAGATTAAGTTGAGGAGCTGTAACCACACAACTTGTAATCCTAGGTTATAGCCTCTGCTAAACCAGTTCAAGTAGAAGTTTCCCCAGAAGTTTTCCTGCTGGGAAGTCTGTTTCTGTTTGTTGCCACTGCCAAACTTGCACACTGAGGCCTTTATCAATATATAACTCTTCTTTCCCAAGCCATATGTACCCCAAAATCATCATATTGTATCTTTTGCCATCTCACCACCATCTGATTGTTTTGCATCTGCAGGGTTGATTTAACTTAGTTTATATTTTATAGTCAAAAATCTTTTTTTAAAGTGTGTTGCTCCAACAGAAGTTTTAAACAAAAAGAAGCCACATACCTGTTTCCTTGGACACGTCTTTGCTAAATGCCTGCTTAAGCTCTTCCTTTTAAAGAAGCCAAGTGCTACTTTTAAAGATCACCTAGCCTGTTTCCACCCTTTCCCCAAGGGTCTTAGCAACTGATTTTAGCTGCTTCTTACAGTTGTTCTTTCTAGGATGTTTTCAAGCCATTGTGTATTACCAGACAGGAAAATTGTTGCCTGAGCTTATGTCGAACACAAGCCTATGCCTTGCAAGACTGCTTCTATCACTTCAGAAAAGTGTTTTCACATAGGAGCTTAATAGCTATTCAATAAAGGGCAATAGTAGTACTCACTAGTTTAATGAGGAGCAACTTGACCTATGATAGTAACAGCCACATTGATTTGTTCTCATTCCTTGCATGAGATCCATCAGTTACTGTCAATATGGTCAAGGATGTACTGAATTTCTGGCTTTTGATATTGAAATGCATTATTGCCTGAAAAACTGAATTGAGTCTCCTAAGGCAATTCTGCAGGCCTAAAGACAGCTGTCAATACAGAAGTTCTGCTAGCACAATGGCAATAGTGAGTCTGCAGCCAAACCAGTATAACTAGTTTGTTATTCTTGGATCTCTGCTAGACAAAGTGAATTATAAACAAGTAAAATTGCAGGGCTTTTTTCCTCCTCTTTGTTTTCATATGTCAGGGTAAAGGATTTGTTCAGTGATCCTTACACTGTGAAGGGATCAAAACAAGACTACTGTAAGATTCATATCAAAGCACTGGAGTGACAGGTATTGCTTATTTCTTTAAAGAAACAGCTCTGGTACTAAATTTATTCAATCTATACTAGCCTTTTAAGGCACATGAATGCACTGGGCCAGGCTTCGGCAGTCTAATCCAGAAGAATAGGATTAGGGGTAGAGATAACAGTCTTTAGTTGGATTTCTCAGTTTACCATTGGCCATCAGCTATAGCATGCCTGACATCAACTTCACCAGCCCCATTGTTGTATCTTGTCTTCTACTGCAGAAGCAAGATCTACCATCTTTACCTTAATAAAGGATTAGGTACAAGAAATAAGGCAGATATTTCCAATGAGTTACTTGTCCTGTCTAATTTGCTGCTGTGACACCCTAGGAACAATCTTCAGACTGACGAAGGGAAGCTTAAGACCCAAATATTCTGAAGAGAAAATCCCTAACAGCATAAGAGTACACAGGCACAACACTTTAAGCTATTTGTTGTGAATGGAAGTCACATTACATTTGCAGTTCCCTTTCTTCAGGTTCAGCTGACCATTGACATCCAGTAGTCTCTTCTCCAGCTCTCGTTTCCTCTCAGAATTACATTGTTCTTTTGACTTCTCTGATTTTTTAGCTGTACATGAAACAGAAGTTAACATTGCAGCAAAACAGAGAACTGGTCTAATAAGACATTTTTAAAGCATTACTTATGCTACATACCATGCTGCTTTCTTGGTCTCTTCTTCAAACAGGTTGCCACATATTTCTCTAGTTCTCTGAGTGTTGAAGCTTTTAAAGTTTCAAAGTCTATTTCTATCTCATCAGGGTTAGAGTTCCTCAGAGAAGGTTCTCTTGACTGTATTATATGGACTACTTTCCCCAGTCTGTCTCCAGGGAGTTTATTTATGTCCAAACTCAGCTGCCTTTTTTCATCATAATTCATAGGCTTGGCACCATCATCTTCTGACTTATGTGCCAACAAGATCTGCTGCGTGGTTTTCTTTGGTTGTCTGTAACAAGTATACCACAGTAACAGCAGTTTAAAATAATTTAACACCCACACAAGTCCCCCACACTTACATGTTTAAAGACTGCTTTTTCTTCCACTTGTGTTTTAGGTCTTTCTTCTTTTGAATGCGGCTTTTTATTTCAGATTTTGCCTTGTTCTTCCTTTTTTCCCTTTTAGCTTTCCCTTTTTTCCTTTTCAGTCCAGGTAAGGATGCTCTGGTCAAAGCCCGTAGCTGCTGGTGAATAGCTTTAAGCTACCGAAACCAAAATAAAAAGTTGAGTCTTAAGTAACATAGTAGAAAACTATGATCTGTTCCTATAAATCACAGGAGGCTTGTGGCATCCAAATGGATATTAATAGTATTTACTTTCTAATGTTCCCCCCCCCAGACATCTTACTCTTTAAACCAAGTCACAGACTAAGTATTTAGAAGAAGCTACTTATTTTATGTAGGCATTTCTAGGAGCATGTCTTCCAGTATACTATGAAGAAGAGCAAAAAAAAAACAAAAAACAAAAAACACTGCAGGAGTAATGCAGCAGCTTCTCTTTAATTTAAGCATTCATGTGTTTCCCAAATACCTGTATTTGCTAACTTGAGTTGGGCTTGGTCTTCTTCAATCTGTAAACATCAGCTATTGTTCCAGCTAGCCATATCATGTCACAAAATAACTAAGCTTTAGAGAAAGACCTAAAGCTAGCAAGTTTGTTTAAATCTTATAGGGATTATAAAGATGAATAAAGAATGAGAACTAGAATTTAATCCCACTCAACTAGAATTCTAAAAGAGAGCCTTCTCAATAGTATTTACCTTCAGGCCTACATTTCACAAATTCATAGGATATGTACTACTCTGGTAAATAATGAAAACTCAACTAGCAGGACAAATGCTAATTTTCTCCCTGGATTGTAGATACAGCAGTAGTTTAGAGTGATATGCTCATGCAAAAACAAGACCGCTATTAGCCAGTGAAACAAAGCTATGCTATTGGCATCAGCATGAAATTCCTTTGTTTTATTTCATAGTGAGCTTTCTCAAGTAGAATTTAATGACTTGCTTTTAAGAGGTTTAAAAGCATATTCATGACTACCTAAAGGAACTAGTACACCTTGAAACACTAAACATAATACCAGAGCTCTTCAACCACATGAAGCAAATGACATTTAGAATCACATGCCACTAAGCTGCATACAGAGTATCTGGATGCTCTCATCCATGGTATCATGGCAACAGTCTTATTTTTGTTCAAAAGAAATCTCATCTGAAAAGACACTAGGCAAGAACACTAGACTCATGCTTCAGTAAAAATAGTTTGTATTTGCTGAGGCACTATTCACTTCCAGATTAAAAATCTTTGCAAGTGTTTTCAAACACAGGTAAAGTTTAGTATTAAGAAATCAAGATGACTGTAGAATTTTGTAAATACTGATTCATAATGCTAAGCCTTCGGATGGACAATTGTAAGAGCACTATCAGAGAGATTACACTCAGCAACCACACACTGAGTACTAATGCTTACTTGCTTCTGAAGCTTTGCAAGATGCGCTCTTCTCTCCTTTTCAGAGTCTTCAGATGATTTCTCTTCCAAGGAGTCATCACTACTGCTGTCACTAGAATAAACTTTTCTCATTTCTCTTGTGTGTAGTGGGAGAGAAACACTTGCAGCAAGTTCATCAGGAATTTTGGCAAAGTGCATCTCAAAAACATCCTAAAGAGTTAAGTTTAGAAACAAATAGCTCACTTCTCAAAGCATTGTGAAGCTGCTGCTTGTTTTCTAGAACTACACAACATAGTAATTAGTAACATTAGTAGATGCTACATCAGGACTTAAGATGACCAAGGGAATCTTTACTCCTATTTTGTTTCAAATCTGACTTAAAGAATAACTCACCTGAAGTTTTCTTGCCATAGCAACTGCTTCATGGTCTGGAGAATTATGTTTGTAGTAATCCAATGAACATTAACCTAACATCTGTGGCAAATTCTTGTATATCTCTATATTTAAAGTTATCCATTTTTTTCTGGAGGAAAGGAAATTAAACACATTTAGTGGTTAACTTCAGAAGTACCTTTGTGCAACAGTGGATCTGTAATAAATAATTCAACCCCAATGGATCTACCCAGTATTTGTAAGCTACTGCCACTAATATCTCCTTCTAGAAGGGATCCTTTTCACAGAAAAAGTAAAAAGGTGCCACAGATATCCAGTGTTTGAGGCTCCAAGGCACTCCAAGGACTTTGAGGTGCAAACATTATAAAACTGCAGTTTTATAGAGCAAGAGCAACAGCATTGTGCAGGCAGACTGAAGGCTATTTAATATGTTTTGTTAGCAGCCTGCTTGGAAACACTTCATGGAGAAGGGTAATTCCCACCACATCTTTAATTAGCTTTTTCAAGGTAGATTAGTCAGCATGCACACAGTCACAATGAGACAGACTTTCTGTAGTAAGTTGTGGCTTCCTGGAAGAATGAACTGTACATAGGTTCTACGCCCATTATTTCTTTCAAACCAGAAGTTGCTTTCATGACACCTCTTCAATTAAGACTTAAAATAACTACAATAATGGCACTGGATTTAAGCAGACAAATTGCCCAGTTCCCTTACCTTAATTGTTCCTAGGTTTGTAGGACATTTGGTGATCTCCTGTTCCTCATCAAGTGAGAAGGATGCAACATCTACAGGTTTTAAGAAGGGCCACGCATATGCCAAATGTTTCTCTGAAAACATTTCTTTAAGGATTTCATTACAATGTTTTAGCTGTTCTGATAACAATTTTTTTTTAAGAAACCTATGAGACTGTTGAGAATCTGGCAAGTCCCTCTTCAGAAGCTTATTTGGTATCATGCATTCATCACCTCTACATGCTTTAATAGCTTTACTTTCATTAAACGTTGCCAAAGATTCACTGCTTGCTTTGAATATTGAAGTCATAGGAGTTGTGGTATCAGCCTTCCTCTTCACACCTTTTTTTGTCTAGAAAAAGGTAAGATTTTGTAGTTTAAAATACATGTATCCAGAACAGTGAGAGAATGGTCAGCTTTGAGACTACACGAGAAAATCTAGACTGTCAAAACTTCTACAGGTAATGAAACTAGAAGAACTTGGTATATCCACAAGTTTATATGGAGTCTACAAGGCATTACAAGCCAATGCCAAGCTTAATCTGAAATGTATGGGAAAGAAAAGTAGGTTGGTTAAAAGCTACCCACAACCTATCAAGAAGACAGTAAGTTATAAGATACCCACAAGATGAATACCATGGGAAGAGAAAGTGACTTTATTTTAAACCTAGCAGAGGGATTTATGTACAAGATTATCATTTATTTTTACCCTGGGTTGTATTGGGTTTAGAAGAAATGCATGTACTTTACCATTATGGTCAAGCTGTTCTGTGTAATTGTGTAAAAACCCTCTTGGAAAGCGTGGTGCACATGCCTGTTCCTCATTGGAGGAAGACAAAGCTAATCCATTACAAGCCTATTTGATTTAAAGTGTGTCGCTGTTCACATACAATTCATATAAAAATTTGCTTTTGTGGACTACAAACACCTCTCCCAGCTAGTTAAACATGCTATTTGGGGGATTCAAGTATTTGGTTTAAATTGGAAAAAAAAAAAAGGAAGTTAATAGAACTTAAAAAACTTTATTTTATTACTAAAGCCTTTATTTAGACCACAAGAACAATTTTAAATCAAGATGAAACCTGCAGAAGGATGAAAGAACTTTAAGAATGAACATCTTAATTTACTCTGTTTCTAAGAAAGAATCAGTCTTTAAACCATATTTAAAAGACTTAGCAAGCAGTTATCCCAGTTTCTGCATATTTCTGAAAATTAGTATTAGCCCTATTATTTATCAGGGAATAAGCAATTTAAGTCCTCTAGGTATCTTCTATCACAGTAGAATTTTTGAAAAGACAATGCTATAAGCATGGCTACTTTGGTTTTGCTGTTATTACCTGGAGCAGTAATTTCAATACCTTTCTGAAAGTTATTTGAGACAACTTACTTTTGTTATAGGGACTGCATCTGGCATTGAAGAAGTCAGTTGAGCTGCAGACAAAGGAGTTTAGTGTAACCTGCTGTAGCTCTTGAGTCATCACTGGAGGCTGCTCAGCACTGTCAGCTTGTTTCTGCATTGTGCTCTCTTTAGTTGAAATTCTAGGGTTGGGCTGCTGAGTTTCTGGTTATTTTAAAACAAAGTTTTAAGTTATGCTTTAAATACAACAGTTAATTTCTTTCATGATCATACTGGACAGTTTTCAATAGAACTACACCCAAGCTATACAAAGGCATTATGTATAGCAACATTGTTGTCCTTCTCTACTTGCCCCATCAGCTAGATTATTGTGCCAGGTTATGGATACTTGGCTTCAAGAAAACCATGGATTAACTTCAGAATAGAGATTAAAGAGACATCATAGTAACCCCCCTATGTTGTTAAAGAGTTCTTGCCAAGAAAGTACTAAATCATTTTCTACATACACATGAAAACCAAGTGCTTCAAACATTTCAAAAGTTGTTCAAGTTACATGTGTGTAAAGCAGGTCAGGGTATTAAACAGCTTTAATACCAGAAAGACAGTATTATGAATGCATCTCAAATTATTGCAGTAATTTGAGAACCAAAGAGCTAGTTCAGCTTCCATCAAATTTCTCAGAAGACTTTTTGGGAGCCAATTCTACCTGTCCAGTGAAAATATTCTCCCAAGATTATGAATTACCTGAAATTTCTCTCAAGCTAATGAGTAGGAAGTCAGCTGAGCATTCTCTTCTTCTTCCTAATCCCATTCAGAAATTTTTATGAAGGAATTCAATTTATCCACAGATTTTTCCATACTTATCTAACAGATCACTGTGAAAGATAGTGTTGCTCCTCAAATTTACTTTGAGACAAAAACTAGAGATTTATCAAGCAGTAATGCTATTTTGGAAAAAAATTGTTTCAGATACCTGCAGCAGCAAGGACCATCACATCACTAACAGCAGGAAGAAGGCAATGAAGTAAACATGAGACACCGAAGAGTTTCATAGTAACATAGTTGTAAGAACACCTGTAAGAACTGAGCTAAAAATCACTGCTTAACAGCTATGAGAAGTCAAATAATCATTAAGAGGTATCAAAATGAAGAAGTGCTACAAGCTCCTTCTAAGGCACAGCATCTTTCCATTAGAGCTAGCATACTCCCAGCAACTGACAGCAGTACATTCAGGCACATTTGGGAGTCTACATTACATGTCCTCAAATTCATGCATAGAGATGCACATATAATTTGAAACACTACTAGTCCTACTTCTAGTAATATTTTTCTAACAGTGTTAAAAATTAGATGTTGAAGCAATCACTTTGTAGAAGTGAAACATTTTTCAGGGTAGTGAAGGAAATTACAAGAGCAATTAAAGACAGTCAGTGATGAGTAGTTGCAGCCGATCTCCTGGACTCTTAACTAAGCTTCCCAATATAGCTTGAAGTACCTACTACATAATTTTCTCCTAAGTTTGAGATGCCTTGACTGAATCTTTCTTCTTGTGGGCAAGAAGATTTCACCTGTGAAACTGTGCTATTACACTACCAGTGAAGTTGCCAATTCTGACTTCTCTCCCCTTTTCAAATATATTTCATTAGTAGAAAAAAGAACCTATGAAAATATTACTGCCTGCACTGAATCTGCTAAAGCTTCATAGCACTGTTTCTCATCTGATATGTTCTGGGAAAGGTGGAAAGCATCATGACTACTCTCGGGCTGAGATGGGGAGTTAGAGGATTCCCTGTTCCCAGCTTTTGCTTGTTTAATATGTTAACAATTCAATATATAGCCCTTACCTTCTGATGACTTTCCTTTTCTCTTTCCTTTGTTGGGAATCAGTAGTCTTTCTTCTGGTGGCATTTGTGCTATTTTCTGCATAAACACTTTCTCTAATTCTTGGGCCATAAACACAATGTCATCACCTGGCTGCAAAATACAGTTGGTAACATTCTGAGTGCAGAAGTTGCAATAAAGTGCTACCTCTTCAACTAACCATAGTCTGTATTGACCAGACTGAAGCAAGCCACCAGTACCAGAGAGGTACTTATCATCCCTGCCCTCTAGCACTAATAGAAGTTGCTTTCATGATGAAATAATAGACCCTTTCCCTCACTGTCCCTGGGCACAGTCCTCCTTACCATATGTCCACATATTTCCCTTAGCAAAGGGAAAAGGGGGTAGAGCTGCAACTCTCTTTTTATTCCTGTGTTCTGAAGGAAGATGTTGAAGCTCAAAGATGATACTAAGGCACAGCCAACAAACATCCAAGCTCAGGCAGATGCTCATACTTCAAGGTAGGTTAGTTTAGATAAACTTAATGGAGTAGTGGAGCATAGCTCAGTATAGCTGGCCTTGAATTTTTTTAGCTCTTACATTGGGCCATTCAGGATCTGTGTAAACAATGCCTAGAAATTTTGCCAACAGAATACTTGTGCAGTAAAGACTATGCCTTCATTTGTTGTCACAGCAGGTTAGGCTTCACTTATGCCTTCAGTTAAACCTAGGAACAAAGCCCTCCCCCTTTTCAAAGCAACTAGTATCAAAAAAAAAATGAAGACACTGACAAGGAGCATGCAGGTTGTAAGTACTGGTTGGTATTCAATCTCATTGGTTACTAGTAAGAGATGGTCATGTTCCACATACCTTGTTATATATGTGGCAGTTCAAGAACATAGTTTTGAAGTCTTCAATGCATTCTGCTGCTTTCGCATAGTAATTATGTTCCAGACGCTTTTTAATTGTGCTCAGATCCATAGGTTTCTTTATAATATTGTAGTAATCCTGTAGTTTTTGAAAGAGATAGTCACATATCAAATCTTTTAAGTATTAGGACATGAAGAATCTGACAGTTTTGAAAGGTAAATTGCAAGAGAAGGACTTCATTATGTTGGATGGAATATTTTATTAAATGAAAATTTCGCACTGTAGTCATAGGTACCATAGAAGCGTTCAGGAACTCTTCACTTTCTATTTTCTCCTCACTCTTTCATGTAAGATCAAGAGTGTTCAAAACTCCAAAGAATTGTTTCCACAGGATCCAGAGCTATACTTGTAGTAGTACTTATGAAAAGTATATACTCGATATCTTAAGGCCATTTACTTGAAGTAGCACTCCAACTTACAGAGTAGGGAAAAAAATAATCTAAAAGACAGACAATGACTTAGTTGCTGACAAAAATGGAGAAGCAGCCAAGTTTTCACTGTCGCTTATCAAATGCTTATCTACTGGGTCATATTGCCTCTCCTCTCAGGTAGAGTCTAGTGAGGATGCAAGAAGACTGAAATGCAATAGGAACATGAACTATTGTGTCTGTGTCAGCAGCACTGCTACAAGCCCGTAGTTAAGATTATGAAGCCAATTCTTAACACTGTGTTTAAGAAATCGGGATAGGAATATCACCACTAAACAGTGCATACATATGGCAGTTGTGTAAAGTTACTATTAAACAAGGCTTCTGAAGGTATTCTAACAGTTTGTTTCAGTGAAATTAGAAAGCTAAATACATCGTGGCATAGACTTGGAGTTTATCAAAGCAATGACAGGAAAACTTAAATAATGCAACTAATAACCATCATCAATTCTGCATTTTCTAACAAGAAGAAAGTCAAATGAGTCAAATGCCTTCACCATCCTTGCCATGAAGGCAGAGTTTTGCTTGTTGTATCAAGTGAACTAATTCATACTTTCAGAACACAAACATCTGGCTTAGAAACCCAGAGAGGCAGAAAAGGCCTGAGGCCAGCTGCATTTGTCGCCACAATTCTGATTGAATTACCTCTAACCATAAGTGGCAGTTCCTCCCAAGAAGGAAAAAAGGTAAGATAACAAAGTCACCTTGCTTTCGGACAAACTGACCAAATTAGTTTCTCATAAGAAACAGTTGCAGGTAAAGGCTTTTGTTTGCCTAAACAGGACCAATAATTTAGTAGAATTAGTCTTGGAGATTTGAGAGATGTAAATACATTTCATTAAGCTGGAAAATAAAGAATTGAAGTAGCCATGCCATGGTTTTATTTCATAAATTTCTACTCGTTTAGCAAAAGCAGTACCTTCAAGGCTATTTGATAATTGACACAGTAGCATTTCACAGAAAAAGATGGGGTGATCCAAAAATGGAGTCTAAGTATATCTAGCTTGTCACAAGACATTCTGTGCTGTCCAGGAATGTGTTAAGTCCTGCTTTTGTACCTGGCAAAGTCACAGGGCAATACAGAACAGGGACAGGAATTTAAACATGACCTTACATTTCCTAGAAGAATGTTCTACCGCTGTAGTATGATTATACCATATCTCCTTTTTCTTCCCCGTTTTTGCAGTCATTTAATTCCTTTAGAAGCTTTAGGGCAAAATCGCCAAGTCACTTTGAACTGTAATTACTTCTACACATCAAACTGAATCTAAATTTGCCTGTTTATCTTAGGATCAATCAGATCTGCTGTTCCATCATAGAAGTATTTACCATGTAAAGAGGTTGGCTACTTCCATTAAGAATAGAGTGAAAGAAAAATACTCATTATAAACAGCATTAAGAAATATGGCTAAACCAGTACTTCATTAAGAAGCTCCAAAAGATCTGTTTAAGTGCTGTTCATGTTTCTTACAGAAATACTGATTTGCAACAGTCTCAGAAAGGAAAAGGAGCAAAGATGCAGCATCTGGTATGAACCAGAGAGAAAGTAGTTTTCTACTGGAAGTTCTTGGAGTAATTAAAGCAGTTCACATGATACAGTAGTCTTCCATAATCTGGTGTATCATGAAAAAAATTTAAGCTAATTCACAAGTCTTGGAGTATTAGTATGTGAAATATTATATTTCCAAATTGGTTCTTACAGGAAGATTCAGTGCTGCTGCATCTACAGGCTGATGAAATGGCCAGGAAAAGTTGTGTCTCCACATGGCTTTCATGACCACTCTCTGTAAGTACTGCAATTGATTTGTTTGACAACCGCCATTATTATTGTTTATATATTCTGGTGGAGGAGGGTTAACAATTTTGGAACATTGCTGGCTTGGAAGAGACATCTTCAGCAAGGATGTATATCCACTTGTTTCAAGATCTTCATTATACATCTAACCTGTGGGTGGGAAAAAAAAAAATACTATTCAGTAAAGATATCTAGACCTAATTCTCTTAGCAAAGTATCAATACTGTAGTCACAGGCATGTCCTCATAGTTTAACCAAGGCACTTTTTTTTCCCCACATTGCCTAGTTAGATGCGCTGAACTACTAAGTTCAGTTCTTTAGGTTATAAACAGCTGTATTTGAAGAGGCTTAAAGAAACATGAGACATGTAAGGTCTCCCTAGAAACACACTTCCTCATTCAGGTTCATCTACTGAAGTCCAGAAAGACATTCTCTACCTCCCCCACCTCCACAGATAGAGTCTATTAGGAAGACATTTGACCTAAAAATAAACAACAGCATTACACTGCACTGTCTCCCCTAGCAAAAAGCAGCAACAGCTATGTACTTCCTTACTCATGCATCTCCACAAAGTCACCTCACAGAAGTCATGCAGCCACCAACACTATGTTTTAGCTTAGAAGTGCATTTTCTAACAGTGGTTTTCAGGCTTGCACAAATGCACAACTGCATTTTCTGCCAGTGTGCATCAGCTTTGTTACATACAATCATGAAATGTTCATTTTCCCCCATCCCATTTTGAATCAATTAAAGAGTACTTCAAGGAACAGCTGTGGTAATTTGCATTTGTCTAGCATAGTATTGCTGCACTGGAGTAGAACACATAGGTACTTTTGCATGGCAGAGAGACTGTGGTTTGGAATGTATAACATCAGCACTAAGCTAGGCAAGACCTTCACCAAGCACAATTACAGAAAATCCTGTCAATGACCTTCTTAGGTCATTGAGTTCTAAACACTCAGATGATGGTTCCACTTCCTTCACTCCATTAAGAGAGAAAAAGCCACATTCCTCATTTTCACATTTTCCCCATCCCTAGAACTTTTTAAGACCAGGTTGGATGGGGCTTTGAGCAACCTGGTCTAGCAGGTGTCCCTGCCCACAGCAAGGGGGTTTGGAATTAAGATAATCCTTAAGGTCTCTTCCAACCCAAACCATTCTATGGTAAGTTCCTCATTTTACCCATATAACAGTTGCTTTTTATGCATTCATCAGATCAAACTTTATTCTCTAGTTGTCCTGCTTTTTCCTTAAAAAAAGTCTAGTAGCCTGCTTTTGGTCACTATACATAGTATTTCATGACAATTTTAGAAAAGGTCATAAGTAGCTGGATAGCTACTGTAACCACCACGCTACAAGAATAGTATTTGTCCCACTCTTACAATTGTAAGATCCCATGAGACATTACATATCACACATTTTCATTTTTGTTCTTATTCCTGCATTCAAAAGCAAGCCTATTTCAAAGCCCTAAAAGCTAAAGAGCTTTGTTTTTCCCCCCCCCAACACACATGTTCAATCTAGTCATTAACACAGATGTCTTTCATCAAACAGTACTGCTATCAAAGTAAAAGGATTTCCTTAAATAAAGAGAACATATACAACCAGTCTTTAAAGCTAGAAACAGTTCTGGGCTGTGAGATACACTTGTGTAGAAAACAGTAATAAATTTAGTACAAGGTCACCTCTTTTTGAGGTTCACAATGCAGAAGGTTTCAAGACTGTTACTTTTCAGAACACAATTTCACTTGAGAAAGCTTTACTAGTTTGGGCTTAAAGTTTTAGTTTCAAGTCATAAATCACAAACAATGTTAATTTCAAGTTCAAATGTAGTCACATTGCGTAGTCTGCCTGTTCTGATGAGACTTAACCTAGAACTCTAAAGCAGATTTCAACAGAGCCAGGGGAACCTATTTTTATGGAATAAAATATTGAAGTATACGCAAAAGAGTTTGTAGTCTACAGATGAAGATTGCCCTGCCTTGTGCTTAACAGTATGTTGACTCCGAAGTTAAGCTTTTCAATGCTGCTTGGTTGTGCAAGTCTAGTTGATACAGTAGTACATATTAGAGTGTGATTGACTAGGGAAAGTCTCCTTTTGAATTCAGGTGTGATTTACAGCCTGTTTCCCCCCCTCCCCCCGTTCTCATTGCTTTCTTCCTGAAAGACTTAGAAACACCATAACTTGCAACACCTTACCTTTAAATACTGAGGTCCCAGTTACCTTATAGAAGTTCAGTTTTCATCTGCTAACTACTGGTGCTGAGGCATTGACAATATAGCACAAAAGCATAGTGTCTTTTATAGTTGTCAGTTCTGCAGTCTTATTTTCTCTTAGGGAGAGGCTGATAGACTAACCTGGTCTGACCACTAATTGCATGCTTTCAAATGGAGATGCCCTTAGCTACCCAGAGAGAACCCAGCTAGGTGAAGCATCAAGAACAGCTTTACTGGCATTGTCCCTGTAGTTAGGGCCAAGCCCTCCCTCCCTGCCAGCACAAACCAGTAGCAAGGTCACTATGATACCTTCTAAAGATGTAGCTCCAAGTTTAAGGCATCAATCCTACTCTCACTCTGCACAAGCAACACTCATTCATTCTCTGGAATTTGCTGCACACACACTGAGTGTTCATGTGCCTCAGAAAATAGCAACATCTGCATAATAGATAAAAGTGACATTGGCATTTTTATTACCAACTACCCAGTCTTGGAACTTGTATGTCTTCTTCAGATGGAGACATAAAAATAGGTAACAGTATCCAAAACAAGAGAGAGTTAGAACTTAACAGGCAGTTTTATGAAGAACTTCCAAATTAGTCTGGAAGGCCAATTAAATTCCAAATACCAAGTTCTTTCATCTCATCAAGGTCTTTCTTACTCTAGCAAGAGGGGAAGAAAAAAAATAAGGGAATAAGAGTTGCGGAAGCAGTAACGTCCTCATCCACTCCAGCACTATAAACATAGAGAGGTTTTATACCAACATGCACAAAGAACTAAGTGGTGTCCTCCCCTCACAACCCAATATACACTTCATATGTAAAGCACATATACACACTCACCTGAACTTATGGCTGCATCCCACCCCCAAAAAGCTGCTTTGAATATAAACTATTTCTACTGCCATGTCACCTTTCCCACAAGGAAGAGCTTACAATTTAAAACAAGCTGAAGGGCTTGAGCTGAACTCCAGATAAGCGTACATGTAGTTTGTACTCCCATGCATTATACTAAATACCTAACCTTTCCATCAATCTATATATCTCAGCTTGTAAAAATCCAGGCACACAGGGTCTACATTTAACCAGTCTATTGGAAGAATTAGGAGAAGTTCTGAGGCAGCTTTGAGAGCCCCACAACCCAGCCAAGTCAGTTGTCCCCTATATTCATCTGTTAGGCCACACTATCATTTTCTCCAGATACTTTCTGCTTAAAAGCACATTTTATGATATGAAGTGCAAGTTGTTCACCCTCCCACTTGAAGCACAGAAGCTAGAAATTTGAGATAGAAAAGGAAATACTGCAATTTGTGTTTTTTTTTTTTTAAATAGACTTCTATGCTATGCTTTTTAAGAAGAAGATATTTGTTTTCTGATAGCTTTCTGAGTATTAGCTAACTTGTTGAAAAAGACTACTCACTCTTGTTAAAGTTCAGCCTTATATTTACTCAAGTTCAACCTATATATCTCAACATAGTCAAGAATAGCAACTCAAAGAAGCACTAGACTGTGTCTATGTTCTTTATGAAGGATATTATCAGGTTCTATATGCTAGGAACATTTCATTCTTGAGAGCCTTTTTAACAGCTTTTTGTTAAATTGATAATTAGTCATTGCATTTTTTAAAAACAAATATTGGAAAAACCCTCCTATGTTGACTTACTAAGGCCACCCAGAGACAAGTCTAGCCTACTTTAAGTACTATAACACCTTCTTTCAGGAGAAACAGTTATCCTCTTACAACTGCCCATAAAGCACTATTTCATTACCTTTAGAACCTCTCCTGGGAAACTTCAAAGGAACATTAACTGTAGAGACAAGCCACTTAAATATTAGATCCACAAAAACCATCAATTCACAGCTCCTACCATAACAAGCCCATTTTTACCAGCTTTAAATAACTCAAAATCAAGTAACTACCCTCAAAAGAGATCAGACATCCTTTTTACCTTGGTTTTAAGGAACACCAAACTTCACTTCCTTTCCATCTAAGGGGAAAAGAAAGAATGCGGCTTCAGAAAAAGGAACAGAGAAGCGTTTATAATCTATTCACCTTGTTTTCCTCCTCAGCATTAACACAGCTGCATACCTACAACCCTACCTAAGATTTGCCCTATGAGCAGTTATAATTGGGAGGCTGTCAGTAGAAGGTGGGAACAGCTGTTAAGGCCTAAGACACACCAGATGGCTATTTATGCCAGACCTACTCACTTGCTAGTTAATCAATAAAACAAGGTGGAAGGATGTAAAAATAAGAGTGATTCTGCTTAGGCTGGTTTTGGTTTGATTTTCTAATCTTAGCTTTAAAGTTTAAAGCTTAAAGATAATGCATAACACTAATGTTTTATGTCAGTTATTCTGAATTATACTAGGTTATGGTATAAGCAATGCATAAATACTGTATCTTGTTAAACATTCTACAGTGTTCACTCCTTCCTTGGCTATTCAGTTCCATTACTTAATTTAAAAAACAAATACATTTAGTAAATGCTGCTGTAGGATGGAAATAAGGATCAGGGTGTTCCCTAATATATTCAGCTTGTTGTCATTAAAGCTACAAAGACCTGCAATTTAGCCACCTCGAATTTTGGTTATTCGTTAAACTTTTGTTGCTCTCAATACACCCAAAAACTCCAGCACTGACATGCTGTAGTACAAAGCTGCACTGCAAAACCAGGTTTGTATTGGCTATGTTGCTTTATGCAGTTGTGTTTGTCAACTGCAAATGTTTTTTTTTTTTGTTTTTTTTTTTTTGTTTGTTTTTTTCCTAGCAAGATGTCCTGGTGACTGGGCTAAACTTTGGTAGACTTCTTTTTGTTTCTGGCAAAAGTCTGAAGTGTTGCTGTTGGATCTAAAATATCTAGGTAGATCCAGCAAGTGCTAAGTGTTCTGACTCAGGCAGCCCAATCTGTTAGGAGCAGATGGATGAAGTAGTCGGGGAAGCAGAAAACAGCTGCTGCTTCTGGTACCTCTGCTGAGCTGGGAGTAGGTGATATGAAGTTTATTCTTTACAGGTGACAGGAAAGGGATATTTTTACTGGGATGGAAATGATCCTGTATTTAAAGCAAAGCAGACTTCTTTTACACAGGTTTGGTAGAAATCTTTCTCAATGAATGGAAATAAGGAATAAGAGATGTCCTGTATAGGTAATGTTCTAGGTTTGTTGAACTGAGCAATGTTTTTATTTGAATGAAAGACTTTATTCTTTTATGTGGAGTGCAAGGCTTTCTTACTATTGGTAGAGCTGGGCAGGGAGGATACTGACAAAAATCACAGTTGTGGTGAAAGAAGAGAATCTGTTGCCCATTAAATGTTCTTATTTGCTGTCTTACTTATATTTTTCCCTTTAATTTTTAGCTTGTCATTGCTTAATCTTCTTTGACTCTGTTCTATAAGAGATTTTAGCCTGTTGGCTTTGTTAGTCTGTGCTGTGAATGGGGAAACACTGCTTGAAAACCAAGTTGGTTTGGTTTGTTTTCATCTCAGTGGTTTTTTTTTTTTTAAAGTTAAAAAAACTTTAAAAAAAAAATTGTTTTTTTTTTTTTTTTTTGCACATGTTTTTTTTTTTTTCCCCCAAATATTATACTGAAACAAAATACTGAAACATTATACTGAAACAAAACAAAAATTCTGTATCTTCTGGTGGAAATTTCTGTTATGGATAGCCATTTATCCCTTAATCAAGATGAACTCTTCCCAATTTTAAATATCTATGTAAAAATTGTTTAGTGGAGATAAGCAATACTCATTGCATAATAGGTCATTATGTTTTGACAACCAAGGTTCAGAAATGAGGGGATGGAGTGTGACCAAAAAGAAACTTACACACCCAGCTTGAGCTAACAAGGAATTTTTTATTTTTTATTTTTTTTAAATTAACTGTGACTGGAAAGGACATCTTGGCTCACTGACTTGAATCTCCTCTTGCCACCAGGAACCATGTCCTATATTCCTTGTAAAAAGTTTAATGTGCGTGTTAAGAATAGATGGATTTTCAGCCCCTACTCCTTAGCATCTGTAACCACATAATTATTTCATTGATTAACCCATATCTTTCATGTGAAATCATACTTCAAGTATAGTTTCTGAAGTTGCAATGGTGTATGTCCTCTTGTAGAAACTCTCCTTTATGAAAATCTTTACCTGTAACTGATACACCTTTACTATATTTCACTTGGAAGAGATAAATGCAATCTTTGGAAAAAGCCGCAGCTCCTTATTTCTAGACCCAGCAGCAAGAGGCTAAGCAAAACATGTATTGTGTGTATGCATTATATGGTTTTGATACTGAATCTGCAACCAATCTGAGACTGAGAAAGGAAAGGTCACTGGCTGAAGAAGAGTTGAATAGGAAGAAGGTGTCAAGAAATCAGCCTTTGTGGATGTAGGGTAGTGATTGTAATGGCATGTGGATGAAGTTTTTTGTTTAAGAACTAGTCTGATTTTGAGTCATGGAATTTATCGTGTTTTTATGCAGTCTGTGAAAATGTGATGCAACAATTTAAAACACTGGAACCTTTGATAAAGAAAGTAGTATGCTTGGTCAGAATTAAGTTCTTAGAATTTGATCTTATTCTTTACAGTAGAATTAAAATACCCCCACCCCCCCCAAAGAAAAAAAAAAAAAGCTGTATTTTAATGCATTTCAGTAATATTGTCTCTGGATCAGTGTTGAACAAGGGCAAGTGTTTTGCATAATTGCATGGGCTGTGGGAATAACTAATACAAGATCTCTTATAAATCAGATTCCTAACTGTTAATTCCCTCTCTCTCTCCCCCCTCCTCTCCACCTGCATTGATATATGCTTGCTTTGTGTTTCTGGCTGTTACTCTGAGACTGTTGAATCAGCTTTGTAACCTGCAAAAATGAAACCTTGTGAATGAAAACTTTATTTTAATTTATTAAAATTGAATGGTATTTGCCCCAAAGTACTCACTTAGAGCATGTTAATTTTGTTGTCTTAGTGAATATTTAAAGCACTGTGCTCCACAGTGTGAATGCTGTGACAACATACATAATTATGCAAGTAACAAATATTTCAGAAACCATGGGAAATGGGGAAAGGGGGACTGAAGCTCCCTACAGTCTAAATGTGATTATAGTAAACTCCGGATCATAGCAAGATGTAAACACTGAAGTTGATGACTAGTGCTTTAATTTATAGGTCATATTTGGCTCTCAGATACTACTGTAAATTTGGAATAACTCTGCTAACTTCAACAGAACTGCCTTAGATTTAGAATAGAATAGTTCAGTTGGAAGGGACATGCAAACATCAAAGTTCGACTGCCTGACTGCTTCAGGACTAACCGAAAGGTATGTTATGCTACTGAGGACACTGTCCAAATGCCCCTTGAATGCTGAGAGGCAGGGAGCATCCACCACCTCTCTAGGAAGCTTTTTCCAGTGTCTGACCACTCTCATGGAAAAGAATTTTTTCCTAACATCCAGTCTGAACCTCCCCTGGCGCAGCTTTGTGCTGTTCCCACATGTCCTGTCACTGGTTCCCAGGGAGCAGAGGCCAGCACCTCCCCCTGGACTTCCCTTCCTCAGGAGCTATAGAGGGCAATGAAGTTTCCTCTCAGCCTCCTCTTCAGATGAGGCAAGCCAAATGTCCCCAGCCTCCCCTCATAGACTGTGTCCCCCAGCCCTTTCACCAGCTTTGTTGCCCTCATTTGGATGCGTTTATCTTAATATCCTTTTCATATTGTGGAGCCCAGAACTGCACACAATATCTAAGGTGAGGTTTCTCTAATGATCATTTCCCTATGCTCTTCATTTCTCTCATTGAATCACTTTTGCCATTTATTTATAAAGCTACATACATCCAAGAGTCTATGCCAGCATGCCCATGTTGGGTGGTTTAACCCCAGCAGGCAGCTCAGCACCACTCAGCCACTGCTTGCTCTCCCCAGGTGGGATGGGGGAGAGAAGCAGAAAGGTAAAAGTGAAACTAACTCATGGGTTGAGATTAAAAGAGTTTACTAGGTAAAGCAAAAGCCACATGTCTTAGCCAAGCAAAACCAGGAACTCCTTCACTATATTCCATCGGCAGGCAGCCACTCTCAGGAATTCAGGGCTCATCATGTGTAACAGTTTCTTGGGAAGACAAAGGCCATCACCCCAAACATCCCTCTTTCCTCTTCCTTTACCCCAGCTGTTATTGCTGAGCATGATGCATGTGGTAGGGAATACCTCTTTGGTCCTTTGGGGTCAACTGTTCTGGCTGTGTCCCCTTGTGGCTTCTTGTGCACCTCCAGCCTCCTCGCTGGCAGGGCAGCAAGAAGAGCAGAAAAGTCCTGGGCTCTGTGTAAGCCCTGCTCTGCAACAGCTAAAACACTGGTGTGTTATCTCCACTGCTTTCTTCAAAAATCCAAAACACAGCACTGTGTGAGCCACTAGGAAGAAAATTAACTCTATCCTAGCCAAAACCCCAATACCATGAAAGTTGTACTACAGTAAAAAAAGAATTCATCCATTCTAGAAAGCAACCCTGTTCCCACTTACTGCTTTCCTGCCATTTAGAGTTGTCTCACTTCCTACAGGCATCTCATGCTTCATTAACTCAGCCTTCAACAAGTGTCTGACCAAGGAGTTATTGCAGAATGATCTTGACTTGGACCATATTACCTATTATGAGCTGATGGAGATGGCAACTCTCTCTTTCTCTCCCTGAAAATTAATTTCTAAACTCTTTCATTACAGTTGAGTCAATTGTTTCTGACACTCAGCCAGTGAGATGCTCTTTGTACTCCTGCTGCTGGTCTCTCTCTACCAGCCTGTAGATGAGCAATCTCTTTTGCCTTGAGATTTCTTTTGGCATTTCATCTTCTCACCCAAAACAATTGTGTCCATCCAGCTGCTTTGTTTTGCACCTGGCTTTACTGTTCATTGGGTTGGTAAGGGATGTCTGCTTGCTCCTTATATCTTCCTAGTTCTGCTTTTTCCCTTGTTCCCCTCACTGGTTACGCTTACATTCTCAATCATTTCTGCATGGTCAGGTCCTCACTTCCAATGGCCGTCTTGGTTCTGTTCTGTCAGTACTGTCAGAAAGCTGCACCGAGGGTGTATCTGTAAGTGGATCTGGGGGCTATCCTGTGCTGGGACAGAGGACTGCCACTGGAAGTTGGAAGCTGGAGCAGCAACTTTCTCAGAGAACCCTTTTTTCCACCTTCTTTTTTTTTTTTTTTTTTTTTTTCCTTTCAACTCACATACCCGTGCCTCTAGTGTCAAGGTCGATTTTCTATTGACCATTTCCATTTTTCCATTTTCTCATGTCCTCTCCATGGTTGTGTAGGTAAAACCATAGGGTGGCACGGGGTGTGTACCCTCTCTATTGTCTTCCTTGCACAGTAGGATTCTTACCCCAATAGCTGAGACACTGGTTTGTACAGGTGGGGAGGACGATAAATATTTACGTCTTTGAGCTCTTATCCTTTCCAGTCCTAGCTCATTTCACCAGATACCCCTTAGAAACCCCTAGCAAATTGCTCACTGTGTTTCGCGATTGTGCCCAGTATCCTGCGCTGTTGCTATATTCTACCAGTAGATGTCAGCTCGGAACTGGTGAAAGTTTATTCCATTTGTTTCAAGGTAATTAAAAGTACTGGTTCACTGGCTTGGACCTTGACTTTTTTTATATCACATTGCTTGTTCAGCATGCAAGGCAAGATGTCGGTATTCAGAAATTCAACATATGACCAGTGTGATGTTTGAATGCTTTGTAACATCTGTAACAACAGAGAGAGAGTTCAGACAATGTGTGATTAAAAAAAGAAAATCAGTTACTCTGTGTGTTAATGAACTTTAAGGAAAGATTTTCAAACTCAGATTCTAGTTCCAAATCACCAAACTTCTAGATGAAGTTAATAGCCAGGACAGTAGGAACCACTGAGATGCAGAGTGAGGGAGAAATTAGTGACAGCCTCTGTGCTGCCGGACACAGACTTTACCATGGCATTAGTAGTCTCTGCCCCAGGAAACTGGGCACCTATGTGAGAAAATGTGAAAGTGTGATATGCTTGTTCTATGCCACTCTGTTGGGATTTTTCCCCTTGGAATTATAGGGCTACTTGCAGCTTGTATATGTCTCTGGAATATCATCTGAGAGGGGAAAAAATTGACCTTTGGAGTAGTGTGGCACTGTATGTGCATCTACAAGCTGGAACAGGCAGAATTATATTTCTCTATGTATTGTGGAGACAGGTGCTGTAGTGCTGTCTCTGCTTGCCTTATAGCATTTGCCCTCCCATGCATAAAGACTTACTCCCGTGCTTCTGGGACAAGTTCAGTGTGTTCCTGTGTTTTGCGAACCAGCATGTACAAGACAGTCAGTCTTAAAATTCAGAAACTCCTTCTTTGGGGATAGATGCATACCAATGGTATATTCCCACACTTTTAATGCTGCTATAGCTATTTCTCCTGAGGATTTCTGGAAGCATACCCCAGAGATCTTAGTGCCTCAGCAACCGGAGCTATGCTGACAGTTGATCTGTCATACACTGGGGGAGAGCTTGCTGTGCCCTTTGAGGCAGTGATTTTAGTCCGTTGTCACATTTAACTAAGGCTCTTCCTATTCTGTGTTTTCCTGAGCTTTGTCTGTTCAAATCTGTGTTTGATGAGTGGATTGATTGCTCCTGCTTGCAGGCAAGTTGCTTATGCTGTGGAGCAGATGTTTGGTGAAATCAGTGGCATTCAGAATAATTTTTTTCCTGCTATGTGGAAGGTACAGAACATGAAGGATGAGGTCACAGACTTAGCAGGTGTGATGAGTTCTGCAGTTAGTGTGCAGTTTGTGGATGGACGGAAGCCATGTTGTTGTATATGCTTCGCAGAATCAACAGTGGGACATGAAGATAAGAAATATGAAGATAAAAAATAATAGATTGTTTTCAGAGATTAGACCTTCTGAATTGGTAAGTACCATACAGATGGTATACCTGCTCCCACTTGGTTCTCTAAAGAGAAAAGTATATCAGTTCCAAGAGAGCTTTATTATATTTTTTTCCAAGGGATTTCCTTATTTTTGTAGACTATGGCCTAGCTCAGTGTCCATTCGTGAATGCCAATATACTATATTGAGGAAAGTCACACAGCACCAATGTTTTTAGGAGACCAAGTGCCTATTTGCTGGAAAAAAAGAAAAAATCTTAAACAATTCAGTTTGGATACCAGTTTGGTCAGGATCACGAATTAGATTGAGACTTGACAGAACTCTGCACCTGTAGGTACAGAGGTGTTTTCCTGCAGGGTATGGTAAGGAGTCAGCTTTTTTACAGAGCTGATGTGGGTAACCAAAAACTCTCCCTTCATTACTGGGACTTTGATCAAGGCAGGTGGGAGAACTAAGAGATGCCCTGCATATACTAGTGACAGAGGATTAGAATTTCTGAGGGAGGCTATTGTGGTTTGAAAAAATTTAATCATTTTAAAATTAGACTTTACAGCCATAAATTAATTTATTACAGACTTGATGGGATTATAAGCTTAGTGAGATTTTTCAGGTGTTAAGTGACCATATGTCTTGTAAGCTTATTATGGCTTTAGGTCTTATGTGATCACAATATGTGCACCTTTAATAAAGCTTAGTAATCTGCTCATTGGCTTTTCTGCATGTGCAGAATCCAGGTAGCAATGTATTTTAAAAAACAAACCAAATTATTAACTAACCAGTTAGAGCCAAGCCCTTTTAAAGTCACTAGCTGCGTGTACATATAAAGGTAAAATAACTCCCATGCAGCATGAATTAAAATGATCTATATGTTTATGTGCTCAAAATATCTAAAATCAGTAATGGCTATCTAAAGAGCTCTTCCTTTCGCTTGGCAGAACTTCCTCCTTCATTGAACATTCCTTCCTCTGTGCATTTCAACAGCAGCCCTTGCTAGTGGTGTCTACAGGCACGTTACATTAACAGCAGTTTAATAACGTTAGAATTTGGCCTAGGAGAGCCTGTTACCAGTGCTGGTTCTAACTTTGCTTCAGGCCAGAGAAGGCCTGGACAGTATAACTGTTTCTAAAATACCATAATGGAAAACAGGAACTAATATCTGAGGCCAGAGGGAATGTTCCACCTCCCTGTGCCAAGGAGCCTGTGAAGTGAGCAGTGCAGTCCTCGTGAGATTGCCCTCTCCAGAAATCAGATAGACTGTTACTGCTCTTGCTTTATTAAGTGGAGTATTTATTAGAGGAGAAATGATAACACAGTGCTGACCTGGGATGCAGATGCTTGCTAGCAGAATGTGTTGTTCCACTTCACCCTCTTAGCTGCACTCTGCAAATAAATGAGGCAGGATAAGCAGCATGGATGTATAGCTGTACACAGCCCTATTCTCATAATCCATGCTTCTTCATAACATTCCTTGGCTGACCAGAAATGTTTTTCACTGTATCAGTGTGGCGATACGTGATTTCTGCATGGGGTGAGATGCCCTGTTAACTGAAACCACAGACCGAAGCGAGGGTGTGTGGAACTTCACGCAGGAGAAGAAAGGTCCTTGCTGTGAGTCCTGTTCCTGCCCCTACACTGTCCGAACTCCTGTGTGTCCTTGGCTGCTCTCTGAAGCTAAGACAGTGCCAACTTCAAAGGTGGCAAAGGGGGTCAGAGTACTTGGGCTGGGACTGCAGCCTGTGTGCTGATATTTCTGATCCATCTCTGAGAGGGAATTTCTGTAGGTGGAAATGGCAGGGGATGCATGGAGAGGCATATTTCTGGTTGTGAGTGGGGGAGATGTGGCTAAATCCTGGACTTCAGGGTGCTTGGACAATGAATTACAAGCAGAGAGAAGGGAAGAGGGCTTCGGTACAACTTTTAACTGATGTTAAGTTAGATGTTTGCTCAGTAATGTGATATAATAACATTTAGACAAATATGGATGGACTAACTCCTCCACAGAGAGTGTGCAGTGGCTTCTGTATTGTTCTCTGAAACTTGCAGTTGGCCTTCCAGCATGGAATTGCACTGTGCATGTCTGTTTTTCTTCATGAGGGGGGTCAAGATATGTTAAAATAATCTTTTAAAACAAAAAAAATAAAATGTTGAGGCTTTGTGGGGGAGAAGGAAGCTGAAGGCCAGTTGTAGATGGAAAAACTGTCAGTTTTTCTGAGATGGATTGCTGGCTGGAGCCTGTGTTTGGCTTAAAAAAGGGTAATACTACTTGTGCAAGACTGGGACAGCAGAGAGTATTTATTTAGTTTTTGTTTATTCCTATCTATTCTTCTGAATTTCTAAACCTCTGTTTCAATATATTTAGAATTATATTTCACTTAAATATAAATATTTCACATTTACAAGACATTATATTTTGTATTATGCATGTTGATGTACTGTATATATGTAATGGTTACAGAAAAGGCACTATATGTGCATTACTGCTGTACCTTTATATTTATCTAAATGCCAAGATTAATCCAAGATGTGGTAATGTTTTGCCTTAGAGCAATTGTACCAATGAACCTTAACCCTGATTGTAAGAGACTTACTCTCTGTTCCTGTGACAGTTTGTTTATTCTTTACTTCAGGGCCTCTTTTGAGCTAAAACAGCCATTAAGAACAAATTGTTCTGGACAGCTTTTCTGCCTCTGAGTAACAAAAACTGTAACTTATTTTCGTTTCTTCCTATATCTTTCTCAGGTGATTCCTGTAAACATAAATCCACAGTAGTATCCATCTAGCACTGGAATATTCTAAATGTGGAACAATGATGCGACTCATTAACAGGGTGACTTTTCAGCTTTCTCTATTGGCAAGAATTGCTGCACGCAGCTTGACAAATTCTGTTGTGCTCTATGGAGGTATCACTGAATACAATGTGTACAATGTCAGTATCAGAGGAAAAATATACATTCAGGTACTCTGTATATTTTCAGTGGTTTGTGGAGGTTCTTGTGCTGCGTGACTGGTAGGTAAATGACAGCCATTTTGTAGAATAATGTTATGTGTGGACAGTTTAGTCCTAATATACATGTAAAACTCCATAATTCAATGGAAGGTCTGACTGCTCAGTATTTCTTCAAGTATTTGATTTATCCAGTTAATCAACTGTTCAAAAATTATTGAAAATAATATTATCAAGCCTTCCTTGATATTATGTCCCTGTATTAAGCAGGAAAAAAATATTTTATTTTTTACTTCATTATAAACAATTACATTACTTGTGAAAAGGGTAAAAGAACAGAAATGAAAAATGATTGTCTGCTTGTAGTACAGTGGAGATATCAAGAGGAAAATAGAGCCCACTTCAACTACTCTTAATAAGACTTGGATCAAACCTAAGATTTCTTGCTTTACTTATGAGACACCACAGCTCTTGACTTCGCTAATCAAGAATTAAAATTGAATAATTATGAGCCATATCTACTCATTAAAAAAAATAAAAAAATAACTTATGGGTAGATTCAATGTGGTAAAACTTGCCTTATTAGATCTTTTTTAATCAACCAAATACCTTACATTATTGCAGGTCCTCTATACTTTTTCTTCTTACAGAAGTAACGAAGTGGAGTCAAAGGTTGTTTTAGGAATATAAACCTGTTTTAAAATTTTATCTAAAATGAAAACAGAGCTAATCAGAGATGAAGGCAACAATCATTATTGGGCTAAAATCTCAGGCTGACAGTGTAAATAGACTTACAGTAGTATAATAAATAATCTACTGCTCTTTTAGAATAATATTTTGCTAACTTTTGCAGCACAACTTAGAAATAAATAAATCTTTTGCATTTTCAGAGATTTTTCTTCCTGTGTGTCCACAGAACAGAGACAGCAGTTATTTCCGTAGTATGGCAAGTATTCTTGCTTTGTATTTGCATATTCCTAACATAACTGAGACATTTCACTGTTTAGAATGAAGAAAAAATGTTATACATGTACTGATTTATACATATAATGTTCATGTAATTGCTGATCTTGATAGAAGTATTTGTATTGTAAACTGTAACTTATGTCCCTATCTTGTCCTCTGTGTTACTATTTACTAGAAATTATTATCTAGGAAAAATGAATAAATGAAAATCTTATTTAATTTTTCATATTGCATCTCATTAATTTTAAAGTGTAGCTGTAAATTCTATTAAAATGTGGTAATAATTGTGAACGAATTTATAGACAGTTGAATAGATTGAGGAGTTGAAGTGGAATCTCACAGAATACGAAAGATATTCTGTGACAGAACTACCTGCATTAATTATAAATTTTGAGAAGTGTTAGGTGTTGATGGAAGCAGTGAACAGGGATGGACTTAATTAGGGTTGCCACAGCAGTTTGTAGGTATGAGGGTTATGACAGTGTACAGAAGCTGGAACCAAGGAAATATTGCAGAATAAGCACCTGCTTATCAGCCGTGCTATCAAGAAAAATGAAACACTGAGAGAAGTCTCAGATTGGTTTCTTATGCAAAATCTGCTTGTCTTCAGGTAATATTGTCCTGTAATGATGGTCTAAGGACTTGAGCAGATTTTACAGCCTGAAGAAATCCTGTCTTGTCTGTATGACTTTACACAGAATATGTAAATTTCACAGGTGGTACTCAGCTGTAGTTTTCAGCAAAAATTAGGTAGGAACATAAATAATTCTAGTATTTCATGAAATATGAATAAAGGCCTATTCAATACTTTCTTTTTGTGGAGGCTCATGGGAAACCTAAATTGAATGGTGTTGCTGAAGCTCTTTTGAAGAAACATTCTTTTAAATTTTTAACATGCCACGTCCCTTTGCGTTAGTTTAAAATAGTTTTCAATTCTCTCAGTGTTCCCTTATGATTGAAAATTTTGTCAAATGCCAGTCCTCTCATGTGCAAAGTTTTCAAGAAGGGCAATTGTACTTGTCCTGAAATTGTTAACTGTGCTGGAAACATTTCAATTCTCTGCATTGCTGTTTCTCATTATTACAGAAGGAAATGGTGCTCTTTAACTGTTTGGCAAAATGTTTTGCCCCGAAGTAGAATTATAGAGATATTGTTAACTTGTCTATTTGACATCTCCAAACACAGAAAGCCCAAGAGCTGTTACTTGCTAGACATCCTGAATTCCCTGTATGTCCATCCATGCAAGTGGCTTTCCTTGCATCACATCACTGTATTGTAAAAGTAACTGGAATGGAAAAGACAGAGTAACTATCACGTAGGGCAGTAAGATCTGCTGCAACATCTTTCTTACCCCAAATTACAGCAGGCTACAGAATAATCAGTTTAGTCAGAAAAGTGAAAAAGCACAGGAAAGCTTTCAAATTGAGAGAGATGAAAATTTCTCATTGAGATAATTACATACCTTAGCTAAATAAGCTGAGCCATGATGCAACTATTCTTTTACAAAATAATAGCTCTTCCTGCTCTGACTCATCCACATTTGCTATTTGCTTTTTCTTGCAGAATATGATGAAGATAATCATGAAACTGAAATGTTTTGCATTCAAAACTGAACTTTTTTTTGATAATATGAATATTTTCCTTGGGCAAATCATTATTTCAGGATACCGTTTGTCTAGAGTTTAGTGGGATCTAGAGAAGAGTTAACAGTGATGAAAAGAAACAAAACCAAACTTGATCAAATTTGTCATACTGTTAAGTAAATAATCAAGCATTTTAGAAAAGATAGAAATTCTTCTGCTTCAGACTCTTGGAGACTAGAAAAATCTTTATCTGGGACAGATGTGACCCAACTACTGCTTGCAAAGGTCCTTGAACTTTTTATGCAACAGCTATGGCCAAGGACAGAGCTCTGCACCAGCTGAACCACAGGTCTGGTCCAGTACAACAGTTATTATTCCTCCATTCCCATGGCAATGATTCCCTCACGGTGTTGACCATGGTCCTTAGGGTGCCTTGACACCAGGAATCTGTGGATGGACATGTGTGAAGAAGGCATTTTCCTAGTTTGTAACAGGTAACAGAAGTCCAGTTTGACTGTCTACAGTGCCCTAGCTTGTAAAAGAACCAGGAGAGCACTACTAGGTAGATCTTGGCATAGTTGCTTGGGACTGGAGAAAGGGAGTAGTGGACCATCTTCTGTTAGCCTCCTCTGTGGGTGTCTGGGAGACTCCAGGTGTGTCTTTTCTTTGCTTATCTGCTCCCTTACAGCAAACCTTGATGACAAGACAAAATTGGTGTTCCTGGGCACAGTCTACTGTCTTTTTGCTGGTAAAAGCGCTGACTGGCATCCTAATGAAAATCTAACTGATGCAATCAAATTATCTCCTGTTGGTGACATGTGGTGACAGATCTCTTCTGTGTTGACACACACTGTGAACAATTTATTTTCATTTGTATAGGAAATATGTCACCTCTAGTGTACCCTTGCATCAGAGATACTGTTAAGAGTTATCTGGTAATTAAGAACAAGCATGAAGATCAAATGTTAACTTTAATTTATACAAATAATTTATATTTAACAGCTTCTATGAATGAAACTATCTGCAACTGAAGTTTTACAGTAAATAAGACATTCAGCATCTTAGTATTTATTGCTGAAGTATGACTAATTTCATATTATGCTATTTACTGTGAAAGCTGGATGCACTTAAACTCTCCTAGATGTATATGAGCTGACCAACTTGGATGCATTTTCATTCTCTGTTTTTGGCAGTGATTTTATATATTCTAAACAAAAACTCCTGTCTTTTCACATTACTGTTGTATATCTGAATTCAAGTATCTCTTATAATATTGAGTGTGTTTTTACTTGCTCTATCACTTGGCATTTCCAATAGTTGCGTGGTGGTGATTTGGAACCTAAATAAAGACATCTCTAAAGTATAATGGTAAAATCAGAAGAAAAATGGAGTGTGGTACTGAGAAATTTGGCCCCTTTTACACCCTTCACCCCTCCCTGCCTCCAGGGCTGAAGTTGGCTGAGCCACAACTAGTTTAGTTGAGAAGTTTGTTCACAGCCATATGCATGGGACTTTTATTCTGCATATGTTACAAATAATAGCTTTGGACTAATAGGAAGATCCTAGAATCTTACCCTGACATCTGTAAGTCATTATTAGAAGTTACATTCCTGGTCTGAGGATCTCTCCAGCTTTCCCCTCCTCCCATATCTCTGCTGGAAAAAAAAGCCAGCCCCTGTATGTTCCTATATCTCTTATAGTAGCTAAGAGGGATAATCCTCAGGTGGTAGAAGTCTTATCTCTCTCCTATCAACAGTGGCTTATCTACATGACAACTGCTGCAATAATAGGGAAGAAAAAAAAAAACTGAAAAAATAAAAACAACTTTTGTGAGAGAAAATTATCTAGTGAACATATGTTTAAATGCTGAAGTTTGCAGGCTTTTAAATCTGGTGTGACCTGATTCAGCCACTCTTACTCAAGTCAAATAATGTACAAATCGTCCCAATAAGTAGAGCTAACAGGGCAGAGTGTTCAGCTGAGTAATGTGGAGTCCTACAAGAAACAAAAGGCAGCATCCTACAACAAAGTATGTACTTGTCTTTGCTGATTTTGGCTCGATTCGTATCTTTGAGTGTTGATCTTTGGCTAGTATGTGTTTACTAGTACCAACAGGAGATCTGAGCTCATGTAAACTGAAATCGTGAGTGGTTCCAACTTGCATCTCTCCAGGTAGATGACCTCATTAGGGCTTTAGTCAACACAACTAAAGTCACAATACAAACAATTTCATTAACTCAGAGTGGAACAATTTACAGACATACTGGTAAACACATCAGTAATTTGTTGAACTGAGGCTTGACGAAGATATGCACTGTAGATTAAGTTCCCTAAAAACTTGACAGGCAAAGATGGGTAAGTTGGTACCCTAAACCAGAGCATCAGAATAATCCATGCACTGTTCTAGCATGTAGAACAAACATGTTAATACTAAAAGTAGGAAAGTAAAGCCACTTTGTAATTTTTTTGGATGTGTATACAGAAAAGAGAGAGAAGAATGCAATCATAATATATTGCAATGAAAACATTTTGTGAAATTTCTCAAATTAGCTGATAGTTTTTTGCAAGCTCTCTTGTCGGACCCATAAATAAGATGAAAATGATTTTTGCTAATTTTATTAAATTGAATGGAAAAGTTTAATCTGACCAGTTTTAGTGTATGCGGAAAATGTGTGGTAGATGACTGTGAAAGACTTGCAGACAATTTCTATGTGCGATTGATTGTGTCTTTCTTTGTACCTACTAACATTAAAATCCAAGTGATAACACATTTCTACACCACATAGTTCATGAAAATGTGATTAAATGTGCAGTATCTGCATGTGCAGTATCTGCATTTGTTGGCAGATGAAAGATCGGAGCAGATAGAAGTATTTCTCATTTAAATGGATATTTTTTTTTAATAACCAAGAAAGAAGGTATTCTTTTACTGTACTTAGCTATATATACTTTGTTGTTTAAAATTTCCCTGACTGTATTAATAGTATAGCAAGCCTTCAACTAATATCATTTGTGGTGGGCGTGGGAGTGAGGACCTCATAGTTGGGTTTGGGAATATCTACCACGGGAAATCTCTTACAAAATAACTGTTACTTCATGCAGTGCGGTCCGTTCCAAATGCTAACAATTTACTCTTCAGATATTTTTCATGAGCCTTGCAGATAAGATATCTCTGTGGGGATTGATCTAGCTGCATTCAGACAACTAAGCTTTCACCAGAGATGGGGAAATCACCCCACCTTTCTTTCAATTTGGTGGTAGAATATTAACGAGGGAAGTGTTAGTCTCTGGAGCTTCCCCCACCCTTTAACACATCAGATTCATATTAGCAATATTTACTTTCTAGAAGGGTGACTCAATTTCAGCTGTTTTCAATTTTTGCTTATAGCACCCTGGA